TTACTCAATAAATAACTGTTGAGGAAACAAGCACATAATAAATAGTAAGAAAGAATAGCTGCTGTTAAGAAATGAAGAAAAAATGCAGCATCCTATTTTAAGTAGTGAAATACTTGAAAAGATAACAATATTCTTCCAGTATCACATTTGCTCTACAAACAATTTTCCTGAAATGAAATTGACAAAATAACAGGAAGAATTAATTGCAATGTACTTTTTATTTATAAATCTGTTTGATGATTACAAGGAATCCACTTATATTGTAAATAATGTCCATCAGAGTAATAGACAAAACTCAAATTTCACTTACAAATAAAACTAAGAAGATTTGATGCTATTCAGAACAGTCTGTGGTTTAAATCTACTTCACATGTTTTATCAATAAATTTTCATTATTATGACTGTTACATTTTGAGATTTTTTTTTGCTTTTCATCATAATGAAAAACAGAAATAATTTATAAAATTATAAAATGTCAATTAAATGAACAGGCTAAGAAAAGCCATGTATTAGAAATATTAATTTTAACAAAGGCATTATTTTCTCAGTGGAACATTAAAGGAAAAATCTTTCAGAATGGTATGAATACTTCAGAAGACTGTCCATCATAAAAGTCCAAATCCAAAGAGCTACCAATAAGCAAGGGTATATATATTATATATATTCCATATATATAAAATATATACAGATATTTCATGTATATATATAGTATATGAATGAAAAAGTTCCCCCATACTGTTAGCTAAACAAATTGAGAAGCAGTTTTAAATCAATAAAATAGGTTTAACTGCCTTGGCAAATCTATGGAACAGATAGTGCCTGGTTACAAAGTAGCAAAGGTTCCAATACTTTTATTGTTATACGTCTACTATAGCAAATAACTACAAAAGTAATCAATTCTTTATTTACTGAGCTGACACTCCAACACTGTTGAACAAAATCTAACTCTAAAGCTTTAGTAATATAAATGGGTTTTAGGAACTAGTTTTTATGTTGTTTTGTTCGGAGATAAAAAAAAATACATAATGATTTTCCTTTTTAACACATCATTTTGGAAAATACTCTAGATCATCCTCAAATTTCAACACCATCATCTGAACATCTTTGCTACTTCAACTCTCTTTTTTTTTTTTTTTTTTTGGACAGGCAGAGTTAGTGAGAGAGAGAGAGAGACAGAGAGAAAGGTCTTCCTTCCGTTGGTTCACCCCCAAAATGGCCGCCACGGCCGGCGCACTGTGCTGATCCGAAGCCAGGAGCCATGTACTTCCTCCTGGTCTCCCATGGGGTGCAGGGCCCAAGCACTTGGGCCATCCTCCACTGCACTCCCGGGCCACAGCAGAGAGCTGGACTGGAAGAGGGGCAACCGGGACAGAATCCGACGCCCCAACCGGGACTAGAAACCTGGGTACCAGCGCTGCAGGTGGAGGATTAGCCTAGTGAGTCGCGGCGCAAGCCATGATACCTCAACTCTTAACCCATCCCTACCACAAGCACAACTACACTGCTTCAAACAACAGATCAAGAAGTTGGACTGGGGGGTTGCACTGTGGCTTGGCAGGTAAAGCTGCCGCCTGCAGTGCCAGCATCCCATATGGGCGCTGGTTCAAGTCCTGCCTGCTTCACTTCCCATCCAGCTCTCTGCTATGGCCTGAGAAAGCATTAGAAGATGGCCCACGTCCTTGGGCCCCTGTGGCCCTGTGGGAGATCCGGAAGAAGCTCCTGTTCCTGGCTTTTGCCTGGCTCAGCTCTGGCTGCTTCAACCATTTGGGGAGTGAACTAGCAGATTGAAGACCTCTCTTTTACTCTCTCTACCTCTCTGTAACTCTGCCTTTCAAATAAATAAATAAAAATCTTAAAAAAAAAAAAAAGTTGGACTGGGGGGCCGACATGGTGTAGTGGGTTTAGCCATGGACTGTGACCCAGCATCTCCATGAGAGTGTGGTTTTGTGTCTCAGCTGTCCAGCTTCTGGTCCAGCTCCCTGCTGATGTGCCTGGGAAGGTAGAAGAGGGCCTTGGTATGTGGGTCCCTGCCAACCATGTGGGGGACCTGGATGGAGTGCTGGGCTTCTGGCTTCAGACGGGACCAGTCCTGGACATTGCAGCCATTTGGGAAATGAACCAGTGGATCAGATCTCTCTTTGTCTATATGTCCGTCTCTCTCTCCCTCTCTGTCACTTTGCTTTCAAATAAATAAATCTTAAAAATAGATTCCGAGTAGGCACTGGTGATGGCAGTTGAGCTGGGCTCGGGACACCTGCACTCCACAGCAGAGTGCCTGGGTTCTGCTCTCCATTCCAGCTTCCTGCTAATGCTCACCCTGGACGCAGCAAGTGACACTTCAAGTAGTTGGGTCCTTGCCACCCATATGGGAAATCCAGACTGAATTCCTGGTCTGGCTTCCGCCTGGCCTACCCTGGTCTGTTGCAGGTAGTGGGGAGTGAACCAGAGGTGGGATATCTTTGTCTGTCTCTGCCTCTTTTGCCTTTCAAATAAATAACCTTTTATTAAAAATGTTTAAAAAATAAAAAAGTAGTCGCTGAATGCTTCAAGGCCTAGTCTCCTTAATAGACTTCTCAAAAGGCTACCACAGGAATGGACAAAGAACAGAACAGTGATACAAAATATTCCAGGTGACTAATATTTTGAATTCTACAAAAATAACAAGATTTAGAACAAAGTCAATAAATCTAAATTCAATTTGTCACTTAGGATTTTTTTTGACAGGCAGAGTTAGATTGTGAGAGAGAGAGAGAGACAGAGAGAAAGGTCTTCCTTCCATTGGCTCACCCTCCAAATGGCTGCTATGGCGGTGCTGTGCCAATCCAAAGCCAGGAGCCAGGTGCTTCTCCTGGTCTCCCATTAGAGTGCAGGGCCCAAGCACTTGGGCCATCCTCCACTGCACTCCCAGGCCACAGCAGAGAGCTGGCCTGGAAGAGGGGCAACCGGGACAGAATCCGGCGCCCCGACTGGGACTAGAACCCGGTGTGCCGGCACCGCAAGGCAGAGGATTAGCCTAGTGAGCCACGGCACGGCAATACCATTTTTTTTTTAAAGCATTTATTTATTTGAGAGGCAGAGAGAGGTCTTCCATTTGCTGGTTCACTCCCCATATGACCACAATAGCTGGAATTATGCTGATCTGAAGCCAGGAGCTTCTTCCAGGTCTCCCACATGGGTGCAGGGGCCCAAGGACTTGGGCCATCTTCCACTGCTTTCCCAGGCCACAGCAGAGAGCTGGATCGGAAGTGGAGCAGCCAGGACTAGAACTGGCACCCATATGGGATGCCAGCACTGCAGGTGGTGGTTTTACCCCCTAAGTCACAGTGCTGGCTCCAGGTGTTTTTTTTTTTTTTTTTTTAAGATTTATTTGAAAGGCAGAGCTAGAGAGAGAGAGAGACAGAAAGAGAAAGAGGGAGGGAGAGACACAGAAAGAGATATAGAGAGAGAGATCTTCCATCCACTGGTTCACTCCCTAAATGACCACAAATATCTGGGGATGTGCTGATCCAAAGCCAGGAGCCAGGAGCTTCTTCCAGGTCTCCCACATGGGTGCAGGGGCCCAAGGACTTGGGCCATCCTCTACTGCTTTCCCAGGACACAGCAGAGAGCTGGATCAGAAGTGGAGCAGCCAGGTTTCGAACTGGTGTCCAAATGGATGCCGGCAGGCAGGCAGTGGCTTTACCTGCTATGCCATAGCGCTTGCCCCCCCCCATTCTATTTTCTATTAACACTTTGAACTACCCTTACAGGAAGTAAGAGTTTCAGTTACAACTGTTTGTTCCAAAACTAATCATATCACAGGTTGGTGTCACATATAAATATAGCACATCAGTAACTCTGATGATGTACCCAATCCTGCCAAAGGATACAGACACAAGTTCAATCTGCGGTTCAAACCGCTAACTTACAACAGCGGTCAGCGAACATTTCTGATGGTTCTCTTTCATGTTTAATGGGCTTCAAGGAAGCTAGCTACACATCTGATGGACGTGGCTCAGGCAAGGGAAGAGTCCACAAGCAGGTAATTTACAACTGCATTTAATTAAATGTACACTAATTTAATTCAACTTATACAAATTAATGTAAATTAAGTGTAAAATTATGTAAATGTCATTTATATTATATAACTGAGTTACATCTAAGTAGGAGTAGCTTTCTCAAGTCTTTAAAAAGTAATTTTTGCCGGTGCTGCGGCTCAATAGGCTAATCCTCCACCCAGTGGCGCCGGCACACCGGGTTCTAGTCCCGGTCGGGGCGCCGGATTCTGTCCCGGTTGCCCCTCTTCCAGGCCAGCTCTCTGCTGTGGCCCGGGAAGGCAGTGGAGGATGGCCCAAGTGCTTGGGCCCTGCACCCCATGGGAGACCAGGAGAAGTACCTGGCTCCTGCCTTCGGATCAGCGCGGTGCGCCCGCCGCGGCTACCATTGGAGGGTGAACCAACGGCAAAAGGAAGACCTTTCTCTCTGTCTCTCTCTCTCTCACTGTCCACTCTGCCTGTCAAAAAAAATAAAAAAAAATAATAAAAAATAATAAAAAAATTCTTAGAAATCTTTTAGAAAAAAGTTAGAGTGCCAAATCACTCAACACCCCAGGAGAATTTCGGTCTTTTTGTTTTAGCTTGGCAACTCACATCTACCCACAAGGTTACAATTCTATTCTCCTATTTGAATGAGCCGGAAACATGATGAAATGTCAGTATATACAATTGGTTGCTCCCCCAAGATGGTAGACATATTTTTTCTTTTAATATAAGAAAGGAAAAAATATTGTCGTGAGTTTATGTGCAAAGAATACTTTAAAAAAATAAGAAACCAATTTGTTTATAAATAACATCTAGGTAACTGAGTTCTAGCCTGATCTAATAATTCTGCTAAAATGTTACTTAATCCATAATATATTTTCCTGTCTCACTGTAATCTAATGAAGCATATTAAAATATTATTTGTTTCAAGCATTATAAAATGTTTCAAAGTAATCTAAATATTTTATAAAAATGAATTACTTTTCATCCATGCGGCTTCTCATTTTCTTCAGCTTCTGCATAATGCTGCTGGTTTCACTGCTGGAGATTGAAATAGGAGAAGGACTGCGGGTCTCCAAGTCAGTTGGACCAGGACTAGCTGCTTTATTATCTTTCATATCATCATCACTGTGAGAGTCCTGCAAACAAGAAGCAAAAGTTTACTGAACACTGTCAATTCAAAGCTAAGTTCATTCTCAAAACAATGCCTCTAACAAGAGTTGAAGATGTCACTTAAGGTATTAAAAACATATCACATATTTCAAAATGATTTTTAAAAATGGTGAAAAATAACAGCTTGGGTGGGCATTCAGCCTAGCAGTTAAGACAGCACATCTGATATGGAAGTGCCTGGGTTTAAGTCCTGATTCCATTTCCAATTCCAGCTTCCTGCAAAGCTGTACCCTGGGAGGCAGCAGGTGACGGCTCAAGTAGTTGGGTTCCTGTCACCCACGTAGAAGACTCACACTGAGGTTCTAGCTCCTGGCTTTGGCCTGGCCTAACCCTAGCTTTTGCAGGGATCTAGGAAGTGAACCAGCAAATGAAATATGTGTGATTTCTCTTTCAGATAAAAAAATTAAAATAAAACCTTGTGGTGGAATGAAAGTGGAGGTTATCAATCTGAGCTCATGATTTTATATACAAGGTGACTTCAAAAAGTTTATGAAATGTAATGAAAAGATAACTTTTAGTTTAAAAGGTTTTGAAATTCATGTATAGCTGTTTCATAACATGCATTTTACATGAACTCATGGAAAAATTTTCAACACCAATCATGTGCATAAAATTTAACTGTTTACATCAAAATAAACCATCATTTAATTCTATTTTCTACATCATATATATAAAATACATGTTGAACATGTTTATCTGTATCTACATATACTTATATATTCCCAAGATTTGCTGTATAGTAAGATCAAAATTAAAATAGAATTAGCATATCCACCACCAAATTTTGCTTTCTAAATAACTTTCCTTCTTGGAGAAATGATTGATTTTAAGGCTGGGACAAGGAAAGTATAAAATGACCTTGAAACATCTTATTGTTCCAGAAACACACAAGTATTCAAAAACAGATGGGACACATAGAGAAGATACAGAAATCTGCATGAATGAGCTTGTACTTTCTTAATTTGGACAAAGTGAGCACCAAATAATACAGTAACAGATTATAACCACAAATGAAACAGAAATCCACAACTTAATGCTGACATAGATAAGAGAATCAATATATGATATTTGTCCCTTTTGCACTGGCTTATTTCACTCAGCATGATGTTTTCAGCTTCCTCCATTTTGTTGTAAATGCCCGGATTTCATTGTTTTTTACTGCTGTATAGTGTTCCATAGAGTACATATCCCAGAGTTTCTTTATCCAGTCATCCGTTGATGGACGTTTAGGTTGATTCCATGTCTTAGCTATTGTGAATTGAGCTGCAACAAATATTGAGGTGCAAATGGCTCTTTTTTTCTCCCCTTTAATTCCATTTGGGTAAATTCCAAGGAGTGGGATGGCTGGGTCGAACGGTAGGGTTATCTTCAGGTTTCTGAGGAATCTCCAGACTGACTTCCATAGTGGCTTGACCAGTTTGCATTCCCACCAACAGTGGATTAGTGTCTCTTTTTTCCCACGTCCTCGCCAGCATCTGTTGTTGGTTGATTTCTGTATGTAAGCCAATCTAACCAGAGTGAGGTGAAACCTCATTGTGGTTTTGATCTGCACTTCCCTGATGGCTAGGGATCCTGAGCATTTTTTCATGTGTCTGTTGGCCATTTGGATTTCCTCTTTTGAAAAATGTCTGTTAAGATCCTTGGCCAATTTTTTTATTGGGTTGTTTGTTTTGATTCTGTGGTATTTTTTGATAATTTTATAGATTCTAGTTGTTAATCTTTATCTGTTGTGTAGTTTGCGAATAACGTCTTCCATTCTGTTGGTTGCCTCTTCACTTTCCTGACTGTTTCCTTTGCTGTAAAGAAACTCTTCAATTTGAGGTAATCCCATTTGTTTATTTTATCTTTGATTACTCGTTCCTCTGGGGTCTTCTCCAGGAATTCTTCGCCTGTTCCAATATCTTGAAGGGTTTCTCCTATGCTCTCAATTAGTTTCATGGTGTTGTGGCGCATCTCTAGTTCTTTGATCCACGTTGAGTGGATTTTTGTATAAGGTGTAAGGTAGGGGTCTTGTTTCATACTTCGACATGTGGACATCCAGTTTTCCCAGCACCATTTGTTGAAGAGGCTGTCCTTGTTCCAGGGGTTGGTTTTAGGTCCTTTGTCGAATATGAGTTGGTTATAGATGTTTGGATTGATCTCCAGTGTTTCTATTCTGTTCCATTGGTCTATCCATCTGTTTTTGTACCAGTACCAGGCTGTTTTGATTATAACTGCCCTGTAGTATGTCTTGAAGTCTGGAATTGTGATGCCTCCGGCCTTGTTTTTATTGTAAAGGATTGCTTTAGCTATTCTCGGTCTCCTGTTTCTCCATATGAATTTCAGCATCGTTTTTTCTTGGTCTTTGAAGAATGACTTTGGTATTTTGATTTGTATTGCATTGAACTTGTAAATTGCTTTTGGGAGAATGGACATTTTGATAATATTGATTCTTCTAATCCATGAGCATGGCAGGTTTTTCCATTTTTTTTGTGTTGTCTTCTATTTCTTTCTTTAGTGTTTTGTAATTTTCATCATAGAGGTCTTTGACATCCTTGGTTAAATTTATTCCAAGGTACTTTATTGTTTTTGTGGCTATCGTGAATGGAATTGATCTTAGAAGTTCTTCCTCGGGGCCGGCGCCGCGGCTCACTAGGCTAATCCTCCACCTTGCGGCGCCCGCACACCGGGTTCTAGTCCCGGTCGGGGCACCGGATTCTGTCCCGGTTGCCCCTCTTCCAGGCCAGCTCTCTGCTGTGGCCAGGGAGTGCAGTGGAGGATGGCCCAAGTACTTGGGCCCTGCACCCCATGGGAGACCAGGATAAGTACCTGGCTCTTGCCATCGGATGAGCACGGTGCGCCAGCCGCAGCAGCCATTGGAGGGTGAACCAACGGCAAAGGAAGACCTTTCTCTCTGTCTCTCTCTCTCACTGTTCACTTTGCCTGCCAAAAAAAAAAAAAAAGATGTTCTTCCTCGGCCCTGGCATTGTCTGTGTATACAAAGGCTGTTGATTTCTGCGCGTTGACTTTGTATTCTGCTACTTTACCAAACTCTTCTATGAGTTCCAATAGTCTCTTATAGGAGTTTATCAGGTCCCCTATATATAGTATCATGTCATCTGCAAATAGGGATAGTTTAACTTCCTCCTTTCCCATTTGTATCCCTTTAATTTCTTTATCTTGCCTGATGGCCCCTGGCTAACACTTCTAGGACTATATTGAATAGCAATGGTGAGAGTGGGCATCCCTGTCTGGTGCCTGTTTTCAATGGAAATGCCTCCAACTTTTCCCCATTCTATATGATGCTGGCCATTGGTTTATCATAGACTGCCTTAATTGTGTTGAGGAATGTTCCTTCTAACCCCAATTTGCTTAGGGTTTTCATCATGAAAGGGTGTTGCATTTTGTCAAATGCTTTCTCTGCATCTATTGAGATAAATATATGATTTTTGTTTCTCAATTTATTAATGTGATGTATTACATTGATTGACTTTCAAATATTGAACCATCCCTGCATACCAGGGATAAATCCCACTTGGTCCGGGTGAATGATCTTTCTGATGTGCAGTTGGATTCGGTTTGCCAGAATTTTGTTGAGTATTTTTGCATCTATGTTCATCAGGGAGATAGGTCTGTAGTTTTCTTTCTCTGTTGTGTCTTTTCCGGGCTTAGGAATTAAGGTGATATTGGCTTCGTAGAAAGAATTTGGGAGGATATCTAGGTTTTCCAACAAGTAGTACACCACCATATTATAGTCCTTAGAATTGGTCCAAATTTTTTGTCTGATCATCTCCTTTGAATCTTGTATCATATTAAAATTAGATAGCTGAAGTAAGTATCAAATAAACAGCACAACTGTCTCTCCTACTAATTCAGAAGAATAAATTTAAACTGATAACAGCAAAGCTCTCTGTCCCTATTTATTTATTTATTTATTTATTTGATGAGAGCACAAGTAGAGTGCTTCCATCCACTGGTTCACTCCCCAAATACTTGCAACTACTGGCTGGAGCTAAGCAAGAACGGAGTCAGGAGCTGGAACTCAGCTACTTGAGCCATCGCCTTCTGCTTCCCAGAGCCTGCAGTAGCAGAAAGCTGGAATGGGAGTCTGGAGTCAGGACCCAGATGCAGGCATCCCAGCCAGCATCCTAACAGCCAGACCAAACTCCCACCCCATAAGTAAAACAGTTAAAGCTAATAGAACAATCATGCGCCCCTTTCAAAAACTGAATATTCCATGGGAAAAAATAAAAGCTCTCATTTCTACATGATGGCACATACATAGACCTTTACGCTAGCTCATTCTTGTATCATATGGCTTGAATGAACACACCCAACATTCTGGAACAGCAGGCATAGTAAGGTATCAACAAGCAACATGAGACAGAACACTCACCAGTGTATTCTCCCCTGCAGACTTCAGCCTCTCCTGCAGTTTGATAGTGGTCTGTCGGATCCTTTCTATCTCCTCCTGCTGTTTAAGAATCAGCTGTCTTTCCTTCCGAGCTGCCTTATTGGCTTCTTGAAGACGTTTTATTTCTGCCTAAGTTTTAAAAAGTTAAGAGAGAACCTGAGATTTGGAACAGTCAAGTGTAGATTTTTAAAAACAAAATCCAATCATCACATATATATATCAGAAGTAAATACACAGTGTTTCAAGATAAAAGTAATAACACCAAAAATGTCTAAAGTAGAGAGGAAGGGATTTAGTTATATATAACTCCATCACTCTAAAATAATTTAATATGAACCCTTAAATAATTAAAATTATAACAGACCAATAATTTCCTATCTCTTTTTTGAACTTAACATGGTTCACATTTCCAGTACAGCCACTTGGTCTTACTACTGATTGCCAGTTGCCTGTCAAATAAAATAATTAATATATATAACCACTAGTCTATTATCAAATTCTTGGAACTTATTCACTATTCAAAATCATGATTTATTATCTATAATCGTTTCATACTATGAATTACTTCTTTAGGAGAGATTCTTAAACGTAGGATAAACAAGTCAAACATGAGGAATCATTTTATGGTCCTTAAAACAATTTTTAAAACTGCTTTATTTTTATTTATTTGAAAGGCAAAGTTACAGCGAGAAGGGGAGACACACATACACACAAAATCTTTTGTTTGCTAGTTCATTCCCCAAATGACCACAACAGCCAGGAGCCAGGAGCCAGGAGCCTTTTCTGGGTCTCCCACATGGGTGCAGGGGCTCAAACACTTGGGCTATCTTCTGATGCTTTCACATGTACATAGCGGGGAGCTGGAACCAAAGTGGAGCAGCCAGGTCTTGATTCATTGCCTAAGTGGGATGCCAACATTGTAGGCAACAGCTTATCCTACTACGCCATAGCACTGCCTCTTAAAAACTACATTCAAAAAAGGATTGTTTCTACTTAACAGTGCTGCCAGAAACACTGAACACTACAGCTGCCGCCTGCAGTGCCGGCATCCCATATGGGCACCAGTTCGAGACCCAGCTGCTCCACTTTTGATCCAGCTCTCTGCTATGGCCTGGGAAAGTGGGAGAAGATGGCCCAAGTCCTTGGGGACTGCACCCACATGGGAGACCTGGAGGAGGCTCCTGGCTCCTGCTCCTGGCAATGAACTGGGCCAGCTCCAGCAGCTGTGGCCATTTAGGGAGTGAAGCAGTGGGTGGAAGACTCTCTCTCTCTCTGCAACTCTGCCTTTAAGTAAATAAATAAATCTTGAAAAGAAAAAACCTCTAAATTTACATTGCAGAGTCCTCCTCCTACATGAATTATTTATTTATTTATTTATTTATTTATTTATTTATTTATTTTTGACAGGCAGAGTGGATAGTGAGAGAGAGAGACAGAGAGAAAGGTCTTCCTTTGCCGTTGGTTCACCCTCCAATGGCCGCCGTGTCTGGTGCGCTGCGGCCGGCGCACCTCGCTGATCCGATGGCAGGAGCCAGGAGCCAGGTGCTTTTCCTGGTCTCCCATGGGGTGCAGGGCCCAAGCACCTGGGCCATCCTCCACTGCACTCCCTGGCCACAGCAGAGAGCTGGCCTGGAATAGGGGCAACCGGGACAGAATCCGGCACCCCGACCGGGACTAGAACCCAGTGTGCCGGCGCCGCTAGGCGGAGGATTAGCCTAGTGAGCCGCGGCGCCGGCCACATGAATTATTTAAAAGAAAAAATTCTTTTTAAGATTATTTTGATGCAAAACTTTGAAATTCATGCATATGTTTTCACAATGACATTTTCTATAAAATTTCTTAAGACTCCTAATATGCAGAGATTTCAAAATATTTTTGTACCAAAACGTATCTCTTAATTTCAGTTTCCATGAAATTTTGAAGTATTTTGTATAGATCCTCAATTTTTTTTAAGGATTTTATTTATTTGAAAGGTAGAATTACATACAGAGAGAGGGAGAAACAGAGAGAAAGGTCTTCCATATGCTGGTTAACTCCCCAAATGGCCGCAACAGCCAGCTGGGCCGATCCAAAGCCGGGAGCTTCTTCCAGGTCTCCCAAATAGGAGCAGGGGGCCCAAACACCTGGGCCATCCTCTACTGCTTTCCCAGGCCATTGCAGAGAGCTGGATCGGAAGAGGAGCAGCCGGGACATGACCTGGCGCCCGTAAGGGATGAGGCGCCGCAGGTGGAGGCTTAGCCTACTACAACACAGCACCAGCCTCCTACATTCTCAGTTTAATCAACTGCTCTGGAAGTGATTACACCAGTGAACACTACCATCAGCACTGGAATGATAAAACCAGAGATGTTTAGAGGCCTGAAACTCACACTTTCCTCAGCATTTTTTACCGTTCTGAAGCAGGGCAGATGGCTTTGGAGCTAAGCAAGATATCTCTCAAAAGTAAAGCAGAAATCCCCAGTCTCTTGTAACGAATACAAAAAGGCTTATATGGGTTTCACATGAAATCCCTGGAGGTCCACAATGCACAGCAGAAGCAGACTGAGGCTTGCCAACTCTGAGCCCAACCCTAACCAACCTTGAATGGATTGCATGAACAGATGACCACACCAACTGCACAGCAGAAGAAAGATTAAGTCCTCTCTAGGAGGAGAAGTTATCTATATACAGTGCCTAGAATTCAATAAAAAACAATTACCAGGCATGCAACGAAAGGAATACATGATAATAACCAAACAGATAACAGGATAACAGACCTGCAAGTGGCCAAATACTGGAGTTACCAGGCAAGGTAGTTAAAAATTCTATCAACGTGTTAAAAAGAAAAACCGACAAGGCAGAAAATTCCAGAAAGAACTAAAATCTACCAAAACCAACAAAACGGGCCCAATGGGATTTTAAAACACTCGCATGAAGAACTCACTGGGCGCTGGTGTTTGGCACAGCAGGGAAGACGCCACTGTGAATACCGGCATCCTCTGCGGAAGTGCCTGGGTTTAGGGCCTGGCTCTGCTCCTGACTCCTGCATCCTGCTAATGCACACCCTGGGAGGCAGCAGGTGTCACATCAAGTAGCTGGCTCCCTGACAGTCACATGGGAGACCTGGTTGAGTTTCAGGCTCCTGGCTCAGCCTGGCCCAGCCCTCTGGCTGTGGTGGGCATTTGGGGGTGAACCAGCAGATGCGAGACCTTGCCTTTCTGCCTTTCAAATAAATAAAATAAATGAGCATTTAAAAAAATAATCTGTACAGATTTAACAGTACAGTAGACAAAGCAGAAGGCACACTAATAAATTCAAAGATAGGCCAAGAAAAACTAAGGCAACAAAAATTTTCTAAGTTGAAGCACAGTGTTTCCTGTTTGATTTTCTTACACGATGAAAGAAAAACAAAACTGAGTAGGAGACAGATGAGGTAGATGGTCAAAAAGTTTGTGGGACAATGGAATTGAGATGTTTATTTATGGCACAAAAAGACTTGAAATTCATGTACAGGCTTTTCATGATTCATGTTTTCCATGGGCTTTGGAAAACCCTTTTTGTATATTTCACTGAAGTCCCAGAAGAAAAGTAAGGAAAGAATGGTACAGAAGAAGCAACACATGAAGAAGTAATTTTTAAAAACCTAACTACATAAAGCAACCTACAGATTCAAGAAATTAAACAAACCCTGAATAGATTAATACAAGATACCACACCTAGACACATTATAGTGAACTACTGAAAAATCAAAGACAATTTCTGAGAAATCTTAAAAGGAGCCTTCAAAAGAATAACAGCAAGATAACTGACCTTTCCACAAAAACAAAGCAAAGTAGTAAATAATGGAAAAGATAGACTTAAAAGTGCTAAAAGAAGATAATTTTATAACTATCTAAAATATCCTTCAGAATGGAGAAATCTATTTTCCAACTAACAATAAATGAGAAAAGGTGCTATTAACACACATGAAACAAAACACTATATATATTAAAATTAAGAAGTCTGTGCTGGGGATGGCGTTGGCGGTATAATGGGTTAAGCTGCCACCTGTGACGCTGGCATCCCATATGAGCGCCAGTCAAGCCCCAGCTGCTCCACTTCAGATTCAGCTCCCTGCTAATGGCCTGGGAAAGCAGCAGCAGATGGCCCAAGTCCTTGGGCTCCTGCACCCACGTGAGAAACACGGATGAAGCTCCTGGCTCCTGGCTGCAGCTTGCCCCAGCCCCAGCCGCTGCAACCATCTGGGGAGTAAACCAACAGATGAAGATCTCTCTCTCTCCCCCTCTGTCTCCCTAACTTTGCCTTTCAAATAAACAAAAGTTTATGCTATAAAGGATGCTGTCTAGAAAGTGAAAAGAACATCCATAGAATGGGAGAAAACATGTATAAACCCAGTTTTTATTCTTTTTCATAAACAAAAAGCTATTATAATAGTGTAGAAAGTTATTTCCTTATTTAAACTAAGAAAATATTATTTTAAAACCATTTTTAATTGAAAAAGACTATTTAATTGAAAAGACTATTTGGGGATAATAGAGTTCAGAATTTTCATTTTTCTCAAATTCATATCATCACTGAAGGGCCAGCATTGTGGCATAATGGCTTAAGCGACGGCCTGTGACATTCGCATCCATAGTTTGAGCCCTGGCTACTCCACTTCCCATTCGGCTCCTATAATGTACCTGGGAAAGCAGTGGAGGATGGCTCAAGTACTTGGGCTCCTACACCCATGTGGGAGACCAGGAGGAAACTCCTAGCTCCTGGCTTTGGCCAGGCCCACCCCTGGCCACTGCAGCCATTTGGGGAGTGAATCAGTAAAAGGAAGATCTCTTTCTCTCTTGGAAACTCTGCCATTCAAATAAATAAAATAAATATATATATATTTTTTGACAGGCAGAGTGGACAGTGAGAGAGAGAGACAGAGAGAAAGGTCTTCCTTTGCCGTTGGTTCACCTTCCAATGGCCGCCACAGCTGGCGCACTGTGCTGATCCGAAGGCAGGAGCCAGGTGCTTCTCCTGGTCTCCCATGGGGTGCAGGGCCCAAGCACCTGGGCCATCCTCCACTGCACTCCCTGGCCACAGCAGAGAGCTGGCAAGAGGGGCAACTGGGACAGAATCCGGTGCCCTGACTGGGACTAGAACCCGGTGTGCCGGCACCACAGGCGGAGGATTAGCCTATTGAGCTGCGGCGCTGGCCATAAAATAAAATAAAAAAATTAAATTAAAAAATTAAAAATAAAAAAATTAAATAGATTTATATCAGTGATGTTTCCTATGTTGATTTTAAACTATAAGCAATAATTTAATGACTTTAATGACTCAAATAATTAAGTTCCTAAATCATCTAACACAGTAGCTAGACCCTGACAATACCTCATCAATAAGGGAAAAGAAATCTAGAATCTACCAGGCACACTGAAACACGCTTAGTAAGTGCAACCTTATTTAATCCTCACAACACCATATGAAGTATTATCCTACTCCTACAGATGAGGAAATGAAGTCTGAGAGTTACTTCAACCTGACTATGATTACACAGTTGCAAAAGACTAGATTGGGGTTTAAACAGTAGTAACTGGGGCGTGCTTGGTGTGTGGTACAGTAGGTTAAGCTGTTGTTCATGACACCAGCATCCCATACCAAAGGGCCGGTTAGAGTCCCAGCTGCTCCACTTCCTATCAGGTCCCCTGCTAATGTGCCTGGGAAAGCAATGGATGACATCCTGGGTACTTGGGTCCCTGCCACCCATGTGGGAGACTTGATCTGGCCAGAGTTCTGGCCAGAGTTCTGGGCTTCAGCCTGGCCTACTCCCAGCCAGTGTGGCCATTTGGTGATTAAACCAGTGGATGAAACATCTGTGTCTCCCCCTGACACCATTACTCTTTCAAATAAATACATCTTTAAATAGTAGTAACTAACATTTATAGAATACATACCATTATGCCAAGGTCTGCCCTAAATTTATTTTATATATTAACTTATTCATACCAACAACCCTAATAAAGTACATTATTATTATTATCATCCTTGGTTTCCAGACACAGAGAAAATGAAGAAACGCGTCCGAGGTTCTCAACCTGTAACTAGGAGAGCTCCTAACCACTGCACCACCAGCAGCCTTGCCAGGCTCGAAACTGAAGTCTTTCTAAGTCTACTAAGAATTTGCAAAATTGTAATTAATATATCAAAAAAAGTTTTGGAAAAATGACTAAAAAATTAATCCAAAAGGACTCTTTTTCACATATCTCAATTTTTTAAATGCACATTTCAAGAGAGTACTTTCTATGTATAACATGAAGGCAGAAAGCTTGACTGTGTTAGCAGTAACATGCAATCCTGATTTAGGAGAAACACTACCACACAATCCCTCTGATTATATTAATATAGGCATAAACAGTGGTTCAGCAGAACTTAAATCCCATTCAAGGTGATAACAAGAAAAAGGATCTGGCAGAGTAACGCATCCGCAAGGCAAGGTAGCACGAGGAGTCTGAGAGGCCGCTTCTTGCACACACCTTTTCCTGCTGCAACCTGAGGAGCAAGCCGCGCTGCCTCTTCCGGAGCGGGGGCATTTTATCATCCTCTCCCTTGTCTCGCAGATGTCTGCAGATGATCGTTTCAGAGAGACAAAGATGACATCAAATTCTCAGAATTCTTGAGTACTAAAAAAATCTATAAATCCACTTAACATTTCCCAAGGTGGAGAAGAGTTACTTCATGCAGCAACTCATATCCCAGCAAGTATTTTACTGATTACATACATAAAGCCCAAAACTGTGTGCTTTAAAGAGAGAAAGACTTGGAAAGGTGACATTTTAGAGGAATTAAGTATAAAATGACAACATAAGAGGAGTCAGCTGAGCTATGGAAGAAATGAAAGGAGAATGTTCCATGAGTGTTAGGGAGATCTTAGAATGCTTGATCAAAGCAAATGAAACAAAAATATCTGCAAAGCATTTTCTTTTCATGGAAGAAGAAACACAACAGTGGAAAGGAAGCTCGTGCAGGGCTCACTTTTTCTGATGCTCCAGCCAGGCTAACTCAGCCTTGGTTTTCTCCTTCAGGGCCTTCTCTCGGAGCCGCAGAAGTGAGGACTGGTGAGCTGCCCGCATCTCCTCCTCTTTCATGTACTGCCGAACCATCTCCATGGTAAACTTGGAAAAGCTGTCTTGTCCTCCTGAGAATGGCATGCTCAGCTCCTAAAGCAGACACTTCACCTCAAGTTGATGTCTTTTAAATCTTTTGGACATACTTTCATTAAAAGAGGTATTCATTCACAAAAGTAAAATCTCTCTCTCAAGATCACCAATAATGTAAAGGAACATTTTTTAAAAGATTTATTTTAAAGATTTATTTCTACAGAGAAGGGGAGGGGGAGAGACAGTGAGACAGAGACAGAGACAGACAGAGAGAGAGACAGAGAGATCTCCCATTCATTGGTTCACTCCCCAAATGGCAGCAAAGACAAGGGCTGGGCCAGGCTGAAGCCAGGAGCCAGGAGCTTCTTCCAGGTCTTCCACAGGGGTGCAGGCCCCAAGCACTTGGGCCATCTTCTGCTGCATCCCCTGGCCATCAGCAGGAAGCTGGGTCAGAAGTAAAGCAGTCAGGACTAGACAGGCGGCTATATGGGATGCTGGCATTGCAGGCAGCAGCTTAGCCCGCTATGCCACATTGCTGGTCCGAAAAGAACACTCTTTAAAAAGGCATGTAAGAGGACTTAAAATTTACCTGTTAATTTATTCAGCCAATAAAATTTTAATAAACAGCCATTGTAGCACAGGTACTGTTCTAGCGAACAAAGTGGGGTAACGGGGCCGGTGCTGTGGCGCAGCTGGTTAAAGCCCTGGCCTGCAGTGCCAGCATCCCCTATGGGCGCCAGTTCTAGTCCTGGCTACTCCTCTTCCAATCCAGCTCTCTGTTGTGGCCTGGGAAAGCAGTAGAAGATGGCCCAAGTCCTTGGGCCCCTGTACCCACATGGGAGACCCAGAAGAGGGTCCTGGCTTAGGATCAGCACAGCTCTGGCCGTTGTGGCCATCTGGGAGTGAACCATCAGAAAAAAGACCTCTCTCTCTGTCTCTACCTCTCTCTGTAACTGTCTTCAAAAAAAACAAACAAACAAACAAACAAACAACAACAACAACAAAAAAACAGTGGGTTAACAATTTGCTCCTGTTATCTAAAAGGTACATGATTTGGGTCTGGCATTGTGACTCAGCGGGTTAAGCTGCCACCTGCAGTGCCAGCATCCCAAATGGGCATAAGTTCATGTCCTGGCTGCTCCACTTCCAATCCAGCTCCCTGCTAACATGCCTAGGAAAGCAGCAGAAGATGGCTCAGTGCTTGGGTCCCCGCCACTCACAGGGGACACCCAAATGAATGGAGTTCTAGGCTCCTGGCTTCAACTGGGCCCAGACATGGCTGCTACAGCTACTTGGGGAGTGAACCAATGGATAGAAGATCTCTTTTTCCAACCCCCTCTCACTCTGCCTTTCAAATAAATAAACAAATCTTAAAAAAAAAAAAAGTTCAAGATTTGATAAGAAGAATGAATGTAATTTAGTTTTTTATTTATGTGAAAAGCAGAGAGAGAATGCTCCCTAGCACAGGTTCACTCTCCCAATGTTTCCAACAGTTGAGGCTGGGCCAGGCCAAAGCCAGTAACCAGGAACTCAATCCGGGTCTCTCACACGGGTGGCAGAGACCCAACTCCATGAGCCATTACCTGCTGTTCCCTAGGTGTGCCTTGCAGGAAGCTGGAATCAAACAGTGGAACTGGGACTCGAATCCAGGCACTATGATATGGGAAGTGGGTGTCCCAAGCAGCATCGTAACTGCTACAGCAAATGCCCACTCTACGTATAAATTTTTTGATGGAAAAAATATAAAAAAGATTGAAGCAAGAGAGAAAGCTACAGATACAGAATAGCTAAGAACATCAAAGCCTTCACGTATCACTCCAGGAATAGATTTGTAATCCACTTTGAAAGGAAAGGGAAATAAGATTTTACAGGAAAAACATAAAAATTGGTATTCTGGGGAATTAACTGTGGTAAGTTGACAGTTAAGTTCAAGTTTAAACATACCCTCCTCCTGCCTCATCCACAACCGTTCACCTCCTTAGATAAACTAAACAAACCTTGGCAGAAGACAGCGAGGGCTTTTCTGGGGACGCTTCTTCATCAGAGTCATCATGATGGCCTCTTTTCTTTTCCATGTTAAATCTGCGATGACTCTCAGAAGGGAGTAAAGATCGAAATGATTTTTCTTCTATTTCATCTTCTGTCATGGATTCATCAAATTTGAAGGAATATTCTGTTGCAATAGAAGTTGAATCTAAAAAAGAACGTGGAGAAACTAGATTTTATCATTGTAATTGTTCTCAACAGTTATTCAATTAGCCTTTTAACTCTTTATGTGATGATCAGATATAAATTCATACAACTGATCAGTAGCAATTAATAGGCATGATGTTGATCAATTCAATCTTAAAGATTTATCTGATAGGTAGAGTTACAGACAGAGAGAGGGAGAGACAGAGAAAGGTGAACAACTCAATTTGAAAAACGAGTTCCAAGGGCTAGTGCTGTGGGGTAGTAGGCTAAGCCTCTGCCTGCACTACAAGCACTGGTTGGTGTTCCAGCTGCTCCTCTTCCAATCCAGCCCTCTGCGTACGGCCTAAGAAAGCAGTGGAACACAGCCCAAGTGTTTGGGTTCCTGCACTCACATGGGAGACCCGGAAGAAGTCTCCTGGCTTCAGATCGGCCCAGCTCCGGCCATTGTGGCCATTTGGGGAGTGAACTTTCTCTTTCCGTAACTCTGCCTCTCAAATAAGTAAAATCTTAAATAAATAATTAAATACATGAGATACCACAATATGCTTTTTAGAATATATAAAATCCAAAAACCTGAAAATAAAAAATCGGTGGCAAGAGTACAGAGCAATAGGAATTTATACTCAATTGCCAATGAGAACAATGGTGTGGTGGATGACACTTTCACTGTGTATTGTAAGACTTACCACATAAGTGGCAACCACACGCTGAAGTATATATCAAGTGATATGAAAACTTATGTCTATACAAAAACCTATATACTAATGTTCATAGTATCATTATACATAACTGCTATGAAGTGGAAGAAACTACAATGTCCTTTATGAAATGTGTAGTTACAGCCATACAACTAACTGCTATTCAGTTATTAAAAGCAACAAGCTATTGATTCTTCCAACATATATGAATTTTTAATGTATTTTACTAAGCGAAGAACAAGCTACAAAAGGCTATATTGTATTATTTCATTGTTATAACATTCTGATTTCAGAATTTATCTAAGATAAAACTCTTAGATAGAAAACAGATTAATGATTGCAGGTATCTGGGGGAAGAGGGAGTAGCTGACTACCAACAGGGACATTCAAAGTGAATGAACTGTTATATATGATTTTGTATGCTTTGTATGATGCTGTGCATCCTGGGACTGTGTATCACAAAAAGTAAATTTTAACATGTAAACTAAACAAGCTCACACACGTATCAACTGAGATGTTGGAGGATCTTTGGAGGGAATGCAGCCTGTAACACATGAATCTAGCTGTATTATAATTGTGTGGTATAATGACACTGAAGAAGGTGGAAGCTGACCTAAGTAACTTACCCGGTGTTCTGGCTGGAAAGTATAAGCATAAGACAAAAGAAGCAGTACATATATTTGTATCCTACTTGGCCAATTTTCTTAGTGATGCAGGTTACATATACTCTGGAATTGTCGAGTTGGAGAGTTCCTTACACACTCTGGATATAAGTCCTTTAACATGTGATTTGCAATATTGTCTCCCAGTCTGTGGCTTATCTTTTCATTTTAACAGTGTCACTCACAGAGCAAAAATCATTTAAACTTAAATAAGTACAATGCCTCCATTTTTCCTTCCAAGGGTCATACTTGAAGTGTTACATCAAGAAAGTCATCGCCACATCAAAGAAAACACAAAGAAATCTCCCATCCACTGGTTCACTCATCAAATGCTCCCAACAGCTGGGCCTGTGCCAGGCCAAAGCTAGGGGCTAGGAAGGTGGTAAGCACTGATCACTTGAGCTGTCGCCTGCTGTCTCCGCGGTATGCTTGCTTTAGCAGGAAGCTGGAGCTGGGCGTGGAGATGGGACTCACCCAGGCACTCCATTATGCTGTGTGCACATTCCCTGTGGAATCTGAAGCTTTGTGCCAAATGCCTGCCCTAAATTTATTTTTTAATTCCACTCTTCCATGAACCTTCTGAAGTACTCTCATATTTTTTGCACTCATGACATACCTTTTTCTTAATATTTTCAATATTTGTACAATACATGGTTCATTTGCACATTTTTTCAAATGGTTGAAAATCTCCAAATAAAATCCACAAATAAGTGGCCCTATACACTTTAATACCCACGTTGTTCAAGGGTCGACTATAGTTACTTGAAAATTATTTATTCACCATGGTAAACACCTAAGATACAACTTTTTTTTTTTTTTTTTTTGACAGGCAGAGTTAGACAGTGAGAGAGAGACAGAGAGAAAGGTCTTCCTTCCGTTGGTTCACCCCCCAAATGGCTGCTACAGCCTGCACTGCACCGATCCAAAGCCAGGAGCCAGGTGCTTCCTCCTGGTCTCCCATGCAGGTGCAGGGCCCAGGGACTTAGGCCATCCTCCACTGCACTCCCGGGCCATAGCAGAGAGCTGGACTGGAAGAGGGGCAACCGGGACAGAACCGGTGCCCCAACTGGGACTAGAACCCGGGGTGCCGGCGCCGCAGGCGGAGGATTAGCCTAGTGAGCCGCGGCACCGGCCCCCGAAGATACAACATTAAACAAGTCACATGTGATTACTACATATCTTTTAAGGCTCACATATGTTATTGATAATTAAATTTGTTACCAATATTTTCATTACAAACACTATTATTAATGAGGTTAAACTCAGCAGAGGTTAAATTTGTGCTATAGGAGAACCTTAACAGATTATTCTTCTATTATTTTCCCATATCCTTTATTTCTCACCCATATGGAAGTGACTGTTGTGAGATTTGGCCCTAAAATGAATTTAATTACTGTTAAATTTAGCAGTCTACGAAACACTTTTGGTTGTGTGTATCTGTCAATTAAAAAAAAAATCTGAGCACCCCTCCCAGCATTAATGAACTGCGCATTACTCTGGGGAGGCGGCTTACACAACAGACCCGTGTGTTCAGTCTGGAGGCCAGAGGTCCAGTACTGAAAGTGCCAGACGGGTGGGTCTGGGGGAAGCCGCCTCTCCTGGCTTGCAGGCAAGTATTTCCTGGCTCCGTCCCTCTGCAGCCTTATCAGTCTGTACTTCTGACGCCTTTTCTTCTTCGTGAAAGGACACTAGCTTACTGAACTGCTTACCTTTCTGACTTCACTTAACTTTTTTTAATCCATTAAAAGCTCTATCTCCAAACAGAGTCAACACGGGCAGGGAAGGCCACAGCATGCAAAATTTGAGGGGTTCTCAATTCAGTATGTAACATTCCACTACCTAGTTCCCCAAAACTCACGTCCTTGCATACAAGATATATTCATCTCATCTCAGAACTTCCAAAAGTCTTAGCCTATTCTGACATCAACTCCAGGTCCAAATCTCCTAAGTCCTCATCCATTTCTGAAATGTGTCAAACTCAAGTCATGTTTCCATCCTGAGGCAACATTCCTGTCCAGTTATGAATCCAAAAATCAGAAAAGTTCTGTGCTTTTAAAATACAATACTGGGGGCCAGCGCTGCGGCTCACTAGGCTAATCCTCCGCCTGCGGCGCCGGCACCCCGGGTTCTAGTCCCAGTTGGGGCGCCGGATTCTGTCCTGGTTGCCCCTCTTCCAGGCCAGCTCTTCCGGGAAGGCAGTGGAGGATGGCCCAAGTCCCTGGGCCCTGCACCCGCATGGGAGACCAGGAGAAGCACCTGGCTCCAGATCAGCGCAGTGCGCCGGCCACAGTGCGCCGGCCTCAGCGTGCCGGCCGCAGTGGCCATTGGAGGGTGAACCAACGGTAAAGGAAGACCTTTCTCTCTGTCTCTCTCTCTCACTGTACACTCTGCCTGTCAAAAAAAAAAAAAAAAATACAATACTGGGACAGGCTTGGAGCAGACATTCCCACCCAAAGGGGAGAAACTGTGAAGAACAAAGAGGTAACCTGTCCCAAGCAAGTATAAACCCTCACAGGGAAAATTCCATGAGCCAAATCATCTTGGGCTTGACGCTCTGCCCTCTGGGCCAATCACAGTGGCAACCCCATCTCTTTTTTTTTTTTTTTTTAAGATTTATTTATTTATTTGAAAGGCAGAGTTACAGAGGGGCAGAGGCAGAGAGAGAAAGAGAGACAGACAGAGACAGAGAGAGAGAGAGAGGTGTTCCATCTGCGGGCTCACTCCCCAAATGGCTGCAATGACCAGAGCTGAGCAGATCAGAAGCCAGGAGCCAGGAGCCCCCTCAGGGTCTCCCACGTGGGTGCAGGGGTCCAAGGACTCAGGCCATCTTCTACTGCTTTTTCAAGCGATAGCAGAGAGTTGGACCAGAAGTGGAGCAGCCAGGACCTGAACTGGCGCCCATATGGGATACCACAGGTGGCAGCCCCACCCACCACGCCACAGTGCCCTCCCTGGCAGCCCCATCTTTTAAGCCCACTTTGGTGGTGGCCTCAATCCTTAAGGCCATGGGCAAGGCAGACGGGCCCTTAAAGATGAAGTGACCCCGGCTGCTGAAACAGAGAAGATAACACTGCCACCTGGGCTTGCGTGCTCTGGGCCTGTGGAGACAGCAGTGGCCTTTGTCATCTCTGATCTGCCCCAGGAGTCACTCTTCCTTTTTCTTGAAGGGTAAAGTATGTTCATGGATGGAAAAATTCTGCTGTCCTGTCCTACAGGATCCCAGTCCTCTGAGGGACCTGTCTTCCTTAGTTCAAACTGGCAGTGTCTTTGGGGAACAACCTCATCTTAATTCCTGGCCTCTGCAGAGACGACTGATCAAACCCATAGGTAATCTCTTCATAGAGTGAATGGCCATCCACACCCTTGGTGTTCTCTCTAGAACACGTTTTTTCATTTTTTACAATATGGATAGGCTAAGAATGGTTCCTTTTTGCTTAACAATACCTTCCTTTTATTATAAGCAGTGAGAAACCAGGACACACCTTCCACACTGCCTAGAAATATTCCCAGCCAAATACCCAAGTGCGTCATTTTTAACTTTACTTTCCAGACAACACCAGAACACAATTCAGTCAAACCATCTGCAACTCTATGGTAAGGACCACCTTTCCCGTAGCTGCCAAACAAATGATCACGCACACATGTGCGAGCAGGGTTACCTTTCTCATCAGGAAGCGAAGGGACACTATCGCTCCGCAGAGAGTCATCCACAGCAGTCGGAACCTGCTCTTCCGCCAGACTCTCCAGCTTTTCACCTGGAAGTTTCTTCTCAGTTTCCTTGCAAGATGGACTTTCTTGACGGCTGCTACCACTACTGCTTCTGTTCATGGACATTACAGAAAAAATGTAAAAGGCAATAAAATAAGAATCACAACTTCAAAGTAAACTTCACTGGCCAAAGGACTATATATTCTAATCAAGATATGAAATGAAGAAAAATGTCATATAAAATATAAAAAGTTAAGTAGACCGCAGTCTGAGAATAAACTATTCTGAAAAAGATGAATAGGAGAGAGGAAAGCTTTATCCTGAAATAAACATAACAGCAATCATCCGCCATTCTTAAACTACCCTTCTCTTTCTCCTTTTATTTTGAAAGTTAAACTTCTGGGAAAAAGGGGCTTCTACTCAGTCTGCCCATTTCCTTCTTTTCATGAACATCATAATTTACCACAACCTGCTTGCATCCCCGGCTGCTCTACTAGCCCTGTTCCTGACCAACTATCTAGATTGCCAAATCTAACAGACAATTTCTCTCTCTCTGACACACTGAAAGATGCTGGCCTCCACCTCCTGTAAGAGCTCTGCTCGGGCTGGCACTGCGGCAGCACAGGTTGAGCCATCCTTTGGGACGCCCTTCTCCCACACAGGAGTGCTGGCTTCACTTCACTCAGTGATGCACGTGGGAAGGCAGCACACGATCGTTAGGTGCTCATGTGGGAGACCGAGAAGCAGTTCTGGGCTTCTGGCTTCAACATGGCCCGGCCCTAGCTGTTGCAGGGATTTGGGGAGTGGAGCAGATAGAAGGTATCGCTCTCTCCCTCTTTCTCTGTCACTCTCCCTTTCAAACAAATAAATCTTTAAAAAAACAAACAAACAAAAAAAACAAAAAAAAACAAAAAACCTCTATTTACTAAAGAAAATGAGAAAATGTAGTGAAATGTTAGCGTTAGGGTAATCTGGATGAAAGGAAGTTGAAGATTTTGTATGAGTCACATTTTCTCTGAAAGCCTGAATGACTTCACATGTAATGGTGAAGAAATGATCCCTCTTTATTACGGCGCACAATTCTACTCTCACCCCTTCTCTGCCCACCTCCCTCCCGAACAAGCTCTCCCTGCGCTTGGTTTTAGTTGCTCTGACTTCCCTTAAAGTGATGGTGCTCACTAGGGTTTGTTTTGGTTCCTTTCTCTTTTATGCTACATATTCCCCTTGGGCAACGTTACATGTCAAGGAATGTTGGTCATTCCTGTCCCTGTGTTCATGCTGTATTTATCAGAATATAATGCAGCTGTCTGGCTTAATCCATTTTTTCTTATATAAAGCTATAGAAGATATAATACAGCAAACAGTAAGGGCTTGAAGTCACAAAGGTACCTATCAGATTGAATCCCAATTCTGTCACTCAGTAGCTATATGCCAATGATTCACTCAATGAACATGCAGTATACTGCCTCTTGTATGCTAAGAACTTTGCTATGTTTGGGGGTGTAACTACACATGGCCCCCTCTCCAGGACAGCCATCATCAAAAAGACGCTAACAAGTACTGGTGAGGATATAGAAAATCTTAAACTTCTTATGGGAATCTAAAATAGTGAAGCTACTTTGGAAAACTGCAACTCTTGAACAAGTTAAATTCTTCAAAAAGGCAAATAAAGAGTTACCACGTGACCCAGCAGTTCCACTTCTAAGTATATATTCAAGAGAAATAAAAATGTGTCCACACAAAAGCTTGTACATTTTGCTGACAGTATCATTCACAACAGTCAACACCCATCAGCTGATGAATGGATAAATGAAATGTGGCCTATCTGCACAACAAAATACTATTTGGCATATAAATTAAGTAGTGATACAAGCTACACACAGATCATGCTAAGTCAAAGAAGCCAGTCACAAAAGGATCATATATTTTATGATGCCAAATAGGCAATTCATATAGAAAGTGACAGAAAGGAGATTAACGGTTGCCAGAGTGGGAACACAGAAAATAACTACTAATGGATGCGGATTTCTTTTGAAGGTGATAAAAATTAAACCTTCAAAGAGCTTCTAATGGGGCCACTGTTGTGGCATAACCAGTTGGGCTGCAACCTACAACACTGGCATCCCATATGTGTGCCAGTTTGAGTCCTGGCTGCTTCATTTCCAATCCAGCTCCCTGCTAATGCACCTGGGAAATCAGCAGAAGATTGGGCCCCTGTACCTACATGGGACACCCAGAACAAGCTATTGGCTTGGCTCCTGGCTTCAGCCTTGCCCAACCCTGGCTGTTACAGTCATTTGGGGAATAGATCAGTAGATGGAATACCCTCTCTCTTTCTCTCTATCTCTGTCTCTCTCTCTCTATCCCTCTCTCTCTGTAATTGTACCCTTCAATATAAATAAAATGAATCTTTTTTTTAAAAGAGCTTCTAGCCTACATAACTGATAAATAAGGGAATAAAAATATGGAAGGTGAACAAGACTGTAATCATTTTATCCAGAGTGCCATGGAAGAACACAGAAGGGATATCTAAAGCAGGGACATCACAGATTCTTGATGAGCAAATAAAAGTAGGCTACAGGAAAAGGAGGGTAGAGGGTGTGGAGAGAAGGGGCATCGTACATAAAGACAGGGGAAACAGAGAGCATGGTTCTTTTAGATATTTACAAGCAGTTATAGAGAGTGGATTATAATAAAAGAAAGGTCAAGAGACAGGGCTGGAGATGGACCAAATGTTCAATTATAAAGGGACTTTTATGCCACACTAAATGATTTGGATTTTACCTGGAATGTTCTGTGAGAATACTGAAGGTGTCAAACAGATGAATAACCAAATTGGCTGCAAATTTCAGAAAAACCATTCAGGTTACCATGCGGTGAATGAATAGAGTGAGGAAAGATCAGAGAATTCAGAGTCCACTGCAGGGGCAGGCACTGCGGTGCAGCAGGTTAAGTTACTGCTTCAGATGCCTGCATCCCACACTGGAGTGTCTGGCTCAGGTCCCGGCTACTCCAGGCTTCCGATCCAGCTCCCTGCTAACGCACCCCGGGGAGACAGATGACGGCTCAAGTACTTGAGTGCCTGCCACCTGCAAGGGAAGGAGACCCAGATGGAGCTCCAGGCTCCTGCCTTCAGCCTGGCCCGGTTCTGGCTGCTGTGGGCTGGGGAGTGAATCAGCAGATGGAAAAATTTTTTTCTCTGTTTGTGTGCATTACTCTACCTTTCAAATAAATAAATAAACAAACATTTAAGAAAAGAACCGATTGCAGTAATCTAGAAATGAATGCAGCTTAGTGAAGGTAAGTGTCAATAAATTAAAGTCACACAGTTCTGGACACATAATAGGTACTCGATAACTGCTGGTATTTATCCCACATTTATTTTTATACTTTTTAGTCACATGATTTACGTTTCTAAATTAAGGTGTTTATCATACTTGATTATGTTGGTATCCTAACTTTAAGAATGCTATGAAGTAGATTTTAAAAGCCGAGGGCAGAGCCATAATAGAAAACTACAAGGGGCCGGCGCTATGGCTCAGTGGGTTAAACCCCTGGCCTGAAGAGCCAGCGTCCCATATGGGCGCCAGTTCTAGTCCCGGCTTCTCCTCTTCCAATCCAGCTCTCTGTTATGGCCTGGGATGGCAACAGAAGATGGCCCAGGTCCTTGGGCCGCTGCACCCATCTGGAAGACTCGGAAGAAGCTCCTGGCTCTGGATTGGGGCAGCTCCAGCCGTTTCGGCCATCTGGGGAGTGAATCAGTGGATGGAAGACCTTTCTCTCTGTCTCTACCTCTCTCTGTAACTCTTTCAAATAAAATGAAATAAATCTTAGAAAAAAAACTACAAACAATAATATTATAAAATGTATATATGATAATGTCAAGAAATATGAATGCTAACTAGGAAATATGCAATAATCACAGATGTTAGAGCCAGATAAATCAATGTTCAACTCACTGGCTTGACACTATCTATTCTGTGACCTTCGTGTGAGTTTCTTAAGATCTCTATGGGCCTCAGTTCCCAAATCTGTGAAGATAATATTATCTTCCTTAGAAAGCTGCTGTCAAGAGATTAAATGTAGGAAAAACAACTTGCACAGTGCTTATACAACTAGGCACTTAAGGATTAGTAGTTTAGCAAGAATCAACTATTTTAGAAACTGACTAAATGTGGGAAGACAATACGTTGAAGGGCAGGTGCGGCTCTATTTAAAGAAACAAAAATAAAACGTCAAAGAAAAGCAATATTCAAACATTTTTCAGAGTTTCCTAAACCTTATTGATAAAAAAAAATCAAACCATCTTCACCTTCGATCATGATTCTTGTATCGTGACGACTCAGAGTAACTATCGTATGAAGGGGAATACTTCTGATGCCTTGAGTCAAGGGTGCCTTCTCTACTCTGGGAGAGTGAAACAGACGGACTGACCCTACAAAGAACATGAAAACAGAGTAAACATTCAAAGTCTTCAACAAGTTAAAGATTTTAAATATTGCCTCACAGTAATATGAATTACAGTCCTGGAATGAATGGAAATTAAGAAATAACTATTAAAAAGTATTTGAGAAAGAAAGGCATTGAACAGAAAAGAAAATGTAACACATTAATTAATATCATCCCCTTTATTAAGGGAAATAAATACAAAATTACTCCTAGTATCAGTGAATATGAATAGACTTCATATCTATTAATGAGATAGTTAAAAAGTAATTAAAGGGCCAGCGCCGCGGCTCAATAGGCTAATCCTCCGCCTGTGGTGTCAGCACACCTGGTTCTAGTCCCAGTCGGGGCGCCAGATTCTGTCCCAGTTGCCCCTCTTCCAGGCCAGCTCTCTGCTGTGGCCAGGGAGTGCAGTGGAGGATGGCCCAAGTGCTTGGGCTCTGCACCCCATGGGAGACCAGGAGAAGCACCTGGCTCCTGCCTTCGGATCAGCGCGGTGTACCAGCCACAGCGCGCCGGCCGCGGCGGCCATTGGAGGGTGAACCAATGGCAAAGGAAGACCTTTCTCTGTCTCTCTCTCTCACTGTTCACTCTGCCTGTCAAAAAAAAAAAAAAAAAAAAGTACTTAAAAACACCCACACACATGATCATGTCTCCCAGCCCTGCCTAAAAAACTCTTTAATGACTTTTCACTGTTGCCATAACAAACTCCAAAATCCTAAAGTCTGTGAGGTCCCACCAGGGTCTCACACCATCTCACCCCATTCTCCTCTTTGCTTGCTGCCTCCAGTCTCACGAGTTTACTTTTCTTTTCCTAAATATTACATGCTCCTTCTTTCTACTACTTCCTTGCACTCCCAGGATACTGAAATTCCTGTACTGCGTACCTGAGACATGTTCCTTTCTTTCCGAACGCTTATCTGTTTCCTGTGCTCATTCACTAGACCGAATATCTGTCTAAGGTTTCTCTCCTCCACCGGACTGTATGCCCGGAACTGCACTCCAGGTGCCCAGAATAGTGCCCCGGAGATAACGGCTACTTATCACGTATTAGCTGAATGCGTGAATACTAACCTATCTGTTTCAGCGCTGGTCCTCAGATGTTTCATGAATTCTGGAAGGTGCTGCCGCTGGTGATCATACAGTGTCGCAAGGGGAGCTCCTGGACCAGTGATGGCATCTGAGATATGGGTTCGAGTCAACTCTGCCATCTAAATATGAACACACATAACAAAGGCAAAAGTAGGTATAAAACGGTAATGTCACAGAAGTTCAGAAAGGGGAGGAGCACAGTGTCTTAGAACGAGCACTAGACCAAGTCTAGTGCCACTAACAGATGAAATATTATGGGCAAGTCATTTAGCCTTTTTAAGTCTCAGCCTCATCTCATAAAAATAAAAAGTTGTACTACATCATTACCAAGTTATAATAATTTAAGAATCAGACAGAAAACCTTCAATTTACAATGAGAAGTAGTAAACCAAAAATTACATCTTCAAGAATCAATTAAATTATTACTTTCTTTCTAAGTATTTTCTAATAAACGGCATGAAGTACATTTTCCCTACTCTTAACCACTACTGCACTTTCTTTATGTATTATTCATCTGGTATGTATTCAATAGCTGCTTCTAAGCTTCTCCTTCTACTGATGACTTAAAAGTATTTTTGAACTCTGTTAATGTTATTTACTACATTTAGATTTTCCTTGAGGAAGACTCAATTTTTATACTTATTTGTACGAGCATATGTGGGTACCCCACAGTACCAAACATACAGCAGATTCATGGATTTTTAAAAACTGAGTCATTCCACAAACAGTCCTAACTTCTGTGTTAAAATTTAATTGCTAAAATAAAGTAAAACTGTGTCTATGAGATCCTGTATAGAGACAACAACAAACCTATTTCTGACTTTACTCTAGGTGCAGAAGACAAGACACTAATACCATTCTGGGACAAAATGAAGCATTTCCACACAAAGCTTATTGGTGTCTCCCTGGGATGACATTAGGGACCGACAACAAAGAGGCATACAGGGAACTTTTTGGAGTGGCAGAAAATTCTATTTCTTAATTATAGTGCTGATCCTACAGGACAATATATACCATATGCTTAAAAACGCATGGATGTCATTGTTTCTAACCAGTGCATCGGTCCAGTCCGCTCTTTTCTACAGAGCTCACCAGAGGGCAGACAGCTAGAGCTCTTCTCCATCTTCCCCCTCTCTAACACGGACATACACAACACAGCCCCATACTGGTGGCTCTCCTTCACCAGGAGATGAGCCCCCACTAAATTTGTGACTCATTTAAAGCAGGCATTAGCTAGATGTCAGAACCGTTTCTGGTCATAACAAAGGAACTTAGACTGCCTAAAAAGAGCTAAAGCAAGCTGGGTGCTCAGTGGTTCTTACCTCACAGATCTGGCGCGCCGCATCCGTGGTGAGGCGAGCCGTCTCTGTCTGCTGAGCTGCTATTTTACACGTTGCTTCCTGCAGGACTTCCGTTACTTCACGCTGTGACTTAACCACCTGCTGTAGTGATTCTGCATGGACCTATAAATAAAAGGAGGATTAAAAAACACTCATGTTTCAGTCTCCTCTCCAAGTTTATAAATTTGTTTCATGGATCAAATGCCTTGACTGTGCTTGGAACAATTGACTACAATCTGGATTTCATGGTTTGAGTCTTAACTGCACCGTTCAGGCGGTGATGGGTCTATGGACAGGTCACCATTATGTACCTCAGTTACCACATCTCTAAATTGGATATAATTTTTGGCTATTTCGCAAGGTTGCTACAAGAATCAAATGACATGAAGTTATCCCATATAAAGTACTGAAATATTACATACATCTTTTCTTTCTCACTCCTATATAATGACAACAATGCTGAAGTGATTTCTAAGATATAAATTAAGGCTTAAAAAGCCAATACCAATACCTGAGCTGCTTTGTTTCGGGTTTCTTCTAATTGTCTCTGACACTCCAGAGCCTCTTGTTCAGCCTTCAGTTTCAAAAGGGCCAAGTCTCTTTCATGGCGTTGCTGTTGTGCCTTCAAAATAAAGAAATGGTCAAGATGCAGAACTCTTAGTATAGTGACTACAACGAACACTTTGCTACGTTCCATACACAAACCATTAGGAGCAACTAATTAGAGCATTAAGGAAAGAGAACAAACAGGACAGTCATCAGCCATGCATCATTTATCAAAATATTGACGACATCTGGCATAGTGGTTAAGACGCTGTGTGGGATGGTCCACAGCCCATGGCAGGAGTGCTCTACTCCCAATTCCAGCTTCCTGCCAATGTGCACCCTAGGAGACAGCAGGTGATAGCTCTAGTACTGGGGTCCCTGCTACTCATGTAAGAGGACTGGACTGAGGCCGGCGCAGCGGCTCACTAGGCTAATCCTCCGCCTGCGGCACCAGCACCCCGGGTTCTAGTCCTGGTTGGGGAGCCGGATTCTGTCCCGGTTGCTCCTCTTCCAGTCCAGCTCTCTGCTGTGGTCCAGGAAGGCAGTGGAGGATGGCCCAAGTGCTTGGGCCCTGCACCCACATGGGAGACCAGGAGGAAGCACCTGGCTCCTGGCTTTGGATCGGCATAGCGAGCTAGCCATAGTGGACATTGGGGGGGGGGGGGGGTTAACCAACGGAAGGAAGACCTTTCTCTCTGTCTGTCTCTCTCTCACTGTCTAACTTTGCCTGTCAAAAAAAAAAAAAAAAAAAAGAGGACTGGATTAAGTTCTGGTTCCTGGCCTTGGAATGGCCCAGTACAATTTGCTGGGGGCATTTGGGGAGTAAACCAGTGAATGGGAGATTTCTGTCTCTTTTTATCTTTCTGCCTTTCAAATAAAACAAATAAAAATTATTAAAGCTTAGAGTCAAATAATGTATGAATATAAAAAATTTCCAAAATATGCAAGAGTAAGAACTGATATAAAAAACCTAATCAGAAGGTAAATGCTGGGGCTCATGTTGTGACATAGTGCGTAAAGCTGCCACCTGAGACACTGGCATCCCATATGGGCACCTTTCAAGTTCTACCTGCTCCACTTCTCATCCAGCTACCTGCTAATGACCTGTAAAAAGCTATCTTTAAAGACTGATTTATTTATTTGAAAGTCAGAATTACACAGAAGTAGTAAGAGACAGACAGACTGAGATCTTCCATCTGCCGATTCATGCCTCAAACGTCCGCAATGGATGGGGCTAGGCCAAGCTGAAGCCAGGAGCCAGGAGCCAGGAGCTTCTTCTGGATCTCCCACATGGGTACAGGGGCTCAAGCACTTGGGCCATCTTCTGCTGCTTTACCAGGTACATAAGCAGGGAGCTGGATGGGAAATGGAACAGCTGAGTCTCGAACCAGATCCTATATGGGATGCAGGTGTTACAGGCGGCAGCTACCTGCTATACCACAAGGTTGGTCCCAGCATCTAACTCTTCGGGAAGGACAAAAATATGCGCTAAATGGGAAAATAAAGATAATATTTCACATCTTACAACTCTGATTGTTTTATGTTGACTTCAAAGGCGTAGTTTAATAAAAAATATTGCTCCCAAAAATCTTATCACCAGGACTCCTTCTTGCTATTATTTCATACAATGCTATCCATAAATGGATATTTTCATCTATTTTGAAATAGTGCTAAATAAATAATAAGGAAGGGTCTCTAGAGGTGGTTGGGCTGTATGTAAAGTTATATAATGCCCTGCCCAAATCTTGCAACACAGAACTATAATGTACCGCTTATATGGTAGAAAATCTCAGTGTTTCTTCAGGTTCTAGGAGAGCGTGGCCCTCCACTGCCAAAAAGCCATTTCCGTATCCTGGTGATGCTCAGCAGAGTTCTCATCAGTCTACACAGCCGCCATCAGGAGCACTGGGAAATGTGTAGCGCATTTCTGCTCTCACTCTTCCTAGATTCCACTATTGTTATTTAGTGAGAAGGATGCAGGAGTGCTATACTCCTGTAAATTATAGGACAGTCTCACACAAAGAACTGTCTTTAAGTTTTTGGGAAGAACATTCGGAAAATGAAATTTTAAAAATTTCATTTGCAATAGCATCAAAAGTATTTAGGAATAAACCTTTAAGGTTTATCTCTAAATGTGTAAGACCCCCTACACTGAAAATTATATTGCTGAGAGATATTAAAGAAGTTAAACAAATAGAAGAGTATATCATGTTCATAATGGCGCAGCGGGTTAAATCCCTGGCCTGAAGCACTGGCATCCCATATGGGTGCTGGTTCTAGTCTTGGCTGCTCCTCTTCTGATCCAGATCTCTGCCATGGCCTGGGAAAGCAGTAGAAGATGGCCCAAGTCCTTGGGACCCTGCACCCACATGGGCGGCCCACAAGAGGCTCCTGGCTCCTGGCTTCGGTTTGGTGCAGCTCTGGCCGTTGTGGCCATCTGGAGAGTGAACCAGCAGATGGAAGACCTCTCTCTCTCTGTCTCTACCTCATTCTGTAACTCTTTCAAATAAGTAAAATAAATCTTAAAAAAATAAAAAGAAAATGTAATACTCTTAAGATACTGAGTTCTTCCTAGACTAATCTATAGATTCAATGCCATTCTAATCAAAATCCCACCGGGTTATTATTTTTTTTTTTTTTTAGTAGTAACTGACAAACTAATTCTAAAAATTATGTGGGACTGTGAAAATAAAAAGCTAGGATAGGCCTGCGCCGTGGCTCACTAGGCTAATCCTCCGCCTTGTGGCACTGGCATACCGGGTTCTAGTCCCGGTCCGGGCGCCGGATTCTGTCCCAGTTGCCCCTCTTCCAGGCCAGCTCTCTGCTGTGGCCAGGGAGTGCAGTGGAGGATGGCCCAAGTGCTTGGGCCCTGCACCCCATGGGAGACCAGGAGAAGCACCTGGCTCCTGCCATCGGATCAGCGCGGTGCACCAGCTGCAGCACGCCGGCCGTGGCAGCCATTGGAGGGTGAACCAACGGTAAAGGAAAACCTTTCTCTCTCTGTCTCCCTCTCTCACTGTCCACTCTGCCTGTCAAAAAAAAAAAAAAAAAAAGCTAGGATAGCCAAAATCATCTTGAAGAAAAACAGATTTCGAGGAATCACACTGTCATCCCAAGCCTTACCATAAAACCACAGTACTAAGGGCAATATGGGCTGGCACTGAGGATAAGGAGACCAACAGAATGGAGCGCAGAAACAGATCTCTCCGTAAGCAGTCAATCGTTGACACAGCATCGCTAAGGTAATGTAAGCCTTTTTCAGAAACGGGGCTAGAACAACTGAATAGCCACATCTAGGGACAATAAAGTTTGACCCCCTGCTCACACTAAATTCTAAAATCAAACTGAAGAAGGATCACACACTTAAATATAAAAGCTAAAACTATAAAGCTTTTGGAAAAAACACAGGAAAATATCTTTGTTAGAGTATCATACTACATTAGGGTAGGCAAAGATGTCTTAGAAAATAAAAGGCACTACCACAGAAGAAAAGATTTAAAAGATTTCATCAAAATTAGAAAATTCTACTCCTTAGAAGGCACAGTCTAGGGGGTGGGCTTCATGGTACATACAGGAGGTTAAACCACTCGCTCGGATGTCGTCAGCCCATATTAGAGTGCCTGGGACAGAGTCCCTACTCAGCCTCCTACTAATGCATCTCTGAGGTCGCAAATGGTGACCCAAGCACTCAGGTCGCTGCCACCCTGATGAAGTTCCTGGTTCCTAGCTTCAGTCTGGGGCAGTTCTGGCTGTTGTGGGCATTTGGGGAGTGAATCACGGAATGGAAGATCTCTTTGTCTCTCTGCCTTTCAAATAAATAAATTATTTCCCCAAGGACACAGTTTAAAAAAATGAAAAAGTAAGTCAAGGACTAGGATGCAAACCCCAAAAGGATTTGTTCCCAGTATATAGTAAGAATTCCAATAACTCAATAGTTATAAAAGGTAATCCAATTGTGAATGGGCAATAGATTATTAAACAGACATTAACAAAAATATACATAAATAAGAATGGTCAATAAACTAAAAAAAAAAGGATCACAAACCTCATCATTAAGGGAAACAAATTATAGTCACAATGAGTTACTATCTGACCTCACTAGAATTACTACAATAAAAAAAAAAAACAAAAACCAGTGACACTAAATGAGAGCAATGAAAAGAACAACTGGAACTCTCCTATGTTGCTATAGGAGTATAAAATGTTAGGGTCATTATGGGAAACAGTACAGAAGATTCTTACAAAGTTTCAAATACTCAACACACTTGAACCAAGCAACTATTTCTTATGTGCTATGTAAGAAAAATCAAAGCATATGCTGTACACAAAGAGTCATAAAAAAGGTGCATAGTAGAAACATTTATAATAGCAAAATATGGAAATACTCCAAATGTACATAGCAGAACAGAAATGAAACATTACAAGGCAAAAAAGAAAAATTTTAAAAAACTATTGGTCAATAACATGGATAAATCTTACATTAATGTTGAATAAGATAAGCTAAACACAACAGGGGTCAAAGTATACTTCCCTTCAGATGACATTCTAAAATAGGCAAGAAACACTACACAACAAAACCAAACCTACTGTGCTAGCAATTATTTCCTAGGAAGACTAACTGAAAATGGTCACAAGTCAACTTTCTGGAGTGATGGGGAAATGTTCTCTATCTTGATTAGGGTGGTTGTTACCTAAGTGTGTACACTGGTCAAAACTCATAAAAAATGCATGCTTAAAATCTATGAACTCTGCAGCAGGGATGGGGTGGAGCGGGGTGTCAGTGCACTGGTTACGCCACTACTTAACTTCAGCGCCTGAGTTCAAGTCCTGTCCAGGATCTTGATTCCAGCCTCCTGCTAAGGCACATCTGGGAGGCAGCAGGTAATGGCTTCAGCACTTAGTTCTCTGCCACCCACATGGAAATCAGATTAAGTGCCCAGCTCCCAGTTCCACACAGCCAGGCTCGGCTGTTGGCCATTTGGGGAGTGAACCACTGCATGGTAGCTCTTTCTCAGACTCTGCCTCTCAAATAAAATGAAACTGAATTATTTTTAAAAAGAAAAATTAGAAAGATACACAGAACTCTCACTGAAGAACAATGCTTAGATCTTTGAATTTTATTTCCTAAAGAAAAATTCACATTATTGTGGCTTTATGAAACCGATCTCATTATCTTTTCCTCTGATACAAACAAGAAGTTTAAAAAATCACCTCTGACTTATCAATGAAAAGAGAAAATAGTAAGAATGTATGAGTAATTTATTTCACACTTTCATTAAAATAAAGCTTAGGGGGCCGGTGCTGTGGCGTAGCTGGTAAAGCTGCCTGCAGTGCCAGCATCCCATATGGGTGCTGGTTCAAGTCCTGGCTGCTCCACTTCTGATCCAGCTCTCTGCTGTGGCCTGGGAAAGCAGTGGAAGATGGCCAAGTCCTTGGGCCCCTGCACCCATCTGGGAGACCCAGAAGAAGCTCCTGGCTCCTGGCTTCGAATCGGCCCAGCTCCGGCCGTTGCAGCCAATTGGGGAGTGAACCAGTGGATGGAAGACCTCTCTCTCGCCTCCTCTCTCTGTGTAACTCTGACTTTTAAATAAATAATTTTTTTTAAAAAAGCAGAAAACATTTAAAAGAGAATGGTTTATTGCTCTGTTGCCAAACACTATATCTTCAACTTCTTTTCAGTACTCTATGCACTATTTCTCCCGGAGTTATTTACAGGTGTTACACAATGGTACTTCAAACTGCTTGTAGAAACAGAGTATTAATGATGCTTGGAGTTGGGCAGTTGGTGCAACCCCTTGAGATGCCGGCGTCCTTTATGCCGGCTGATGTGAGTCCTAGCCGCTCATGAGGGAGACTTGGTTTATGTCCCCAGCTCTGAGATCTGGCTCCAGCCCAGCCCTGGCTGTTGGGGGCATTTGGAAAAGAACCAGTAGTTGGGGCTTCTGTCTCTGTCCATCTGTCTTTCAAACAAATAAATATTTTGATTTTAAAAACATAAATTTTGGGACAAAACTGTTTAAAAATCCATGCATATTTTTTCATAAGATGCATTTCTATGGACTTTTTAAAGATCCCTCATACAGTAGACTATTTTTTTCTGTTTGGCAGTTTAAAAATACTTTTTTAACTCATCATTCAGACCAGTTTAAGTAACAAAGATAAGGAAAATTTACAGAGAGCTAAAGAAGAAAACTCCAGGGCAGCACTGCGGTGCAGCAGGTGACACTGCTGTGTGCAACACTGCCATCTGACATCGAAGTGCTGGGCCAGATCCCGGCTGCTCCGCTTCCCATCCAGCTCCCTGCTACTGTGCCTGGAGAGCATCAGAGAATGGCCCAAGCACCTGGGCCTCTGCCACCCATGTGGGAGACCTGGATGGATTTCTGGGCTCCTGGCTTTGACCTGGCCCAGCCCTGACTGCTGCAGCCATTTGGGGAGTGAACTAGAGGACAATTCTCTGCTGCTCTGCCTTTCAAATAAATAAGTAAACCTGAAGAAGAAGAAGAAAAAAACTCCACAAATACCTTTATGACCTGAGCCAGAGACACACTCTCCTGCTGAGCAAGTGAAATGCCTCTAACTCTCTCTACATCTGACAGCTGACGCACAGACTCCTCAAGGGCACTCAGATAACTGAGCTCTGCTGTCATCCGGTGCTGGAGGCCAGCAGGGGAAAAGCGCTTAGCACCTGGAAAGACATAACAACTGTCAAGTGCAGAAGTTCACAGGAAACAGCACCTCAGACTTCTAAAATGTATTTCCCATTGAAGACCCAAAATGAGGTTGCTTTCTTATGTAGGAAAGAAAATGACTTACTAGAACGACGTATTTTAATAGTTTCCCTCTTTTATGTGTGTATGTGTGTGTATATATATATATATATACATGCATACATATATACCTATAAACACTTAAGAGTGCATATACGGTGTCGCTCCCCCTCTTCATGGAGGAACGACACAGGACCCTGCGCTGTTCTTTCGTCTGCTCGGCCCTCCCCGGGTTTGCTGCTGGTTCTTCCCGGGTTGGCTACTATCCCTTCCACCTCCGTGGAAGGGCGGTTCCCCCTGCCACTTTCCCCACTTCCGCAGGGGAGCGGCACACCGCCGGCCGGCTTTCTCGGGGGCTGCACAGGTGTTCCTTCAGCTAGATGTTCCCCTTAGATGTTCCTCGTGCATGCTGTCTCTCTCCTCCTTTATAGTCCTCCTCCGCCAATCCTAACTCGGCTGCCCACACGCCGAGTACGCTGCTCTCCTCCAATCAGGAGCAAGTCCTACAGTTTATTAGCTGAACTGGAGGCAGCTGTGTGGAAGCTGTTTACTTCTCTCCCAGCGCCATATTGTGGGAGAGCAGATGCATAGAATAAGTCTTAATTCCAGTAACTCAGTCCAGTCCGGGCTGCTCCCCACAATACGGGACATACTCTCCAGGAGTGTTTTAACTAATCTGTTTTAAATCACTATTTAATCTCTCATACTTTTCAATATTTAATTTCCTGCACAGTTTTTAATACTTCAAAGAATAATCACATTCACTTGAAATAATATTACCTGGGGCCGGCGCTGTGGCATAGCAGATAAAGCCTCTGCCTGCAGTGCTGGCATCCCATGTGGGCCCTGGTTCAGGTCCCGGCTGCTCCACTTCCGATCCAGCTCTGTTATGGCCTGGGAGGGCAGTGGAGGATGGCCCGAATTCTTGGGCCCCTGAACCCACGTGGGGGACCCAGAGGAGGCTCCTGGCTCCCGGCTTCGGATCGGCGCAGCTCTGGCCATTGTGGCCAGCTGCGGAGTGAACCAGCGGACGGAAGACCTCTCTCTCTCTCTCTCTGCCTCTTTTGTCTGTGTAACAATGACTTTCAAATAAAGAAATAAATCTTTAAAAAAAAAAACAACATTTCCCTATGGCTCAGGAAAAAGCAAAGGAATTCCTGGGATGGGAACTGCACGCAGCTACACTCACCTGGTGCTGATGCCGTCTCGGTGGCTATTTTGCTGGCAGCCAGATTTGTATCCACGAAAGCGGCATTAGGCGTAAAACCTGCTGCAGCTGAAGGCATCACTACCGAGGATTTAGATCTCTCCAGCGAAGTTCCTGGAAGGTCAAACAGTTTCTGGGAACTTGGAGAAAGGGGAGAAGTTGGAGTTTTCGGAGATCTTCCTCTGTCTGATGAGACACTAGAAGACATTCACGAAAGGAAAACTACTTTGAGAAATAGCTAGAGAATTTTCAAGAAAAACACACATCGCCTTATCAATATCGGCTTTAAAAGTCATGATCTAGGAATTTGTTTATTCGACAGTTGCCTGGCTGAACGAGGACCTGAGTACTCCTCTAGTGTCTGGATTTACAGCGGTGGCTACGCCATGCACAAACCCTGCCCTGGACACAATGGAAAGGGACTATCCTAACTAAACTGGCTCTCAACTCTCTCCCCTCCAAGGTACACGTGTCAGGACCAACTCACTACTCTTGTATAAGGAAAAGTCTTCTAAAATAGTCAGACCAATAAGCAATAAGATTATAGCCATATATGTAAAAGACATCTTATAAAAGTCTTAAAATACCTCTGAAAAAGAACACTCTATTAAAAGTTAAGAAATAACAGAAATTGTCATTCCCTCCTCTGTAAGCTTAAGGAAAAATTATTTTCACATTATTGATCTCTAAATACATAATAAGTTCATTTATTTATCTTTTAATACTATATCTTTTTTCTAAACTTTCTATTAAGTAATCTCTCAACAGTTTGATTTTTCACAATTAAGACATTTAATACAAAGCCCATGTCTAGGTCCTCTTTGTGACAGAAAATTCATCAAAGGTATTATTTTTCATAATATTAAGCATACAGCCTTGCATTGAATATTTATTTATTGAATTAATTATTCAAAGATAATCTATAAAGTATTTGCAGTTAACATATTTCCATTATTCTAAAATAAACCTTGGGGCTAGCTCTGTGGCACAGCAGGTAAAGCCACCATCTGCGTCCCATATGGGCACTGGTATTCCATATTTTCACTGGTTTGAGTCCAAGCTGCTCCATTTCAAATCCAACTCGCTGCTATTGTGTCTGGGAAAGCAGCGGAAGATGGCCCAAGCGCTTGGGCGCCTGTAACCACAAAAGAGACCTGGAAGAAGCTCCTGGCTCCTGGCTTCGGATCAGCCCAGCTCCAGCCATTGTGGCCATTTGTGGAGTGAACCAGCAGGTGGAAGACCTCTCTCTGTCTCTGTCTCTGTCTCTCCCTCTTTCTCTTTCTAATTCTGCCTTTCAAATAAATAAATCTTTAAAAGAAAAAGTCTGTTTTTAGCTTCCAATAAAATTTATGAGATAGTTTTCAAAGGTAAAATTTTTCGTTGTCCTCAGCATGAAGATATTTGAGAAAAAACAGTCTTGAGAGGCACTCACTTGTTTACCTTGATCTTTAGTTACCACTGACATTTTAAAGAAATGCCACCATCGTCCTCCCGTATCCATGGAGGACTCCCTCTGAGACTTCAGTGCCTTGGACAGTTTCTGGAACCAGACCTGAGAGCTACTACCTCTTTTCTTCTACTTCCCCAGTTTTCTGTTTTTTCATCTCCACTAAGCAATTAACTCACTCTGGCTGACCCTTCTGTCCTTGGGGGTGTGACAGCGAAAGTAGCATGAATCCCCTTCTCCTTCTTCAGAAAGTTCACTCTTATCGTAGACCTTAGCAAACGCAACATTTGATTTCTTTTCTTTCCTTATTACACACTTCTGCCTTTTCCCATAAAGGAAGCACTTCACGGCTTCTCTTTGGCATATCTAAACTGCCTGTATCACTACTCTTGAGCTTTGAGGTGATTATGAAGTAAAACAAGAGTTACGTGAATCTCCGCACTGTGGTTCCATGCAGTGACAACAGCTCTAAGAGCTGAAATGGCCAGTAGGTGACTAAGGGACAAGCAGTGTGTGGACACACTGCACAAGCCAATGACTCACATCCTCTGGAAGTCAGAACTGGATGGCAGAGATTTTATCATGCCACTCAGAATGGCACGCAATTTAAAACCTACAAATCGTTGATTTGGGGAACATTCTATTGAATATTTTTGGACCTCACTTGACCACAGGTAACTGAAACTGCAGAAAGCAAAACTGTGGGAAAGGGGGCCGGCGCCGCGGCTCACTAGGCTAATCCTCCGCCTAGCGGCGCCGGCACACCGGGTTCTAGTCCCGGTCGGGGCGCCGGATTCTGTCCCGGTTGCCCCTCTTCCAGGCCAGCCCTCTGCTGTGGCCAGGGAGTGCAGTGGAGGATGGCCCAGGTGCTTGGGCCCTGCACCCCATGGGAGACCAGGAAAAGCACCTGGCTCCTGGCTCCTGCCATCGGATCAGCGCGGTGCGCCGGCCGCAGCGCGCCAGCCGCGGCGGCCATTGGAGGGTGAACCAACGGCAAAGGAAGACCTTTCTCTCTGTCTCTTTCTCTCCCTGTCCATTCTGCCGGTCATAAAAGACTAATGCAAATATTACTGATTTGCAACTGTGGGAAAGGGGGGCATATAGTATTTCTAACAGTGCTAATTTTGTTTATGGAATATAAAAAATTATTGTAATCAATCTCAATTGAGAAATTCCAATACAACATCAGACAAAGTACTCTATCTGCACCTCCCATTATGGTTCACAAGAGGAACTGATACAGGCTTTGCAGAGAAGACTCACCTAGCGCGTCCAAAAGCTTATTTCCAACAATTGTAATACATTTGAAAAAGGGGAAGAAGGAACAAAGGACAGAGGTGTGTCCAAAGCCAAATAAGTTAACAAAATAACAGGTTAAATGGCTTTGAAGCCTGGAACTATTTTTCCATTGTGGATCTCCATGGGTAGGGAAAGGTGAGCCAGACTACAATGTGGAGCATTTAAGAAATTTATCTGGATACTGATCCTATTTTAAAAATGTTTAACTTGATAGGTTTTGTCAAATAAATTATCAGGGTATCTCTTCAAAGAAGGTTGAGTTTTCTGAGTTCTAGAATCACAAACAAAATTAGTTTTAAATATAGCAGTGATGGGGACCAGCACTGTGATGCAATAGGTTAAGCCTCTGCCTAAAGTGCTGGCTTCCCTTATGGGTGCCAGTTCAAGTCCTGGCTGCTCCACTTCCAATCCAGCTCTCTGCTAATGCCCTGGGAAAGCAGTGGAGGATGTGGGAGACCTGGAAGAAGCTCCTGGCACCTGGCTTCAATTGGCCCAGCTTTGGCCATCGTGGCCATTTGGGGAGTGAGCCAGCAGTTGGAAGACTTTTCTCTCTCTCTCTCCCTCTCTAACTCTGCTTCTCAAATAAAATAAATAAATCATTAAAATAAATAAGTAAATCTTTTAAATAAATAAATAAAAATATAGCAGTGATGGTGCTAAGGATGAAGTATTATTTGTAGCATGAAGGCATTAAAATGGATATCTGTATTTGTACATCAAATAATACTAAAAAAAAAGTTACTTAAAAAAGAAAAAAATTGTATTTTCTCAGATCCTCAGTTTCCAAAAGGACAAAACTAGTGCACAGACAAAAAGTCACATGGACAAGTTACTAGGAACTGTACAGAAAGCAATACCTGATAGTTACTTGTAAGCCATAAGCTTACAAACAGATCATAGTAAAAAGGAGAAGAAAACATGGAGTACGCAAGCTCCATGATCAGTATAAAGATGAGATTTCAAAATAGGCTTCAGTGGTCTAGTAGTTTGAGCAGGAGAGAAAAGCTTAAAAGAACAAATAAACAAGACCCAAGGGATGCTAAGCAGACAAACAAGACCCAAGGGATGCTAAGTGGTTGTGCGGAAAAAAGAATACAGTGAGAACACAATCTGCAGAGAAATAAGCTACTTCCTGGTGGAATCTAGCACAGATACTTCCAACAGAGCAGGTGCGCAGCGCTGATCTACAGCCTCACTGGGATCTCCCGAGCACCTCGCGCGAGGTAGATGTTTGCTCAGGAGACTGAGTCAAGGAAATGGAGGCAACGGCATTCGAGTTAGAAAGGTGGGCTGCACCTGAGCAGAGGATTTTGAAGGAGACACTGAACAGTTGAGGGGAGAGATGACTATATTTTAAAAAACACATAGACCAGGGCTATACATAAAGTTACAAAGTTTACTTAAAAAGGAAAGAATTCTGTAGTAGTTCAGAGGAGCACGGTAGTAAGACTGCGAAGCGGCAATCTTCCAGACTCCTTGGCCATCAGTGACTCTATACCACCAATCGAATGTGGATTGAAGTATGAAATGGTCATTGCTTTACCTCAGAGAGTGCCCAGAAAGCTCCTCCAAAGTGCTCTCCGTGTCCACGGTCTGCTCACAGTCCTTGAGGGAGAGCTTGCTGCTGGTCCCAGATTTCCTGCCTTGATGAGAGCCACGTTCTGAGCCGGACGGCACTTTCTCCTCATCAAGAAGTGAGTTCTGAACACTTCCAGTGAATGAATTCAACCCTGAAAAGTAAATGTAGTATAAAGCTGATTCCCAATATTAGTTACTGAGAGGTTACTAATATAATCTTTAGATTTCTATTGAATTATGCTATTGAATAATTAAAAGAACAGACCAGAATACTTTTAAAAGGACAAGGGTACTTTGAGATTTTCATGACGTTCAAGAACTGAACGTCCACTGATGGGAGGCTGGATAAACAAAATAGTGGACACACAAATAACAGTTTATTAATCAGCCTTAAAAAGGAAGGACCTTTTATTTTAAAAAGATTTATTCTATTTAATATGACAGGCAGAGTTACAGAGAGAAAGAGATTCCATCTGCTGGTTCACTCCCTAAATGGCTGCAATGGCCAGGGCTGGGCCAGGCCAAGCCAGGAGTCGGGAGTACATATAGGTCTCCCACACGGGTGGCAGGGGCCCAGGTATACAGGGACATCTTCCACTGCTCTCCCAGGCTCATCGGCAGGGAGCTGGAAGGGCATGGAATAGCTGGGCTCCAGACCAGCACTCATATGGCCAGGAAGGACATTTTGACACAGGCTTCAACATGGATTATCCTTGAACATATTATGCTTCATGAAATAAGTCAGTCACAAAAGGAAAAAAACTATAGGATTACACTTAAACGAGGCACCCAGAACAGGGAAATGTGGGGTCAAGAAGAACAGTTGTTATCAGGGGCTGAGAAAAGGGGAGAATGGACACTACTTAATGGGTGCAGAGTTTCAGTATGGGAAGATGAAACAATGTCTGGAGGTGGAATAGTGGTAATGGTTACATAATCATGAGACTGTAACTGAAGGAAATACCTGAAAATGGTTAAAATGGTAACTTTCACATTATGTATATATTACCACAATCAAAATTTTTAAATGGAGAGTTCACAGGGTGATCATTTTTATCAGGTTTTCTAGATTAACCCAGTTCTCCCCCCAGCCCTGCTTCCCACCTCTTTAATTCCATGAAAAGGGTTTAACTTTACAATTAGAAGAAAACAAATTTGGAAACAAAATCATCGCCTAGCCAGAGGACATCATGTGACTTCAGAGGCTGCTGCAGAGCCAGTGCTGTGGCACAGGGGGTTCGGCCATTGTCTGTGATGTTTTCACGTGGGCACCAGGCTGAGCCTCCACTGTTGCACTTCCAATCCGGCTCCCTGATAGCGGCCTGGGATGAAGCTTCTCCTATCTCTAGTTTAAAGATACCTGAGTTACTGAGTCTACTGATGCTCATGGATGTGCACGACACGCTTAAGTTTAATAAAACCAGTTGCAAATCAGTAATATTTGCATTAGTCTTTTATTTTTTTTGACAGGCAGAGTGGACAGTGAGAGAGAGACAGAGAGAAGGGTCTTCCTTTTTGCCGTTGGTTCACCCTCCAATGGCCGCCGTGGCCGGCACGCTGCGGCTGGTGCACCGCACTGATCCAAAGGCAGGAGCCAGGTGCTTCTCCTGGTCTCCCATGGGGTGCAGGGCCCAAGCACTTGGGCCATCCTCCACTGCACTCCCTGGCCACAGCAGAGAGCTGGCCTGGAAGAGGGGCAACCGGGACAGAATCTGGCACCCCGACCGGGACTAGAACCCGGTGTGCCGGCGCCACAAGGCGGAGGATTAGCCTATTGAGCAGTGGTGCCAGCCGCATTTGTCTTTTAAATGCTTCCTAAAGTGTGCATTAGCAGGAAGCTGGAATCAGAAGCTACAGTTGGTATTCAAACACAGGCCAGATATAGATGTGGCCATCCCAAGCAGCATCTTAACCACTCACACACCCACCCTGTGAATTCTTAGTTTTTTATCATAGCAAATGTACTCTTTTTGCATTAATATAAAGATTTATAAGCTATATATCAAAAGGTATTGCTATAATAAATAGGAAAGCTAATTACATTATTATCATAAAGAAATCAAGCCATAACTTTAGATCAGTAACACAAAGTCATTAGTAAGAGAAAAAGCCATCATGTCCACTTACATTCTGTTTTCCCCTTTCGCCCCCTCTTTCCTTTGGAAGAAGCAGAAGAGTGAGACGACGCGGCAGAATGGGCTTCTGAGGAATGCTGAGAGGTAGCGTCCACGGAGGAGAGATCACAGGCAGACTTCCTGCTGGCACGGTCCTCCTGGATGCCCAAACTGCTCCCACCAGCACTAGCAGAGAAAAAGGACAAGGAAGTAAAGAAAAAGGAAAGCCTTGGGGCCGGCACTGCAGCGCAGTGCATTAACGCCCTGGCCTGCAGTGCCGGCATCCCATATGGGTGCTGGTTCGAGACTCGGCTACTCCACTTCCAATCTGGCTCTCTGCTATGGACTGGGAAAGCAGTGGAAGATGGCCCTACACCCACGTGGGAGACCCAGAGGAGGCTCCAGGCTCCTGGCTTTGGATTGGCACAGCTCCGGCAGTTGCAGCCAATTGGAGAGTGAACCATTGGATGGAAGACCTCTCTCTACCTCTCTCTCTCTCTGCCTCTCCTCTCTCTGTGTAACTCTTTCAAATAAATAAATAAATAAATCTTTTTTAAAAAAAGTAAAGTCTTACAGCTAAAACTAAAGTACCTAAAATATATTTAAAAATATTTATGGGGGGCCCACGCTATGGTGCAGTAGATTAATCATCTGCCTGTGTTGTCAGCATCCCCTATGGGCACCAGTTCTAGTCCCGGCTGCTCCTCTTCCAATCCAGCTCTCTGCTATGGCCTGGGAAAGCAGTAGAAGATGCACGCACTGGAGAGCTGGAAGAAGCTCCTGGCTTCGGCCTAGCCCAGCCCTGGCTGTTACAGCTGTTTGGGGAGTGGGCCAATGGATAGATCTCTGTCTTTCTCTCTCTCTCTCTCTCTCTCTCTCTCTCTGTGTGTGTGTGTGTGCACGCGTGCATATCTCTGCCTTTCAAATAAATGGATAGATCTTTACAAAAGAAAAAATAACTAAATTACTTATTACTTGTGACATGGAGTCAAGTATCTATCTGATCTTTCTCAGTTTGATCACAGAAAACCACTTCTTAAGCTTTTTACAACAGTATACCACAGGGGAGTTTCCCAGTTCTGTCTTCACTGGGGTCACAGACTGATTTAAAAATCTACACTCTGTTCTTTATGTGTTAGGTCCTGTTCTAAGTATTTTCGATTTCATTGAAAACTCAGAACAATGCTGTGAAGCAGGCAGGTACTGTCAGTTACCCAGTTTTACACAGAAAACAAGACACAGAGAAGTTAAGTAATACATATAATTACAACTAATGAGGAAAGCCAGGTTTTAAACCCAGAGCTCATGTCCGTCCTGGTATGTTATAGATCCTCTACATGTTATTTTTAAACAAGTAAAATTCAACTCATATTCAGACCACAGTTTTCATTTATACATTTTTCTCAAGACTTTATTATATATTGCCAATATATTCATACTTGAGTTCAAGAGTTGATTTCCTTTCAGTCAAAGTCCCACTCCCTGGAGAGGAGACAAAATCATCTTCATAGGAAGCACCGCTAAGGGGCCGTGAGGCTGATGGTCCTCTGTCCAACCTGTCTTCAAATCCTGTCAAAAGCAGTAATCGAAGCATGGTGAAACAAAAACCAAACAAAATGCCAGCAAAGCGTTCTGCAGCATGGAGATCAGCGACATGGACGCAGGGCTATCTCAGTGTGCTTTTCCTGGTGTCTCTTTTCATCTTACCTTCGTATCTACAACATATTCTAAACTGATTATGAAAATCTTCAAACACACATGAAAACTGAGACAACACAGTAAAACCAGTATATCTATTACCCAGCTTCAATTACATTTTCCAACTCCCTATCACTTCTTTACCCCTCCAGAAGTAATCCCAAATAACATATTCTTTCATCTCTAAGTATTTCACTACAACTATAAAATCTTACTAAAAATCTAATAGAAGAATTTAAGAACAAACAAAATTTCCTATAAAACTGAGGATGTTGGGACCAGCATTGTGGCACAGCAGGTTAAGCCTCCGCCAACATCCCACATGAATGCTGGTTCCACTGCCAGCTGTTCCACTTCGGATCCAGCTCTACGCTAACGTACCTAGGAAAGCAGCAGAAAACGGTCCAAAGGCTTGGGCCCCTGAGCCCTTGTGAGAGACCCGGAAGAAGCTCTGGGCTCCTGGCTTTGGCCTGGCCCAGGCTGGCCCATGGCGGCCATTTGGGGAGTGAACTAGCAAATGGAAGATCTCTCTTTCTCTCTCTCTCTGTAACTCTTTCAAATAAATAGAAAATAAATCTTAAAAAACAAAACAAACAAAAAAACTAAGGGTGTTATTTAAGTATTTTACATTCATCAAAAGAAATCACCTTTAAAACCGAAATTTTAAATCAGCACCAACAGAAATAAGTGGCTAAACAAACAAACAAAAACAGAATATAAATGTCAATAGTTAAAATGGGATTGTCAGTGAAGAAACTTAAAACAGTCTCATTCATGTAACTGCTTAAGTAAAAACTACATTTTGTGTTCAAAAAAAAAGAATATAAATGTCTGCCTGAGATCACAAGGAAGTGTCCAAACATAAACTCTAGGAAAACAGCAATATGACACCCATCTGAGCATAAGAAGAACAGATGGGATCAATTCTTCTGTTCTCTATATAGAGTAGAAATCTCCAACCTGGAATTCTAAGGTTGTATTAGTATAAGATGTGCAGAATCCAACTACAGCAGAAAGAACCGGGAGAGGGACTTGAAGGAAGGAACTGAGTCTATTATAGAAATAATAAGGTGTGTGGCAGAATTTCAGCAGTAAAAAAAGGAACATCGGATGCTATTGTTTTAGGATGCAAGTATAAAGCTACATTATTATTCAAAGTCCAACTGCTATTAAAATTAGTTTTGAGAAACAAGAATACAGTTATTTTCATATTAGAAATGTTATTATATTGCCCCTCTAATTCCTGACAAGTGTATTTCCAAGATTCCCAAGTCACTGTATTAAGCAATTTATATAGTTTCTATTTAAATACATAACCATGGTCACAGAAAGCCTAGTATACATTTGGCACATACCAAGTCCTGAATATCACCTAGGAATTGTCTAAAGTTTATAACAACAACTGAAAAATGAAGTTTTACTGAATTAATTACTAATACTCTAGTGGATACTTGCAGATAACTTAGAGGATGACTATCATAGACAATATAAGTCTCCATTATCCTCATAATGGACAAGGAACAATGTGTACGTAAGTATATATCTTATACAAAAATTCTGAATTTTTCTAATAAAAAAACTATATACATGAAGGGGCTTCAAAGAGTTAGTGGAAGGGCAGGCATTTCACCTAGCAGTTAAGATGCCAGCATCCCACACCTGGTCACCTGAGTTTAATTTCCGGCCTGGTTCAGGACACCAGCTTCCTGCCAATGCAGACCCGGGAGGCAGCAGGGGTGGCGCCTGCATGGGAGACCTGGAGAGTACTCCCAGCTCTGGCTCTAGCCCTGGTGCAGCCCCAGCTGTAACAGGCATTTAGCAGTGAGCCAGTGGTCAGGAGCTCTCAATCTCTGTCTGTCTCTTAAATTAAAAATACAAAAATTATATAAAAAGGTAGTGGAGGCCGGCGCCGCGGCTCACTAGGCTAATCCTCTGCCTTGCGGCGCCGGCACACCGGGTTCTAGTCCCGGTCGGGGCGCCGGATTCTGTCCCGGTTGCCCCTCTTCCAGGCCAGCTCTCTGCTGTGGCCCGGGAGTGCAGTGGAGGATGGCCCAAGTGCTTGGGCCCTGCACCCCATGGGAGACCAGGAGAAGCACCTGGCTCCTGCCATCGGATCAGCGCGGTGCGCCGGCCACAGTGCGCCGGCCGCGGCAGCCATTGGAGGGTGAACCAACGGCAAAGGAAGACCTTTCTCTCTGTCTCTCTCTCTCTCTCACTGTCCACTCTGCCTGTCAAAAAAGAAAAAAAAAATTAGTGGAAAGTGGAATTAAGTGTGCATTTTCCACAAACTTTTAGAGGCCTCCTGTATTTCTAACTACCACTTGTGGTACATAGTGTGGAGGGGTACTGTGGCATTTAATACATATATACTGAAATAATTTATCTTACAACAACATACAAATAGTACAAGCCTTACTTGTTTTTCTCACCTTTTCCATATAACTGATAGGATTTTGTAAAAATATTAATAACACTATGCGGACTTCCTTTAGCCAATTCTTCCCACGGTCCTTTGCTTTGTGTGCTACCTATGTGGCCCAGAAGTGGCAGGAATTTTTCAGCTTCCTTCTGAAACTCTTTGATAGGTTCGTAAGTATTTCTTTCTCCAGCACAAAATTCCTTTTCTTTCAAGATACCAGAAGCCTTTAAAAGGCGCTGTCCATCCTGGCCGCCCTCTTCTTCGGAGAGACTCCCCTCACTAAGAAGAGGCCCCTCACTGACAGAATCTGTGCTGGAACCGAGAGACATTTTGGCCTTGTCTTGAGAACAGGGCTGCATGTCGGAGCTCGAAGAGTCAGTCTGTCTCTTACACAACTGCGCCAGGAGCCCTCCGGGTCTGGGACCAGGGGATCTCATTCTGAGGCTTGTTATGGCACTCTGAGGTCTTATCATCTCAGGAAGCTTTTTAAATTCACTAAGGCTGCCTACCCCAGGAAGATCGTCATCCAAAGCTGCATGAGACACACAGGTCCCCAGCATCTTTTGGATTCGTGCAGAGAAGACGTCTTCGGTCTCTTCTTTCACAGGGGGGCTTGCAGCTTTGCTCCACGGCCCGTCCTCTTGAGGAGCGTCCTGCACGCGATATTCAGTGTTCCACACTGACCCATAATTAATGTGGGCTCCAGCTAATTTCTTGGCTTCACTTTCAATCCTGCTAGACAAGGAAGCAGCTGTTGCTTTCAAGGCTTCAATGCGATCCAGTTTACTCTTATACTGGCTGGCACTAGGTTTTAACAAGGCATCGGAATGCGCAGCTGGTGAGGGCAGATACGGTTGAGGTGTGTAAGTTAATGGCCCTGAAACCATATTATGATTTTTCCTAGTTGGTAAAACAGATTCAAAGTCCTTGTGCAAAATTCCTACATGCTCTAGACTCAAAAGATGGGATAGTAGGTTTCCAGCTGTTCCAACAAGAGGCTGTGGCTGAGAATGAACTCGTGGGCTCAACCTGTCGGGCTGCATCCATGTAGGCTCCATCAAGTCCCTTCTGGAAATGAAAGTCACAATATGATAGTTAACACAGCAAAACCATATCTGGCAGAACTAAACCACCCTTTTGTTTTTTTTAAGTTTTGGGTTTTTTCTGATTCTAAGAGTAACGCACAGGCACTGAACAAGAACAGACAAAAATGATCACTCAAAGCTAAACGATCACAAAGAGCTGCTACTAACAGTCCACTTAAAGTTACCTCCCTCCAGTCTTTCTCAATATGTATGCTGTGTTTTGATGGTAGTGTCTGAACAAAAATAGGATTTCACCATACACACTGTTAAGCACTGTATTCTTAGACAACAATTTTTTAAACAAAGAGAAGGCATTAAAAATCTTTAAATCTCTGAAGAAAACTCTTTACATTGGTTCTATGCTTCCCTTTAAAATTTTCATGAAAGAAAAATGCTTAACACTACTAAACATTAATGCAGACAGGATACAGAATATTTAATCAACAAATATTTACTTAATGCTGAACACTGATACTTAGCACTGGGAATACTAAAGAAACAAGATCACTACAGCTGACTTCTAAACAAATTAATAACATCAAACAACACAAAACAGTTCTGGTTATGAATATACAACACAACACAGGATGCCCATACAGTCTGAAGACAGAGGGCTATGATTTGAACAGGATCTGCTCCTCAGATCATGCAGATGTTGAAGTCCTGAAGTCACGCACCGATGATGTGACGCAGGATTGATCTAACTGTGGTGTCTGAAGGAGGGGCTGCGGGGAATTAACAGAACTGGACTAGACTACTGGGGTGGATCCCCACTGCTGAGTTATGGTGGCTTTATAAGGAAGGACCACAAGATGAGCAAGCCCCTCCACTTCTCTGTGCTTCCTGGCTCACCACCGTGTGATCCTTCCTCTGTATGCCACCCTCATCAGATTCCAGACTCATGGGGACACCTGATTTTGGATTGTGAACCTCCCAAACTGTAAGCCAAACTAAACCATTTTTCTTCTCTGGTAGATCCTCTCAGCTACGTGTTGAAGTAATGAAATCTGACTAATACATAGAGTACAGAAAGATACCCTAACAGCATTATATATATTTGCTGATGTTTACTGACCATAGACTCCCTGTATATAAAGGTATACTACAGAGATTAAAAGCTTATGAAGGGGCCAGTGCTGTGGCATAGCAGGTAAAGCTGCTGCCTGCAGTGCCAGCTTCTCACATGGGTGCCAGTTTGAGACCCAGCTGCTCCACTTCTGCTCCAGCTCTGTGCTATGGCCTGGAAAAGCAGTGGAAGATGGCCCAGGTCCTTGGGCCCCTGCACCCACATGGGAGACCTGAAAGAAGCTCCTGGTTCCTGGCTTCAGATTGGCACAGCTCCAGCCATTGCGGCCACCTGGGAAGTGAAATCAGCAGATGGAAGACCTCTCTCTCTCTCTGCCTCTCCTTCTCTCTCTGTGTAACTCTGACTTTCAAATAAAATATAAAATAAATACCTTTTTTTTTTTTGACAGGCAGAGTTAGACAGTGAGAGAGAGAGACAGAGAGAAAGGTCTTCCTTCCAATGGTTCACCTCCCAAATGGCCGCTACGGCCAGTGTGCTGCGCCAATCCGAAGCCAGGAGCAAGGTGCTTCACCACTAGTTTCCACTTTTGAAAAACACAGTTAAATCTTCAGCCTCCATTACCTCTTCTGTTAAGCAGGAACATGAGTGCCAAACTCGGGCTAGTACAAGGATTAAGTTAGGTAACACATGCAGGGGCCAATGTCGTGGTGCGACAGGTAAAGCCACTGCCTGAAACGCCAGCATCCCGTATGGGCCCCGGTCCCAGCTGCTCCCGCTCTGATCCAGCTCCCCACTAACACACCAGGGAAGCAGGAGAAGATAGCCTGAGTGACTGAGCCCCTCCCACCCGCATGGGAACCCAGATGGTGCTCCTGCTCCTGGATCCCAGCACAGCCCTGACCACTGCAGCTGCTGGGAGTGAGCCAGTGGATGGAAGGCCCCCTGCCCCCCCTTCTCTGTTTCTCCTCCTCTATCTGTAACTCTCTCAAACAAATGAAATAGATCTTAAAAAAAAGATAACACATACTAAGTTCTTAGATTACTGCCTCACATCAATGAAATAATCAATGTTTTTACCAACATTATCCTTCTCGAGGAGCAGGTGGGAGCCATGTGTATTAATTCAAAATTGGAAAGTAACTGGATCTTTCTGTACAGTCCCAGTTTCAAAATCTTTCTCTTCCCAAAGTGGTTACTATAAAGTATAATTCATAACTATGGAATCTCAAAATTACCCTGACTTCCATAATCAAGTAGATTTTTTTTACTTATTACAAACATTATGTAAAAAAAAGATTTTCTTAAGAAAGTTTAAGATAAAATAGTCCAGATTCTGAAATCAATTCACATATTCATACATATATCCAAACCTAGCTCTTAAAGGACAAGATGAATAAATTGGTATGTCATATGAAGAAATTTTTGAATAATTATGGATATAGAAATGTCTTTTTAAAAGTTATTTACCACAGCGCAGGTGCTGTGGTGCAGCGGGTTAAAGCCCTAGCCTGGGGCGCTGGCATCCCATATGGGTGCTGGTTCTAGTCCCGGCTGCTCCTCTTCCCATCCAACTATCTGCTGTGGCCTGGGAAAGCAGTGGAGGATGGCCCAGGTTCTTGGGCCCCTGCACCCACATGGGAGACCTGGAGGAAGCTTCTGGCTCCTGGCTTCGGATTAGCACAGCTCCAGCCATTGTGGCCATCTGGGGAGTGAACCAGTGGATGAAAGACCAATCTCTCGTCTCTACCTCTTTCTGTAACTGTCTTTCAAATAAATAAAAATAAATCTTCAAAAAAAGTTATTTACCACAAATACTTTATTTTTTTAAAGATTTATTTTATTTATTTTAAAGTCAGAGTTACACAGAGAGAGAAGGAGAGGCAGAGAGGGGCGGGGAGTAAGAGAGGGAGGGAAGGAGGTGTTCCATCTGTTGGTTCATTCCCCAGTTGGCTGCAATGGCTGGAGCTGCACCAATCTGAATCCAGGAGATTCTTCCAGGTCTCCCATGTAGGTACAGGGGCCCAAGGACCTGGGCCATCCTCCACTGCTTTCCCAGGCCACAGCAGAGAGCTGGATCAGAAGTGGAGCAGCCAGGACTTGAACCGGCGCCCACATGGGATGCTGGCACTGTGGGTGGCGGCTTTACCTGCTACACCACAGCGCTGGCCTCAACCACAAATATTTTAAGGCATTATTTTCACTGTATTTAATTCATCCAACACACTTTTATTGTGTGTTTAGTTCAGGAAAGGCAAGAACACTTCTGACTACAGAAGGAATTACATTAATTACATTAAAGGACAGGTAAAATTCAAACAACAGAGGAGAGCACACAGGCAGTAAATTCAGGCATAGCTGGACATCACGCCGAAGTATCCAAAAGAAGATATTAACCAATTTCTAAAGAAGCCTCTCTCTGCCCTTGGGCTCACATGGAAGGTCAGTCAAGAACAGTCACTAAACACAGGCCACACAGTGAATTTATGGAAAGAATCTTAAATCCAATTTCCTTCTGCCCTTTTACCGTGCAAGAGGTTGTGGAGGTTCCGACAGAGACATGTCACTGCTGGAGGACGCACTTGGGGGACGTTCCTGTACTTTGTTTTCTTTATCAGATTCTCCGGAAGGCTGATACCCTGGTCTGGCCTAGGAAAAAAAAGATATCAAATTTACCTGACTCACAAAGATATGTTCAGGTAGCACATGAGATAATCTTTAAATCACTTCAGCTTTACAAAGATCATAAAAGGTAGGGTTGTCTCCCTTAAACAAAACCAAATCACATTTAACATTATAATTAACAGCAAACGTCATCCAAAACCCAACAAGGGCACCTAATCCTAAGTGCATAATTAACAGGAAGAAATATCCTTTACTTTTTATTTTTTTATATATATTTTTTGACAGGCAGAGTTAGACAGTGAGAGAGAGAGAGAGAAAGGTCTTCCTTTTTCCATTGGTTCACCCCCTAAGTGGCCGCTACGGCCAGTGTGTTGCAGCTGGCGCGCTGTACCAATCCGAAGCCAGGAGCCAGTGCTTCCTCCTGGTCTCCCATGGGGTGCAGGGCCCAAGCACTTGGGCCATCCTCCACTGCACTCCCGGGCCACAGCAGAGAGCTGGACTGGAAGAGGGGCAACTGGGACAGAATCCGGCGCCCCGACCGGGACTAGAACCTGGGGTGCCGGCGCCGCAGGCGGAGGATTAGCCTAGTGAGCCGCGGCGCCAGCCAGAAATATCCTTTACAAACCTCAATTTTTTTTAACTTGGTTAACAGCAATAACACAGTACCGACCCTTCTCAGGGTTGTGAGGATTTATTGAAGCTTCAGCCTATAAGGTCTTTAAAACAGCATGTCATAAGCCAATCCAAAAAAGACAAATACCACATGTTCTCCCTGCCTTGTGACAACTAATATGGCACCTAAAAGGTAATCTACAGAAGTGAAATTGACACTTTGAGAAGCAATGACTTTGAACAGCCCTTGTCTTGGCTGTTGAGGAACATTTTTTTTATACTATGTGTTGAATTCTTCACTTAGCATAGAGTTAATCATATGTGTTTAAAGTTAACTGTAGGCCGGCGCCGTGGCTCAATAGGCTAATCCTCCACCTTGCGGCGCCGGCACACCGGGTTCTAGTCCCGGTCAGGGCGCCGGATTCTGTCCCGGTTGCCCCTCTTCCAGGCCAGCTCTCTGCTATGGCCAGGGAGTGCAGTGGAGGATGGCCCAGGTGCTTGGGCCCTGCACCCCATGGGAGACCAGGAAAAGCACCCGGATCCTGGCTCCTGCCATCGGATCAGCGCGGTGCGCCGGCTGCAGCGGCGGCCATTGGAGGGTGAACCAACGGCAAAGGAAGACCTTTCTCTCTGTCTCTCTCTCTCACTGTCCACTCTGCCTGTCAAAAAAAAAAAAAAAAAAAAAAAAAAATAAATAAAGTTAACTGTATACAGATCTTAGTAAAAAAAAAATATGAATGGCAATAGGAGAGGGAGAAGGAAGAGGGATGGGAAAGTAGGTGGGAGGGCAGGTATGGTGGGAAAAATCATCATGTTCCTAAAGTTGTAATTATGAAATGGATGAAGGGGGCCGGTGCTGTGGCATAGCGGGTAAAGTCGCTGCCTGCAGTGCTGGCATCCTATATGGGCGCTGGTTCAAGACCCGGCTGCTCCACTTCCAATCCAGCTCTCTTCTATGGCCTGGAAAAGCAGTAGAAAATGGCCCAAGGCCTTGGGCCCTTGCACCCAAATGGGAGACCCAGAAGAAGCTCCTGGCTCCTGGCTTCAGAGAGGCATAGCTCTGGCCATTGCAGCCAATTGGGGAGTGGACCAATGGATGGAAGACCTCTCTCTCTCTCTCTCTCTCTCTCTCTCTCTACCTCACCTTTCTGTGTAACTCTGATTTTCAAATAAATAAATCAATCTTTTAAAAAAAACACTTTCTTAAAAAAAAAGAAATGTATGAAGTTTGTATTCCTTAAACAAAAGGTTTCTGGGGGAGGGGGGGTGAGGACAGTATGTCATAATACTCAGTTGTTATTCTTGAAAACATAACACACTAAACTAGGATATTCTCTAATTTCATCCCAGATCACAAAACTAAGTATTTCCTCAGCATAATCTAGTTAGGAATATTTGCTCAGAACTACCATGAAAACTAGACAGGGCTCTAACTAATAATAATGAAAAGATACCAATAACAAACAGTGTAGGAAACTCTTATTTCAGTTGTTATTTTTTACCATATCTATATTATTCTTTTTACTAATAACAAATTCCACAAAAAGTCATGATTGTTTTAAATATTATCTGAGCATATGTCCAATATGAGGAGTGGTGGGTAATTTTCAGGTGGTACAACAAAGCGTATCCACTGTTCCTAACCATGACCACGCCCCTTTGCACTCCTGTCACTTACCTGTGCTTCCTGGGTGACGTGCTGATGGGACGCCTCTTCAAGCAAGGTCTTTTCGAGCAGCAATTTGGAGTAAGTCTCCTGCAGCCGCCTGCTCGCTGCTGGGTCAGCAGGAGGCACGGCTCGTGCTTTAGCGAAGGCCTCCTTCTGTTTCCGATAGAGCTCCTGCAAGCGTTTGTTCTTCTGTTCAGTAGCCTCCTTTTGAGCCTTTTTCTCTTCATTTTGCTTCCTCTTCCTTTCCTCCTGCTGGCGAACAATGTACTGTCGTACTTCATCCGTGTCATAGTGGCGCTTTTTGGAAATAACAGGGGGGTCTTCGTTAGCTGTTATTTTGTCGGGTTTTCTTTTTACTGGGCTATGACTTCTGGGAACTGGTACTGGCGCTGATGACTTCTGATTCTGTAACTCCCCGGCCTCCTGCCTTGCCGTCTGGACCGCGGAATCCAACTGTAGGTCATCAAGAATGCCACGAATCTCAACAGGTAAGAAGTCCTTATTTAAGGCAGTGTTTTCCTCCTGTTTATTATCTGGAAGAGACGGAGCTAATTTCTTTATATTATTTTCAGATCGAGTCCTACTTCTGGAACGTTCTGAGCTTCGGGGAAGATGTCTCTGTGACACATCCAACTTGGAATCAGATTCGGCTTTTCCAATATGACCCCCTGCAAAGGATTAACTGTTAGTAATATATTAAAATTCTGTATTCAATCCTAACGTTTACTGCACCAATAAGAAAATCGGAGAAGTTCACTTTATCATAAACGTAAATTCAAATACCCAAGTCTTCTAAAGAATAATATAAAAGCAAAGAAAACTCTTGTTTTTTACAGCAGTAAAAGAAAAATTTCAATCTTTTGAAAAACTACCTTGGGATTTAAAAAAAAATGCATCTTTTAATGTTTCTGAACAAAGGACAGACCTTATGGCTGATGAGAGCATTAATGATTTCTCTCACATGCATATTTAATGTTACTAATCCCCTGCCTCCACAATCCCTCAAAAAGCTGTTAAAAATGAATAATCCTGTTAGTTCTTAAAAGGTATCTCGATTATAATCAAGGAATTGAATCTTGAGGTGTATTTATTTATTTATTTGAAAGGCAGAGTTAGAGAGAGACGAGACAGAGATCCTCCATCTGCTGGTTCACTCCCCAAGTGGCAGCAGTCAGGGTTAGGCCACATCGAAGCCAGGAGCCAAGAGCTTCATCCTGGTCTCCCACATGGGTACAAGGGCCCAAGTACTTGGAGCATCTTCCACTGCTTTCCCAGGTGCATTAGCAGGGAGGGAGCTGGATTGGAGGTAGAGTGCCTGAGGCTCAAATCGGCGCCCACACGGGATGTCAGTGTCCACAGGGGATGCCAGTGTTACAGGCAGCAGCTTAACCTGCTATGCCACAATGCCAGCTCCAAGAATGCTTTTAAAATAACATTTTAAAAGTCTTACAAAGATCAGACTATGCATGCCAAATCCAAATAAAGGCATTAAAATATTAATATTCCTGAAAATTCTCTAACACTGACTCATTTCACAATTACATGACATGGTACCATATTTAGATTTTATTGAGTTTATTATAGTACTTCTGAAAGTTTAATTTCTAGTTCCGGTTGGTAGAGCAAAAGTTACAACTGATCTTGCATATGACTGCTTTCATATGTAAACAACATTTATAAAACAAAACTTCAGGTATTTTTTAGACTTTCACCATACTTCTAGAAAAGAAGACGAACTTCAGTAAGAGGCATACGCAGTACACTCTCCTGCCAGAATGCCTCTTTATCTCTTGCTTATTCTGGAGCCCTAACACTAGAGCAGTATCTGCTACACAATGAGTATTCAGTAATTATTTGCTAAATAAATGTTAAACGTCCACAATTCTCTAATGTGGGGGTAGCGAACATCCAGCCCACAGGCCATGTAATGCCCACGGAACCACTTGGCCTGGCCCTGCCAAGACAACTACAGGCAGAACTCAAAATTCATTAAATCTAGAGCAGGCCAATTTTTAAGTTGATAATTTTGTATGATCCACGAATGATGTTATAAATATCCAAATGACCTCTGGCAGAAAAAAGGTTCCCTGCTCTGCTTAATAAATGACAGAACAAACTAAACTAAAGACAGTATGCAAAAAAAAAAAATCACTTCATCATCTAAATATTTATTGACATGGCTTAATTTTTATTTGCAAGACAGATGAAAATGTAGAGGAGCAAGGGGCCGGTGCTATGGTGTAGTGGATAAAGCCACTGCCTGCAGTGCCAGAAACCAGTATGGGTGCCAGTTCAAGTCCTGGCTGCTCCACTTTCAATCTCTGCTTTGGCCAAGGAAAGCAGTAGAAGATGGCCCAATTCCTTGGGCCCCTGCACCCACGTGGGAGACACGGAAGAAGCTCCTGGCTCTGACTGGCACAGCTCCAGCCGTTGCAGCCAATTGGGGAGTGAACCAGCAGATGGAAGACCTTTCTCTCTCTCTCTCTCTCTCTCTCTCTCTCTCTCTGCCTCTCCTCTCTCTGTGTAACTCTGACTTTCGAATAAATAAATCTAAAAAAAAATGGAGAGGAGCAAATACAAAGTGTAGATTGATTTCCATATACTAAAACACAAGTTGCAACTGCATTTCTCACTGAATCCACTGCCAAAGCTCAAATAAATCGAGGTAAATTTTGCTGCAAAGAAAGAAAGCTGGCCTGTAGCTATTTATAGTCATTTCCCAAAATTAGCATGCATGAAAAAAGTAACTAGTAATTTTAAGCAGCATGTAAAATATTTCAAAAAGAGAAAAGCAATGGGTTTGAGGGTCAAATATAATTCTTAACCCTGCCCTAAATTCTGCCACCCTCTGACTCCATACCCTTGAGAAAAATACTTCTCTCAGAGTCTGCTTCCTAATCTGTCAAGTAAAAAAGTCCAGCCTTATAAATGTATGCCTGTGTTTGCGTTCGTTGGGCTGAGACAGACTGGACTCACTTCTCTGAAGGGCCCTCTATGAGTCTAACAGGATCAGCTGAAATAATGCCTTGACAGTCACAAATGAAATTAATACAATATAAAACAGACTTCGTGGGAAAGATGGGCACAAGATCCGCGTGCAGAGGCTGTCCACAGACAAGTCCAGCAGAACCTCCCTCTGCGAGCCACATTCACGACTGTACACCCAAGTCCCACAGCATTCTCAATGGTGTTTTCTTCTCCACGCACCCACAAGCAAACTCCCATTGTTTTCCTCAAAAATTCTAATTACAACCACTCACCAGGTTTAGCACTTCTTTCTCTTCCACTTCTGTCACTTGATGCTGTTCTTCGCTCTTTCTGTTCCATTCTGGGTGCAGGTCCCAAAATCTTCTTTACTAATTTTTGTCCATCTCGCCAAGAAGATGTACTTATCAAACGACTACTACCTAAAATATATATATATATATATATATTGCACTGAATTTAAAACTAAAACTTTAACTCTAAGTCCAGGTTTTATAATTAATTTTATCTTCTTCTACTAGAGTAGAATATAATTGTATTTTTAACCCAAAGTCACTAAAATCAGTTAACAATTTGCTTGTATCTTGACTTACCCACACATCTCAAGTAAGTATAAAATGTTTTAAAGTACCAAATGATAATGATTCCTGAAACCTCAGTACTAAGGCCCTGAATTAAAAAATGTTATTTAGCATAGAACAAAAACATCTCAATTATAATAAGTGGCTTAGCAATAACTAGCACAATATACAGGATATGAAGAAGTGTGTTTGCCAAATGAATGAATGACTTAAGTTAAGTAAAGGAAAAAAAAATTTGAGAAAACTAACACTGATCACCTTGGAAGGGGACTACAGGGACTTTCACATTGTATTTTACAGCTAGAGCTAGTATTTTACAGCTATAGCTGTTTAGACTATATTACTATGTATAAACCATGACATCACAAAAGCAATTATCATCAATACTTTAAATTGCCCTCAAATAAAAGTTCATAAATGTAATACTGTGTTCCAATAAATATATCTGTTTGCTAGGAGAAAAAAATTTTCATCTACAAATTTCAGACTATAAGAAAATTAATATCTCGGAGAAGATCTGCGTGTTCAGGGAGGTATGGCCATAGACTAGACCACCATCGCAACATAGTCACTTAAAAAAATGATGTGGAAGACTTTTTATAAAATAGAAACAAACATGAGAATTTTCTAAGATGTAAAAAACAAACATGAAATATCTATAAATGTTTAAACACAAAGTAATATAAGAAACTGAATACCAATGAAAATAAGAATAACACTTCAAACCTAATTAAAAAGAAAAAAATTTTTACATTAATAGCCAGTATTGGCAAAATTACAATTCAACAAATTGCAATATCATGCTCCTTATCTGTTTTTCACATAAACAGTTTATTTATCCAAACACAATACAGACAAAATATCCTACGAATACAAGGGAGGTGGCACCCGTGGAGATGTGCACACAGCCCGGGGTTCTGAGATCCCGCAGGCTGGCGGCTAGGACCCTGCGGGCGGTGAAGCAGGCCTACATCCGAGAGCAAGGGGACTAGCACTGTGGGCCTTACCCAAATATAAATTCCTAATTTACGGAGGCTGAAATACTTACATCAACATTAAAATAAAGCGATTATTAAATCAAGCATCCAAGACTGAAGGAAGATACTGGAGCACTGGGTATCTCCACCAAATCCTCCCCTAGGCAACTAGTACTGTAGGCAGGCAACCTCAGATTTGCAAATGTGCTGTAAACAAGTTCTTGCCAAACCAATCCCTTCTTTATTACCAGGCCACAGGTGGCTGCCAATGAGGGCACAGACTTCTTGGCCTGTGTTCCAACCCTTTTCTCCTATTCCACTGTTACGGCAGCAAGTGAGTGAAGACTCTTCACCTGGGACGTGGAGACTTGCTCAGCCAGCGGCTGCTGTGCTTAGTCGTGCTGGCAGGCTTCCAGCCCTGTCTCCTGCTAGGATGTGGGCTGGAATTTAGATTTGCAGGGGTGAGGGTAGGGAGTGATCTTTGAAAAGCATCTGCATAGAACAGCTCTCCATCCCAGAGTCCCCTACTTCCTGGGAAAGGCGCACCCCTTCCACGAGGTTCAGCGTGCTGCGGGGATTCGCTGTTGGATTCTCTCCCGGGCAAGAACTCTGAGGGCGATGGCCAACACGTTCAAAGTGCTAGGCCACCACGGCCAGGCCAGCAGCACGCACGGGCTGGGGCTGAGCAGCGGCAGCGGGGCTTCCTTTTGTCTCTTTACTAACATATTGCTTGGTGAAGTATCAGTTGGGTAGTTTTTTTAAAAAACAAAACATATTATATGTCAGGGATCCCAGTGCTAATTCCCCTTGATCAAATAATCCAAGTAACAGAAATTTATACAATAGAAATAATCTAAAAGAAAGAAAAAAGGAATGAAAATGTTGACTATTAGCATTTTTTATCCCAGAATAACCTCCATATTGAATGGTGCATACAACTCCTTCTGCCTCACTAGAGGGAATATAGTAGTGTAGCCATCACAAATGACAGCTGCCATCAAAAACAACAGAAATGTTCCTAGGAAAAGGTGCCAAGGGAAAACAATAACATTTTAAATACACAAAAAATTTATGTATACAAGTATTACAATCCCATACTAATAAGATTTTTAAACTCCTACAAAGAAATATACAAAGTAATACTAGTACTTAATTTCAGAGTAGTGCTTTTATCTTTATCATTTCCAGCGCTCTGTGATACTATTTTACTATATTTATAACAAAAGCCATTCTATTCAGAGATTCTTTAATATGCACTTAAATTCAAAAGTACAGTTTGAAAACAAAAAGATGAATTATAGGGGCCAGTGCCCAGTGCTGTGGCACAGTGGATTAAGCCACCGAGTATGCAGGTTAGAGTCCTGGCTGCTCTGCTTCCCATCCAGCTCCCTGCTAATGGGCCTGGGAAAGCAGTAGAGGATGGCCAAGTGCTATCCTGCACCCACGTGGGAGACCCAGAAGAAGCTAATGGCTCCAGGCTCCTGGCTCAAGCCTGGCCCAGCCCTGGCCGTTGTGACCATTTGGGAAGTGAACCAGAGGATGCAAGATCTCTCTCTCTGTCTCTCCCTCTCTCTCTAATTCTGACTTTAAAATAAAGAAATCTTGAAGAAAAAAAAAAGATGAACTATAAAGGTGTGTTGTTTATTTTAGAAATTTTTTTAGGTATACCTCAAATATTTGAAGAGTTTTCAGCTTATTCTTCAACCTGTTTTTAAAAAAAAAGATTTATAGGGGCCAGTGCTGTGGTGTAGCAGGTGAAGCCGCCACCTACAGGGCTGACATTCCATATGGGCACCTGTTTGAGACTGGCTGCTCCACTTCCAGTCCAGCTCTCTGCTATGGCCTGGGAAAGCAACAGAAGATGGCCCAAGTTCCTGGGCTGCCGCACCCACGTAGGAGACCTGGAAGCTCCTGGCTTAGGATCTGCGCAGCTCTGGCTGTTGCAGCCTTCTGGGGAGTGAACCAACAGATGGAAGACCTCTCTCTCTCTGCCTCTGCCTCTCTGTCATCCTGCCTTTCAAATAAATAAATAAATCTTAAAAAAAAAAAAAGATTTACTATCTATTTGAAAATTAGAGTGACAAAGAGAAAGAAAGAGACAGAGAGACCTATCTTCTATCCTCTGGTTCACTCCCCAAATGCTTACAACAGCCTAGGCCAGGTTCAAGCCAAGAGCCAGGAACTGCATCCCCTCACCCACAAGAGTGGCAGGAACCCAATACTTGGAGCATCATTCACTGTCTCCCAGGCACATTAGCGGGAAGCTGGATCAGAAGCATGGAGCTGCTAGGACTCAAACCATGCACTCTGACGTGGGACGGGATGTGGCTGGCCCAAATAGCAGCTTAGCAAATTGTGCCACAACACCTATACTTCAATCTACTAAAAAGAAACTTTTATGTTCTTGAGTAAAATGAGAGAACAGGTTTCTTTTCAACTTAATTTTCTGAATCAAAAATAAGCAAACACAAATATATCAGGAAGTTATTTATAAATACTGGCTTCTGAATATGCTGAGTAGTTGCTTCTAAATTCTCTGGAACAGCCTCACGCAGTCATTGATAGAATTACTAGATAAAAAATTAACACAGTTTTAGCACATTTAATGACTCTCCAAGGTCATTGCCACAGTGCATATGTAAGAATTAGTCTATCATAAAACAGGATGAATATAATCAAGATCAGTGTTTATAAGTTATAGTGGTCCCTGGGCTCCATTTCAGACTATGTCCCCAGCCAACAATATTGTGTAGTACCACAAGAAATATATTGCTTGTTTTTAATTTAAATATTAGTTTAATTAACACTCAGGTAATTAATGCTCTTGAAATTTTTTATTTTTTAATTATTTATAGCCAGTTATCATTCAATTATGATATCTAGTTAATGGGTATCAAAAAAATGTTGTTTGTCATCCTATTGATGCGTCTATGACCAGAAAAACAGACAACTAATTCAGAAATCAGTGCCCAATCATTCTTGCTCTGTATTTTCTTAACTTACTGTGATCTCTCCTCATAGTTCACTACACTTAATTCTAACTACATGTCTACATATTAGATACATATAACCCACAAAGGCACCCTGCTTATCACTGTGTTGTCTAAACTTTAGAATAGCATGGTGCCTCATATCCAGCATGTGCTCAAATTGTTTGAGGAATGAATGTATAAATTCAGAATGTCTCCAAAACAAAGTTATAAGTTCTTGACTTTCTCCGTTATCTTGGCCCAAATTATTCACTGAAGTGAACACAACATTCCAAATAGCCATTTTCAGGATAGCCAGCAATGTTACTACTGTCAATGGAGTCATAGTTAACATTTGTTTATCATGTGCCAAAGTACTATTTTGAGTGTTTTCAGATATTAACTTTTAGTTCTCATGATAAACCGGTTAAGATATCTATAATTGTTTCCTCATTTTTACATATAGGGAAACCAAGGCATACTAAATTAATTCACTTATCAAAGGAATAAAACAAGTTATAAATCCAGACAATCTAGATCTAGGCTGAAATGTTAATCACTGTACCCAGTAGCCACTGCCTGCCACACCGGCACCCCATAACGGTGCTGGTTCAAGAACTGGCTGCTTCAATTCCAAACTGGCTCCCTGCTAATGAAAAAGCAGCAGAAGATGGCCCAAGTGTCTGGGCCCTTGCCACCCACACAGGAGACCTGGATGAAGCCCCTGGCTTCAGCCTGGCCAAGCCCTGGCTGTTGCAATCACTGGGGGATTGAACAAGCAGGTGGAAGAGCTCTCTGTCTCACCCTCTCTCTATAACTCTTTCAAATAAAAAATAAATCTTTAAAACAAAATGCTAATCACTATGGAGCTAGAGAATTCTCTTTTATTAAATTTCTATCTATTCAGAGCCCAGCCTGACCAATACTGGCATGGAGTGACTTAGCTCTGATGTGGAATATTTATTCTCTCATGAGACCCAAGGAAGGGGCTTTAGTGACAATCTTTTTTTTTTTTTTTTTGACAGGTAGAGTGGACAGTGAAAGAGAAAGACAGAGAGAAAGGTCTTCCTTCCGTTGGCTCACCCCCAAAACGGCCGCCATGGCCAGTGCTGTGCCAATCCAAAGCCAGGAGCCAGGTGCTTTTTCCTGGTCTCCTATGTGGGTACAGGGCCCATGCACTTGGGCCATCCTCCACTGCCTTCCTGGGTCACAGCAGAGAGCTGGACTGGAAGAAGAGCAGCTGGGACTAGAACCTGGAGCCCACATGGGATGCCAGTGCCGCAGGTGGAGGATTAACCAAGTGAGCCATGGCGCCGGCCCCTTTAGTGACAATATTAAATAATCCCCTTATACATAAAAATCTACTACATAAAAATCATTACTTTAATATAGTTAATTTCTATTAAGAATAATAAGGAAACTCTTCTAGGGGCCGGCATTGTGGTGTAGTATGTAAAGCCTCCACATATGACACCATCATCCCAAACGGTGCTGGTTCGTGCCCCAGCTGCTCCACTTCCAATCCAGCTCCCTGCTAGTGTGCCTGGGAATGCAGTGGAAGATGTCGGGGCCCCTGACACCCACATGGGAGACGTGGATGAAGCTAATGGCTCCTGGCTTCAGTCTTGCCCAGCTCAAGCTGTTGAAGCCATTTGGGAAGGGAACTGAGAAAATTCATCTGGGATATAAGGCATGGTAAGTATATGATGAACATCTGGGGAAGAATTGGTTTTACGATTGTATGTATGTATAACTTATCAAATCACATATTCCAAATATGTACACTTATTCTATGTCAACTGTACTTAAACACAGACACACACACACAAAATGAGACATAACATGTGATGAATTTTGTGTGTGCCCAACAGTGAGGGCATTTGGTAACAGATATTTACATCCACGTATATTCTCTTTCAGTAACAGATAACTTTGGGTGGGACACGACAGTGGAAAACTCACCTGTTTTGCCCTCCGGACTGTGTAACTGTGTTACCTTTTGGACTTTACGTACTGGCTTTACTACTTTCTTCTCTTTGCTTTTTTCAGCAGGTTTCTCTTTTATAGAAATATCATCTGAAAAGCAGAAACATTTACAGGAAGTAGTATAATGATTTCCACTAAACCATTCATCCTCCCTAAGTAAGAAAAATGAGTATGGCAGTCCCCCCGCTCTCATTCATGGTTCGGCTTCCTACAGTTTCATCTACCCAAAAATGTTAAAATGAAAATTCCAGAAATAAACAACTCATAAGCCTTAGATGCATGCTTTTGTCAGCAGCTTGATGAAATTTCTCATCAGCCAGCTCTGTGTTCGCCAGGCCAGGCCAGGCCATTCCTTTAGTGAGCATGTCTACTATATACACTCTCCTATTAACCTCAGCAGCCACTCTGGTTATCAGGCTGTCATGTCATGGTATCTAAGTGCCTGTGTTCAAATAACTACCTTATTAATGATGGCCTCAAAGCCTGAGGATAGTGATACTGGCAATTTGAGAACAACAAACAGAAGCTGTGAAGTGCTCCCTTGAAATGAAAAGGTGAAAGGCCTCAACTGAAGGGAACAAATCATCTGCTGAAGCTGCTGAAATCTAGCTTAAGTAACTGTTGTCAACCTCCTCCTGTGCTGATTTACAACTTCAACTTTTCACAGGTATGCAGGTTTAGGAAACATCATAGTATGTACAGGGTTCAGTACTATTCAACTTTCAGGTATCCTCTGGGAGTCTTGGAAAATACCCCTTGCAGACAGCAGACCAGGTGGGAACTACTGTAGAAAGTACATGATCTGGGGCCGACGCTGCCTGCAGTGTTGGCATCCCATGTGAGCACTGGTTCTAGTCCCGGCTGCTCCTCTTCTGATCCAGCTCTCTACTGTGGCCTGCGAAAGCAGTAGAAGATGGCCCTGCACCCGATGGGAGACCCGAAAGAGGCTCCTGGCTCTTGGCTTTAGATTGGCCCAGCTCCAGCCGTTATGGCCATTTGGGGAGTGAACCAGCGGATAGAAGAACTCCCTCTCCGCCTTAATAATAAGTAAATAAATCTTAAAAAAATTTTTTTTAATTAGAAAAAAGAAAGTACATGATTCAGGCACAAGGAAGAAACTTTCACTGAGGCTATTTCTATGACCACAAACTACCAAGGTCAACTCCTCTTAAAGAAAGATTTACAGATTACCACTATTCCAACTGTGAAGTTCCAATTCCTTGTGTTTTTATTTTGTTTCAGAAAACCCTTGAGAAAGTTACCTCATTTCACAAATGGGAAGCTGCACAGTAATTAATGCCTGCAAAGCCAAGATCACTGCTTGTATATGTAGAATCTCAGGGGAGAGTACTTTCACACATTCTTATTTCATTTAAAAATGTCTACATAATATCTCTAAAAATATTCAATACAGCATTCATCAAGTAGGGATTTTTACTGTTATGTCAGTGAAACATGTCAAAATATGACACATAAATTACTACTAACGCTTTAAAGATCCCACCTGGAGGAGTGTTCTGACTATTCATTTAAATTTGAAAAATTAGCCTCACATTTGAGCAAAGTTACTTTAAAATACTGTGTGTTGGCCGGCACCGCGGCTCAATAGGCTAATCCTCTACCTAGCGGCGCCGGCACACCGGGTTCTAGTCCCGGTCGGGGCGCCGGATTCTGTCCCGGTTGCCCCTCTTCCAGGCCAGCTCTCTGCTGTGGCCCGGGAGTGCAGTGGAGGATGGCCCAAGTGCTTGGGCCCTGCACCCCATGGGAGACCAGGAGAAGCACCTGGCTCCTGCCTTCAGATCAGCGCGGTGCGCCGGCCACAGCGTGCCAGCCGTGGCGGCCATTGGAGGGTAAACGAACAGCAAAAGGAAGACCTTTCTCTCTGTCTCTCTCTCTCACTATCCACTCTGCCTGTCCAAAAAAAAAAAAAAATACTGTGTGTTATGGGCAGGGAGGAAATCAGTATGAATAAAAGGCCCTACAGCAGGAGCAAACCTAGTGTCTAAGAAACAGCAAAGCAGCCAGTGTGAGTGGAATGAACAAAAGAAGAGGAGTAGGAACTAGAGTCATAAAACACCTGAAAACCAGATCACGTAGGGTTTAATGAGCCATTAGAAGGAAGTTCAGGTCTTAGTCAAGAGTGACATGGGAAGTTCTAGAGCAAAGAAAATACATGGTGTAAATTAAAAGTTAGCAAGCTTATTCCAACAGCTATGATTAGAATAGGCTCATTCATCAGAAGCAGAGACCAGTTAGGCTACTGCAGTAGCACAGATAAGAGTCCTGGTGGCTTACATCTAGGTGGTTAATGACAGAGGTGGAAAAAGTGATTATATTGTAGATATGTGTTTTGTATTATACACATATATAGTATTATGCATATGTAGACATATAAATATGGTATTATACATACATATATATTTATAGTAGTATACATAATGCATGCAAGAAATGGGGGGGGGGACAGTATCATGGACAAGTCAAGATTAATGACCATGGAGAGACTATCAGAGCAGCAAGTTTAAGTGGCGTATCATGACCTCCATTAGTTCTTATTTCGGATCTATTAAGCTTGAGAGATCTATTATATATTCAAGGGGAGACAGGAGTTAGCAGCTGTATGGAAGTCTGCATTCAGAGAGCAGGTCTGGGACACAGACATGAATTTGGGAATTACTAGCCACTGAGAAGAGTTAAACCCCTGAGATTAATCACCCTTAGCTGATGCATGCAGATAAGTGAAAAGAAGAAAGGGAAGCCAGGAGGAGAGAAGGGTGGAGCAGGAGGAAAGGAGGGAGGGGAGAGAAAGAAAGGGTGCATGCACACACGCAAGCCAGCCTCTTGCCCACCCAAACACGAGACATGCCAAGTTTAGAGATCAGGAAGTTGATCAGGAAAAAAATCAACTAAACAGAAGCAAGGGACCGAAGAGAAAAGTCAGATAGTCAGGGCATCCTAGATGTCAAGTGAAAAGTTTCAAGAAAGAAGTCATCAGTCATGTCAAACGCTGCTGACAGGTCAAGATGACAAATGAGTATTAAACACTGAATCTAGCAGTCTGGAAATCATGGATGATCTTGACAACAGCAGTCTCCCAGGAAATAGTGGCAAACATCTAATAGAAAGGCCAGAAGAGAAACAGAGGAGATAAGGAACACAAGGCAATTCTTCTGCCGTTTTGCTATAAATACAAGGAAGAAACAGGACACCAACTGGACAGAGTAGGACCCAAAGACGGAGTGTTTCATGATGGCTCATGTAGGTATGACCACGCAGAGAAGGAAAACTTGATGATCCAAAAGGAGGAAACAGGGCTGAAATAACACACTTTAATACACAAGAACAAATGGGATCTAAAACATAAGCAGAGGAATTGGTCTTAGATAGGAACACAGAGTTCACTCATAACAAGAGACAAGGCAGAATATAACAGATAAACCTCTTTAAAAGCTCTTTGAGGGGCCAGCGCTGTGGCACAGCAAGTTAATGCCCTGGCCTGCAGTGTCAGCATCCCATATGGGCACCGGTTCGAGTCCCGGCTGCTCCACTTCCGATCCAGCTCTCTGCTATGGCCTGGGAAAGCAATATAAGACGGCCCAAGTCCTTGGGCCCCTGTACCCACGTGGGAGACCTGGAAGAAGCTCCTGGCTCCTGATCGGCACAGCTCCGGCCATTGCAGCCAAATAGGGAGTGAACCATCGGATGGAAGACCTCTTTCTCTCCCTCTCTCTCTCTCTGCCTCTCCTCTCTCTGTGTAACTCTGACTTTCGAACAAATAAATAAATCTTAAAAAAAAAAAAAAAGAGCTCTTTGAGGGGATGGCACTGTGGCAGAAGCTGGAGTTGTAGCACAGTGAGTGAAGCTGCCACCTGCAGTGCCAGCATCCCATTTGGGCGCCGGTTCCTGTCCCTGCTGCTCTACCCCTGATCCAGCTCCCTTTCACGGCGTGAGAAAGCAGTAGAAGATGGCCCAAGTGTTTGGGTCCCTGTCACTCACACAACAGACTTGGAAGAAGCTCCTGGCTTCAGCCTGAACCAGCCCTGGTCATTGCAGCCATCTGGAGAGTGAAATAGCAGATGGAAGATATCTCTTTCCCTCCCTCTACCTCTCTTCTTCTCTCTATAACTGCCTTTCAAATAAATAAATCTTAAAAAAATTTTTTGACATATTCTACTAGTCTATAATGATACTATTCTATGATATATGAGAACACTTTCAAAAATTTATGGAAGATCGGCCGGCGCCGCGGCTCACTAGGCTAATCCTCCACCTAGCGGCGCCGGCACACCGGGTTCTAGTCCCGGTCGGGGCGCCGGATTCTGTCCCGGTTGCCCCTCTTCCAGGCCAGCCCTCTGCTGTGGCCAGGGAGTGCAGTGGAGGATGGCCCAGGTGCTTGGGCCCTGCACCCCATGGGAGACCAGGAAAAGCACCTGGCTCCTGGCTCCTGCCATCGGATCAGCGCGGTGCGCCGGCCGCAGCGCGCCGGCCGCGGCGGCCATTGGAGGGTGAACCAACGGCAAAGGAAGACCTTTCTCTCTGTCTCTCTCTCTCTCACTGTCCACTCTGCCTGTCAAAAAAAAAAAAAAAAATTTATGGAAGATGAAATTAAAAGACATATTTATCGGGCCAGTGCCGCGGCTCTTTAGGCTAATCCTCCGCCTACAGCACCGGCACTCCAGGTTCTAGACCCGGTTGGGGTGCCGGTTCTGTTCTGGCTGCTCTTTTTCCAGTCCAGCTCTCTGCTGTGGCCCGGAAAGGCAGTGGAGGATGGCCCAAGTCCTTGGGCCCTGCACCCGCATGGGAGACCAGGAGGAAGCACCTGGCTCCTGGCTTCGGATCAACGCAGCACGCCAGACATAGTGGCCATTTGGGGGGTGAACCAACAGAAGGAAGACCTTTCTCTCTGTCTCTCTCTCTAACTCTGCCTGTCAAAATATATATATATATATATCATGTATAAAAACTTCTGAAACCCGTACATACAAGGCATCTTCAAGAAATTCACAAGAAAGGGTTGGTGGGGCCAGCCTTGTGGTGTAGCAGGTTAAACCTCTGCCTGGGATGTCAACATCCCATACAGGCACCAGTTTGAGACCTGGCTGCTCTACTTCCGATCTAGCTCCCTGCTAACATGCCTGGGAAAGCAGCGGAAGATATTCCAAGTACTTGAACCCCTGCCACCCACGTGGGAGACCTGGAAGAAGCTCCAGGCTTCGGCATGGCCAATGATCTCGTTTCTCTCCCTATCTCTCCTCTCTAATTCTGCCTTTAAAATAAGGAGGTGAGGGGATCTTAAAAAAAAAAAAAAAAGAGGAAGGAAGGGAGGGAGGGAGGGAGGAAGGGAGGGAGGGAGGGAGGGAGGAAGAGTTGGCGCTGTGGTGCAGTGGATTAAGCCTCTGCTTGCAATGCCAGTATTGCGGAGCAGAGCACAGGATCAGGTTCCAGCTGCTCTGTTTCCAATCCAGCTCCCTGCTAATGTGACTAGTTAAGCAGCAGAAGATGGCCCAAGTGTGTGAACTCCTGCCATCCACGTGGGAGACCTGGATGGGTTCCTGGCTCCTGAGTACGGCCTGACCCAGCCCAGATGGTTGTGGCCATGTGGGGAGTAAAACAGTGGATGGAAGACCTCACTCTGTCTCCTTCTATCATTCCACCTTTCAAATAAAATAAATCTTTTAAAAAAGAAAACTTCACAAGAAATGTGTATAATGAAAACTAGATGTGGATTTCAAATTTTTTTCAGTTCATTTTCTATGAACTTTGTGAATGAAACACCCTGTATATTGTTATTATCCCTATTTTACAGACAAGAACATTTTTTAAAAAGTTATGTAACATAGCTAATATACACAGCAAGTACCAAGAATTTGATCCTTAGAAACCAATTCCAAATCTTTCAGTTTTTTAAAAAAACTTACTTATTTAAAAGGCAGCATGACACAAAAAGAGGGAGAGATCCCCCATCTAGTAGTACACTCCCTAAATGCACAAAACAGCCAGGGCTATGACAGATCAAAGCCAGGAGCCAGGCACTCCGTCCAGGTCTCCCACGTGGGTGGCAGGGACCCAAGTATCCATTTTGGCCCAGGCACATTAGCAGGAAGCTAGATCAGAAGCGGAGCAGCAGGGACTCAAACCAGGCAGTTGGACATGGGACGTGGGCATCCCAAATGGTGGTTTGGCCCCCTGTGCCATAACACCTGGCACAATCTTTGCTCTTAGTTACATTATACTTCCTCCCCATGGGAGAAAAAACTTTCTGAATAGAGTACTTTAACAGAAACAACATGAAAACTGGACTGGATACTTAATGCCACAAAAACCCATTAGTAAAATCTCCATGAGCCTTACTAGGAAGGCCTCAATCTTTAGAATCAGAATTGGTTTTGAATCTTGGCTTCCAACCTTGGGAATGTTGCTCTTTGAACCTCCACTTCATCTCGCCTATCAGGCCAGGTGTTCACTAAGTACTAACATGGTTTCTTCTGATTTCCCTTCCAATCTCCCACAGGTTCCTCCCACTTTCAATTCTCTAACACTGTTCCCTTCCTATAACCCTCTTCTTCCTGCATCTTGCCCTAATGTGATTATCTTACCTGCTGCCTGTCAAATCACTGACCACTTCAAAGATCTCAAAGGCTGACTCAAGTAAACTCTAGCTAGACTTGCTATGTTTCCTTCAAATGAGGCAGTCCAGACACTCTCAGTTTAAAAATAGCCTGGATCTGTCTCATTAGTCGCACAGCTAATTTTAACCCTGGAGCAGAACCCAGAAGCTAAGAAAGGCTTGGAATTCAAACCATTACTACTTTAGTATACAATGCAGTTAGAGCAGGCAAGCACCTTTAGTTCGGTGACAATTTCATGTTTAAATATCGTTAAATTAAATGGCATGCATGATAAAATATTCAAAACATAAAAAAGCTCCATTCTCACCTGCAAAGTGAAGTGCTAAGTCTCGATACAGTTCTCTACTCATGTTTTGAAACTCAGCCTCCTGCCACACTTTCCCATCAGGTGTTCGAATCCTGGTCTCTGAAGGGTTGAAACCTAATATATATCAACAACACAGAACATTCTTACCAAAGTTGCTTTTTAAAGATTTGATTGTTTTTATGAAATATAATTAAAATAACAAAAAAGATATTCTTTCAAAACGTAAAACTTAGCAGTTTCCATCATATTCACAGTTGTACAGTTATCATCATTACTAATCCCAGAACTTTTCATCATCCTGAAAAAAAACCCCTGTGGCTATTAGTGGTCACAACCCACATGACCCCATCCATCCCTGTCAACTACTGATCGACTTTCTATCTTTACGGACTTGCCTATTCTGAACACATCATAGAAATGGAATCATACAGCATGTAGGCTTTTGCATCTGGCTTATTTCACTCAGCATAATATTTTCAGAGTTCAATCATCATGTAACATGTGTCAAGATTTTATTCCATTTTATTGCCTGCCTAGTAATATTCCATTGTGTGGACATATCAACATTTTGTTTACCGCTCATCATCTGATGGACACTTGGACTGTTTCTATTTTTTGGATATTATTAATAAATCTGCCATGAACATTCTTGTGCAGGTTTTTGTGCAGCCATGTTTTCAATTCCCTTGGGTTTTGCATCTAGATGTAGAACTGTTTAGTCATGGTAAGTCTATGTTTAATCTTTTGAAATGCTGCCAAGCTGTCCTCAAAAGCAGCTGTAGCATTTACATTCGCACCAGCCAGGTATCAAGGCTCCAATCTGTTCACATCCCCACCAATAATGATTGTTGTCTAACTTTCCTTATTAAAGTCAAACCAATAAAGCAGCAGCTCATTGTGTTTTTCGCACTGCCCTAATATCCAGTGATGTTGAACATGTTTACAAGCTTTTAAGAGAGGAATGCACAGCTACAAAATGGTTGACATATATTGTTTGGATTCAGTGAGATTAAAGCATTATATACAGTTATTCAAAAAGACTAGAAATGGAAGAGCACCAAAATTAAGTGATAAATGAATGCCAATCATAAATTACAGATTTCAATGACAAATTACCCTTCTCAAGGTTAAGAGACAACACTATTCCTTCTTCTTATCTTAAACACAGACATTAATTACCACCATCTGTCTGTTTTTGCCTAAGGCTGAACAAATGGATAGGCTGTTGTCTATATGGGCAAAATGTACCCCAAGTGTTAAAAATAGGTCTTTAAAATATACTTGTTCAATATCTCAAGAAACATTAAATATGTGCTATTTCCCAGGAATTTCTATTCTGATTGTACACTTTAAATTTAATCACTACTTTTCAGAAAAATATACTGAACTTTAATTGATATTTTGAAAATTTTCAAAAATTTGAATATGGACAATAACCAAAATATTATAAAGATTTCTATTTTAAGATGGGCTCAATTTATAAAAAAATAAAGGCAACCAATATTTGTAGAATTCTATCAGTTTAGGGGCCAGTGCTGTGGCACAGAAAAAGCAGGGTAAGCTGCCATCTGCAGTGCCAGCATCCCATATGGGTACCAGTTCAAGTCCATGCTGTTCCACTTCTGATCCGGTTCCCTGCTAATGTGCCTGGGAAAGCAGCGGAAGATGGCCCAAGTGCTTGGGCCCCTAAACACATGTGGGAGACCCAGATGAAGCTCCTGGCTCCTGGCTTCAGATTGTCCCAGCTCCAGCCATTGTAGCTATTGGGGAGTGAACAAGTGAATAGAAGATCTGTGTCTCTCTGTAACTCTTTCAAATAAATAAATAAATCTTAAAAAAAAAAAAAAGGATTAGTATAAATAGGCTAGAGTCAAAAATTGGCAAAAGCACTTTAGAGGTGTTAGATAAAAGGCACTACATGTTGAGTATCCCTTATCAAAAATGTCAGGAACCAGAATTACTTCAGATTCTGGAATATTTTAATGTACCTAATGAAATATTCAGGGGAGGACATTCTAGTCTAAATACAAAATCTCACTTATGCTTCCTATATATTTTATATACATAGCCTAAAAGTAATTTTATACAATATTTTTAGAAATCCCATGCATAAACAAACTTTGTGTATATTTATAGTCTGTAGTACTGGTATCCCATATGGGTGCTGGTGCAGGTCCCATCTGCTCCACTTCCCATCCAGCTCCCTGCTAAATGTGCCTGGGAGGGCCCGGCGCCGTGGCTCACTTGGTTAATCCTCTGCCTGCAGCACCGGTATCCCATATGGGCACCGGGTTCTAGTCCTGGCTGCTCCTCTTCCAGTCCAGCTCTCTGCTGTGGCCCGGAAAGGCAGTGGAGGATGGCCCAAGTCTTTGGGCCCTGCACCCGCATGGGAGACCAGAAGGAAGCACATGGCTCCTGGCTAAGGATTGGCGCAGAGTGCTGGCCATAGCAGCCATTTGGGGGGTGAACCAACAGAAGGAAGACCTTTCTCTCTGTCTCTCTCTCGCTGTAACTCTACCTGTCAAACAAATAAATAAAAAATCTTTAAAAAAAAAAATGTGCCTGGAAAAGCAGCAGAAGATGGCCCAGGTCTTTGGGTACCTGCACCTACATGAAGACCCAGATGCATCTCCTGGCTTCAGCCTGGCCCAGCCCTGGCCATTGAGGCCAAATGAGGAAGATCTCTCTCTCTCCCTTTCATTGTAACTCTGCCTTTCAAGCAAATCTTAAAAAAACTTCAAGGAGTGGGGAGGGGGATAGGTACTGTGGTGTTGTGGGTTAAGTCTCCGCTTGGGATACTTGCATCCCATATTAGAGATCCTGGTGGAGGCTGGCCATTCCACTTCCTATCCAGGCTCCAGCCAATAGTCCGAGGCAGCCAGTAAAGGCTCAGTAGGTGCCGGAGCCCCCGCCACACATGTGGGTGACTCAAGGCATTTCTGGCTCCTGGCTTCAGTTGGCCCAGCCCTGGCTGTTGAAGCCATCCGAGGAGTGAGCCAGCAATGCAAGTGCTGCTCTCGCTGAGTGAGCCAGCAATGGAAGCGCTGCTCTCGCTCTCTCATTCTGTCTCCCTTTTCTATCACTCTGCTTTTCAAATAAATAATAATTTATAATTTTTTTTATATTTACTCTTCATTGACATAAGGCATTGGTGGGGAAACTTTTCTGCCCAGGGAAATTTGGATATTTATAACATTCACGGGCTATCAAAATTATCAACTTAAAAATTCACCTGCTATAGACTGACTGAATTTCAGGTCCTCCCTGTGCTTTCCTTGGCAGGGCCAGATTAAATGATTTTGTGGGGCTTACACAGCAGGCAGGAGGGACATTCCTTACCCCTGACCTAGGATACCCTGGCCATATGGCTAAATTAGTGAAGACACATTTAGGGGAAAATACATGGCATAAACTTTATTTTGCTAAAAATTTCAGCTGGGCCAGCGCCATGGCTCACTAGGCTAATCTTCCACCTGCAGTGCCGGCACCCTGGGTTCTAGTCCTGGTCGGGGCACCGGTTCTGTCCCGGTTGCTCCTCTTCCAGTCCAGATCTCTGCTGTGGCCCGAGAAGGCAGTGGAGGATGGCCCAAGTGCTTGGGTCCTGCACCCCATGGGAGACCAGGAGGAAGCACCTGGCTCCTGGCTTTGGATTGGCACAGCACGCCAGCTGTAGCGGCCATTAAGGGGGTGAACCAACAGAAGGAAGACCTTTCTCTCTCTCTAACTCTGCCTGTCCAAAAAAAAAAAAAAAAAAGAGAGAGAGAGAGAGAATTTCAGCTGGAGGCAGATCAGAACAGTTATCAAGTTATAACAAAATCTTTTTTTTTTTGACAGGCAGAGTGGACAGTGAGAGAGAGAGAGACAGAGAGAAAGGTCTTCCTTTTGCCGTTGGTTCACCCTCCAATGGCCACCACGGCTGGCGCGCTGCGGCCGGCGCACCACGCTGATCCGATGGCAGGAGCCAGGTGCTTCTCCTGGTCTCCCATGGGGTGCAGGGCCCAACCACTTGGGCCATCCTCCACTGCACTCCCTGGCCACAGCAGAGAGCTGGCCTGGAAGAGGGGCAACCGGGACAGAATCCGGTGCCCCGACCGGGACTAGAACCTGGTGTGCCGGCGGCGCAAGGCGGAGGATTAGCCTAGTGAGCCGCGGCGCCGGCCAAGTTACAACAAAACCTTGCAACCATTGTCCAGTCCAGCTTCCCTGGTATAAGCACAAGCGCCACTAGTACAAAATGTGAAACTAATCAGAAAAGATGTCCCTGATAATTTATGCCTTTTTATTAGAAAAACGGGCAAGAAATTCACTCTATTCAAAAAACAAAGAAAGAATTCCCTCCTCTAAAGCAGCGAGTACACACACTCATGCCTGTCGCAGCAAGTTTACCCTTACACACGCTTGTTGAGTTCGCGCATCCTAGCACAGTTATCCTGTCCTGGTGTTCTTAATTCCTGTAGGAGCTGCCTCATCAGCTGTAGTCACTGTTTCTCTGGGAACAAGAACTCCAAAACAGTGATGCTTCCTCAGCACTGTAGAGTTGTTCTGTGTCAGATTCTCATCAGCAATGATTCTGGCAAACTTGTCAACAAAGTTCTCTGCTGCTTCATGATCAGCAGGTGCTTCATCACCATAAAGCTTTAAGGATGTTGTGTCTTGTCTTAAATGTCTGTGATCAACCTGCTGAATATTCACAATTCCTTCCAATTTTCAGTTCCTCATGATATAACTTCCCTTGTTTCATGATCAGTAATGGCATGTTTCACTGCGACACTGATGGAGCCACTCTGAATATACAATCGAGATCGTCACTTTGATCTTCACGCAGTGTATTTCTATTTTTCAGTAACTTCTGTTCATCACTCGCAGCAGAGAGATTCAGTAGCTCATTCGTCCTGTTTCTCCACTTCTTGGATGGTGGTCATTCTGCCACCACACTCTGTGAGACGTTTCACGCACCACTGTCTGTCCAGCTGCTCCGCAGCCTGACTTTCTGTGTTGTTATCCGTTTCAGGTCAGATAAACATAAACGCTTCTTTCTCGTATCACTGTTTCTCAGTAGGGTATCTCAGGTATTTTTGGGATTTGCAATATGTTTGTATCACAGAGCAGAGAAGAAGCAGAAACACAATAAGTGATGCATGTAAGTCTTGGTCTCAAGCAGGGCACCATGGGAAACCTGCCACTGGCACACCCAGTCTGTACACATGCCAAGTTAGTAGCCTTTCTCTGTGTGCCCACATGACAGAAGCTGGGTGGCAGCCATGAAAAAGGTGCAACATGGCTAAAGGGGGCTAAGAGGTTGTTCTCCCTTCCTCTATGGGGTACCACATTATGTTTTGTGCATTTTTTTAAACGATTATTTCTTTATTTCAAAGAGTTACACAGAAAGAGAAGGAGAGGCAGAGAGAGAGAGAGAGAGAGAGAGAGAGAGAGAGAGGTCTTCCACCCACTGGTTCATTCCCCAATTGGCTACAACGGCCAGAGCTGTGCCAATCTGAAGCCAGGAGCCAGGAGCTTCTTCCAGGGCTCCCATGCGGGTGCAGGGGCCCAAGGACCTCGACCATCTTCCACTTCTACTTCCAGTTTCCTGCTAATGTGCTTGGGAAGGCAGCAGAAGATGGCCCAAGTAATTGGGCTCCAGCCACCCATGTGGGAGACTAGGATAGAGTTCCTGGCTCCTGGTTTTGCCCTGGCCCTAGCGAAGGCAGTGGAGCCCTTACTTGGGTCCCTGCACCCCCAGGGGAGACTTGGAAGAAGCTCCTGGCTCCTGTCTTCGGCCTGGTCCAGCCCGGCTGGTATAGCCATTAGTCATTTGGGGAGTGAACCAGTAGATGGAAGACATCCCTCACTCCTGCCTCTCTGTCTCTATCTCTCCCTTTCTGCTGCTCCTTCAAATAAATAAATAAGTAAATATTTGTTAAAAATCTAATTCTGGACTTTAACTCCAGAAATTCTGATTTAGGTCCAATGTAAGATCTAGGAATCTGTATGTATTTCTTAACATGTATCTTGAAGTAATTTCTTAGGCAGCTGATCTGAGAAATTAAATTCTGTTCTAAAGACGATCTTCTCTAAGCAAACACATCCTAGGGAGAAAGGGAAGCAAGGAGGCAGGAGGAGAGAGAAGGGTACAAAGCCTGATCACCAACCTTTGTACGTGGGAGCAGGTGGTGCTGTTGCCACTTTCCTGACCTTTGCTGTCACTGAGTTATCAACACTGACAACCATTACCGGATGGTCAATATGACCCAGATTCTGGCCCCGGCCGTTTATTTCTTCTGAATGTTCCCACTGCTTCCTAATCCGCTCCTTGAGTTTTTCCAGTTTGATGTCATGTTGCCGCCTCTTTAAAATGTCTAATCTTTGGGAACTGGAAGTACTAGCAGAGGATGGAGAAGAGTCAGTCAGCCTTAACACTTTTGGATCAATATCTTGGCCCATGTTATTCATGGAAGGCTTCAAATTGTTCTCGTTTAGTTTTGCTCTGTTGGGCATTTCTTCTTCAATTCTCAGAGGAGGTCCCATCTTAATCAAACATTCAGAACTTTGTAATGCATCAATTGCAGGTCGATCATTTAAAAACCTAACAACTGTATCATTCGTAACGAAGGATTGAGAGCTGTCAAAATCACAGCAATGCATATTCTGTTCTTCTCGACTGCTTAGCATCCGGTTCCCACTCTCAGCCTTTTCTTCATTAACATCTACACAATATACAGGTTTTGAGTCCAGATAGCTGGGACTTAAACTGGAAGGTGCACCATGGATTTCCCTATAATAAAAAATAAGCTTTGTTACCACAGTTAATAACAATATACTATTTAATTGAATACTGCTAAAGTAGTACATTTGAAATACTCTCACCATAAAACAATGATAAGCATGTGAGGTAACTCATATCTTAAATAGCTTCACTTAGCAATTCTACAATGTATACATATGTCAAACCATTATTTTGGGGTTAGACATTGGGCCCAGCCATTAAGACTCCAATCTGGATGCCCATATCCTACATAGCAGTGCTTGGATTCCCAGCTCTGGCTCCTGACTCCAGCTTCCTGCTAACACGGTCCCTGGGAGCAGCAGTGATGGCTCAGTACTTTGGCTCCTGCCACCCACGCAGGAGACTGGCTTAAGCTCCTGGCCCCCAAATTCAGCCCTGAGACCATGGTAGACAGTTGAGGACTGGACCTGCAGATGGGAGCTCTCTATCATGAAGTAAATAATTTTAAAAATTGTGAATAAGAGTACAAAACTAGTCAAAATGAAACCAATCATACAAACTAAATAGAAACTTTAAGTTTATATGAGACACTTAAAAACACAAGAAATTCCAGTAAATTAAAAATAGTAATACTAATTAAAAATACTAAGACCCAACGTTCAACATCTCTTTATTAAGTTGAATAGCAAAATATGTGTGCAGAGATTTGAGAATTCCAGGAAATGGGACATTTAAAACTTTTTTTATTTATTTGAGAGGCAAAGAGAGACAAATAGAAAGAAAAAGTTCTCATTCACTGGTTCACTCCCCAGTGCCCCCAGCGGCCAGGGCTGGACCAAGGCCAAAGCTAAGAGCCAGAAACTCAATCCAGGTACTACAAGTGGGAGCAGGAACCTATTAACTTTAGTCACTACCAATGTCTCTCCAGGTCTGCACCAGTAGGAAGATGGAGTCAGGAGTAAAACCAGGAATTTAACCCAGTACTGTAATGTGGGATATGGTGTCTTAACCATTAGGCCAAATATCTGCCCCCCAAAATAGAATTATAATCCAACTTTAGGTATTTATTTGATGTCTGTTACCACTGGATCACTCTCCAAGCGGCCCCAACGGCTGGAAATGGGCCAGGCTGAAGTCAGGAGCCTAGGACTCCTTCCACGCCTCCCAAATGGATACAGGGGCCCAACCACATGGGCCATCCTCCACTGCTTTCCCTGACACAATAACAGGGAGCCAGATCAGATGTGCAGGAACCAGAACGTGATTCAGCACCCATATGGGATGTTGGTATTGCAGGCTCAACCTGATGTGCCACAACGCCAGCCCCAGCATCTTAACTAACAGGGAAAAAGTTCTCAAATATTGGCATCTTACATGTGTAACTTCTAAATAATGTGCCAAATTAACAAATAGATTGAGGATAGAAATAAAATTAGAAAGTACAATAAATATTTCCCAAATAAATGTGGTTAGTAAAGTTAAACCTCTCTTAACCATGGAGTATTTTTTTGGATGCCTCAAACCATGGAGACCATTATCTAGAAACTCAGAAGTAGGGGCCGGCACTGTGGCATAGCGGGTAAGGCCACCGTCTGCAGTGTCGGCATCCCATATGTGCACCGGTTTGAGTTCCGGCTGCTCCGCTTCAGATCCAGCTCTCTGCAATGGCCTGGGAAAGCAGTAGAGGATGGCCCACGTGTTTGGGCCCTTGCACTTGCATGGGAGACCTGGAAGAAGCTCCTGGATCCTGGCTTCGGATCGGTACAGCTCTGACTGTTGCGGCCAATTGGGGAGTGAGCCAGCAGACAGAAGACCTCTCTCTCTTTCTCTCTCTCCTTCTCCTTCTCTCTTTGTAACTTTCACTTATAAATAAATAAATCTTAAAAAAAAAAAAAAAGAAAGAAACTCAGGAGTAAACAAAGACTGGAAAAAGTCAAAGCACTTATAAAGTTTGCATTATCTGTTCACAAAAACACTAGCAAACGTCTCCATCAGATACAACTTTTATTTAACATAGCATTCTAACAAGCTTTACTGTAGGAAAGTGGTTTATTAAAAGGGAGGCTAATGTAGACAAACAATCCTTGGCAGTGAGAGAGCATGGGAATCATGAAGGCCTGTGTATTTCCCCAAGGAGACAGTCTACAGTTCCCGTCAGACTGCCATCGAGCCTGAGATCCTGTGTGCGTGGACTGGGGCTGAGCAATGAGTCCTGCAGCTGCCACCAGAGAGCAGACTACACGGGGTCATTTTCACCCTCTAGACAGACTGCCACCACTGACGGTTAAAACCCTGTGGCTCTGAGGTGGGCATTCGCCCTAATGGTTAATCACTGACTGAGACACTGGCATCACAGACGGAGTGCCTGGGCCTGAGTTTCAGTTTCACTCCTAATTACGGCGTTCTTCTAATGCACACCCTGGGAGGCAGTACGTGATGGCTTCAGCAGTTAACACCTCGGCCGGCTTCCCAGATCTGAACTTCCGCCTTGCCGAGCGCCGGCTGTTGAAGACATTTGGGGACTGAACTAAAGGATGGGACCTGTGTCTCCTCTCTAAGTCTCTCTTTCTTCCTTTCTGCCTTGTAAATAAACAAAATTATTTAGGTCTAAAATTAGTATCTTTAGGGAGTGTTTAGCCTAGAGGTTGTCATATCAAAGTACCTGAGTTCAAGTGATTGTGTTCCTGTCATCCACACAGGAGACCTGGACTGCATTCCTGGCTGCTAGCTCCAGCCAAACCCAGCCCCAGCCTTGGCACACACTTGGGCAATGACCAGCACACGGGAGCTCTCGGTCTCTAATTCTGCCCCCCAAATCAGTAAACTATGCAACAAATAAACAGAGGCAGGTGCCTGGCCTACTGGTTAGGATGCCAACTGGGATTCTCCGCGTGCCTCATCAGAGTGCCTGTGCTCGGGTCCCAGTTCTGACTCCCAGTTCCAGCTCCCTGCTACCACGCAGTCTAAGCAGCAGCCGGTGTCGGCTCGAGTCACTGAGTCCCTGCCGCCCACAGAGAGACCTGGATTGAGCTTCTGGCTCAGGGTTTCAGCCCAACTCACATCCACCCATTATGAGCATCTTAGACAGCTCTTTCTGTGCCTCTCCAAAACTTAATTTCTTTTTCTTTTTTTTTTTTAAGATTTATTTATTTATTTTAAAGTCAGAGTTAGAGAGAGGAGAGGAGAGGTAGAGGTAGAGAGAGAGAGAGAGAGAGAGGTCTTCCATCCGATGGTTCAATCCCCAATTGGCTGCAACAGCTGGAGCTGCGGCGATCCAAAGCCAGGAGCCAGGAGCTTCTTCCGGGTCTCCCACGCGGGTGCAGGGGCCCAATGACTTAGGCCATCTTCTACTAGTTTCCCAGGCCACAACAGAGAGTTGGATAGGAAGTGGAGCAGCTGGGACTCGAACCGGCACCTATATGGGATGCCAGTGCTCAGGCCAGGGTGTTAACCTGCTGAGCCACAGCACCAGCCCCAACTTAATTTCACATAGTCGTTCATTCCCTCACACATCAAATACTTTTTGAATATGTGGATGGGTATTCACTACACAATTGTTCAACTTTTCCATAAATCTGGAATTTTTTATAATAAAATGTTAAGGAAACTGTTTACTAAATATTGAGTACGTGCTAGGTATTAACCTAATGCTCAGAGAATAAGACAAGATTTATTCCCTCACATAGGCTGGTGTACGGAGCAGAAATGGAATGCAAATATAACAGGACATGAAAACGCTATAACAGAGGTTACATGCTATCATGGGAGCACATATTATTAATTAACAAGGCCTAGAAAATGGAGTGAGGTAGAAACAGATCTGGCATGTTTCATACAGAAAGTCATAGAAGAGTTTAAATAATAAAAGTAGAGAAGGACATTCCACTCTCAGCTATGGTCCAGATATTCTCTTCTTTACAATTCCTACACAATTTTAACTATCAAGTAGTATTCTTGCAAGAACCGTATCAGAGTATGTATGAACAAGAGTCAGGAAGTCAGTCTCCACACTATTAGGGATTATGCTTCCAGGCAAGTCAGTATTTCTGTGTATAGAGATTCTGAACTGTGATAATTGTTCAACTTTCTCATTTCTCCTTTTCTTTTTTTTTTTTAAAGATTTATTTTACTTTAAAGTCATAGTTACACAGAGAGAGAGAGAGGGAGAAGCAGAGAGAGAGAGAGAAAATCTTCCATCTGCTGGTTCAGTCCCCAAATGGCCACAAAGGCCGGAGCTGCGCTGATCTGGAGCCAGGAGGCAGGAGCTTCTTCCAGGTCTCCCATGTGGGTGCAGGAGCCCAAGGACTTGGGCCATCTCCCACTGCTTTCCCAGGCCATAGCAGGGAGCTGGATCAGAAGTGGAGCAGCTGGGTCTCGAACCGGCACCCATATGGGATGCCGGCACTGCAGGCAGCAGCTTTACCCGCTACACCACAGCGCCGGCCCCGACATTTCTCCTTTTCTAAGCTGTGAACTTTTACCTAGATTAAATCCTTGGCTTTCTCTCTGTATTTTTTTCACCACTTCTATTACTTCAATACTAGTGACAACTTTCAAATTTATATTTTCAGCATACCAACTGAATATTTTCCCTAGATATTTCAAAACTGTATCAAATGTAACATTAAAAATTGCATAATCCATTGCCTCGCCTAAATTATTTATCTTAAATTTAAGAGTACAAATATATACCTAGATTTACCAAGCATCATCATGAAACACCTTGATTTACTGGTCGATACTTTAAAATATGAAAAATACTGACAAACAAAATGAAGAAACATGATCTCATGTTTACTACTTACTCATATGACTATTTGCCAATACTAAGAGTGGAAACATATTTAATCATTAGTAAATATGTTTCTCAAGTACAAAATTCCATTATTTTATTAACTAAATATCATAAACTATGTTAAAATGCAAGCCATTTTATACTACAATTTATCGAAGTTCACACATCAGTCTTTAACATCTAAGTTGCTAAAAGGAGCCACTGGCAACAAAATAATAAACCAGTTCATGTTTTTTTTGTTTGTTTTGTCTTTTAAAGATTTAACTTATTTGTTTGTTTGAAAGGCAAAGCAACAGAGAAAGACTTTGCATCCACTGGTTCACTCTCCAAATTCTAGCAACAGCCAGGTATGGAGCAGGCCAAAGCCAGGAGCCAGACATTCCATGCAGTTCTCCTACAAGGGTGGCTTCCGCTGCCTTCAGTGGTGCTCCAGTGGAAGCTGGACTGGAAGTGGGACTCAAACCAGTGCTGCAAGATGGGATGCCAGCATCACAAGCGCTGGCTAACCCACCATGCCTCCATGCCAGCCCAACCCGCATTATACCTCCATCAAGAAAGACACTGTAGACGCATACTACTACAAAAGCATCAATCAACTGCACAAAATTCATTATGTAGAATTCTGAATCTGAGATATTAAGAAAAAATAGCCACACTTCCAGAGACTAAACAATTTGTTCCTAGCAAACCTATTTAAAATTACAATGTTGGTTGTCTGGGGTAAATACTACTATTTCTTCCCTCCAAATATTTATCTATAAAAGAGTATACTGTAGTCTATATTTCATAACATAAAATATTTTTGCCATATATCATTCAGAATGAAAAAGGTAATATTTGCATTAAAAACTAATTATAATCTTACTATAAACACTACAGGGTAACCCTAAGAAACTTTTTTTGAATACTAACCTGTAGGAAACCAAAGGGTCACGAAATTCTACACGATTGTTTTTCTTCACGTTACTCTCCAGGGTGGTAGCTCTGAGAGGACGACGGGATTTCTCTTTTCGTGATTTAGAGGACTTGGCAGTTGGAGCATTAACCCAGGAATCGTCCAGGCATCTACCATCTAAAGGAAAGGAAATCTGTGAGAACAGATGACGTAAAACACAACCACCTCTGACTCTGAGTAGTGCCTAACAAAATCACTCAGATTTATGGGAGGCATTTCCACTTAGATATTATATAAACAGGCGAAAAAATTCATATTAAATTATTATAGCACCTCAATAAATAGAGAACGATTATATTCTGCACAGTCTAAAATAAATTCTATATATAAAATTCTTTTGTCAATGGCTGCAATTCACAATTCATAAATACCAGACAAAATCCAAAAACTCACAGGTTAAAAAGAAAATCACAGTTTGGGTAAAGAATACTAACTTAAAGGTTTTTGCAAAACCAATTAGGAAACCAACCAAAGCCTCAAACATACAAAAGATTTGTATAGAAAATATTTGTACTGGGGCCGGCGCCGTGGCTCACTTGGTTAAATCTCCACCTGTGGCGCTGGCATCCCACATGGGCACCAGGTTCTAGTCCTGGTTGCTCCTCTTCCAGGCCAGCTCTCTGCTGTGGCCCGGGAGGACAGTGGAGGACGGCCCAAGTGCTTGGGCTCCTGCACCCGCATGGGAGACCAGGAAGAAGCACCTGGCTCCTGGCTTCAGATCGGCACAGCGCCAGTTGTAACAGCCATTTGGGGAGTGAACCAAGGAAGGAAGACCTTTCTCTCTGTCTCTCTCTCTCTCACTGCCTATAACTATACCTGTCAAATAAATAAAAAAAAAAAAAAAGAGGCCGGTGCCGCGGCTCAATAGGCTAATCCTCCACCTTGCGGCGCTGGCACACCAGGTTCTAGTCCCGGTCGGGGCGCCGGATTCTGTCCCGGTTGCCCCTCTTCCAGGCCAGCTCTCTGCTGTGGCCAGGGAGTGCAGTGGAGGATGGCTCAAGTCCTTGGGCCCTGCACCCCATGGGAGACCAGGATAAGTACCTGGCTCCTGCCATCAGATCAGCGCAGTGAGCCGGCCGCGGTGGCCATTGGAGGGTGAACCAACGGCAAAGGAAGACCTTTCTCTCTGTCTCTCTCTCTCACTATCCACTCTGCCTGTCAAAAATAAATAAATAAATAAATAATAAAAAAAATAAAATAAAAAATAAAAAGAAAATATTTGTACTGTGTCAATCTATGACAGTATCTGTACGGAAGATATTCCATCTATGATTTTTAAAATCCAACAAAAAATACATCTCTTAAGTCAACTGAATTTTACTTTCAATGAGATATATTATACCTGTAAATAAAAAAAAAATGAACCAGACATACATAATCCCAAAACCTCAAAATCAAATTCTTATCACCAAGAAACAAACAAAAACTCATTGTCAAAGATGAAGTAACAGTACAAAAGTCCCTGGTTTAAAGACGGTGAAACAGCATCTACAGTCACTGAATATGAAGCCACTTCATAACCAAAGGAGAAATAAACGCTGATGACTGATGACATACAGCTGTTGGCAAACACAGGGACTTTAGAAGAAACTAAATTAAAACAAAACAAAGAAAAATTCATATGTAATATATCTTTAGAACTAACTTTATACATACCTTTTCTACTTATTTTTCGGGTACCACTTGCAGAAAACTTCTTGGCATCCATGACAGAATCAAACACAGCTGTACTGGTGGGGGCTACTTCCAATTTGTTTTCAATGTGTCTCAGCTAAAGTTTAAACACCATCGCAACACATCAGTTAATTCTGTAAATAAACCAGCTACCACTGATTACAGAGTTAACACTATACTGCCCAGTATCTTTCTTTTCTAATCAAGAAAAAACTTGGGAAGGTCTTTAAGCAGTATTAGAATCTTCATCACTTACTACTTCAGCTATAACAGCTGCCACAATGCTGCCCAAATTTGCACAGTAAAATAAAAAAATTATGAAGTATTCAAAGGTCTCCTATTTGTCTTGCTGAACTATTTTAATCATTGAGTTTTTTGAAAGCAATAAATTATCTGACATTTTTTGTGACATGTCATTATGCAATATATCTTGTACAATTTACATGCACAAATGAGGAAAGAGTGATTTAGCTGAATTAAAATTTAGGATTGTGGGCCGGCGCCGCGGCTCACTAGGCTAATCCTCCGCCTTGCGGCGCCGGCACACCAGGTTCTAGTCCCGGTCGGGGCGCCGGATTCTGTCCTGGTTGCCCCTCTTCCAGGCCAGCTCTCTGCTATGGCCAGGGAGTGCAGTGGAGGATGGCCCAGGTGCTTGGGCCCTGCACCCCATGGGAGACCAGGAAAAGCACCTGGATCCTGGCTCCTGCCATCGGATCAGCGCGGTGCGCCGGCTGCAGCGGCGGCCATTGGAGGGTGATCCAACGGCAAAGGAAGACCTTTCTCTCTGTCTCTCTCTCTCACTGTCCACTCTGCCTGTCAAAAATAAAAAAAAATAAAAAAAAAAAATAAAAAAAATTTAGGATTGTGGGCCGGCGCCGCGGCTCACTAGGCTAATCCTCCGCCTTGCGGCGCCGGCACACCAGGTTCTAGTCCCGGTCGGGGCGCCGGATTCTGTCCTGGTTGCCCCTCTTCCAGGCCAGCTCTCTGCTGTGGCCAGGGAGTGCAGTGGAGGATGGCCCAAGTCCTTGGGCCCTGCACCCCATGGGAGACCAGGAGAAGCACCTGGCTCCTGCCATCGGATCAGCGCGGTGCACCGGCCGCAGCGCGCCGGCCGCGGCGGCCATTGGAGGGTGAACCAACGGCAAAGGAAGACCTTTCTCTCTGTCTCTCTCTCACTGTCCACTCTGCCTGTCAAAAAATTAAAATAAATAAATAAATAAATAAAAGAAAAAAAAGTTTAAAAAAAAAATTTAGGATTGTTCAAACAGTCACAATATTTTACAGTTTTGTATCTATAAAATAAGGACAAAATTCACAAGCTAGAACTCAGGTTTCACATTTACTTTGTAATATTAAGTCAACTTTTAGTATAACTACCAATGTTCTCAATGACTTTAAAAAAAGAATTTTTTCCAAATAATACAGAATTACATACTTACAGGATAAGATTTAGGAAGCCAAAAACATTCAAAATTAAATTAATTAAAATCCTATCACACAGATAAATTCCTTGTATGAAATTTTCATTTATCTTCTTTCAGATTTTTGCAGTGTACTGTACTTCAAAATGGGAACAGGTGCAAGCACTTGGCCGAGTCACCAAGATGCACATGTCCATATCAGAATACCTAATTCAGACCCAGGAGGCAGCAAGTGATGGCTCAGGTATTTTAGTCTCTGCTACCCAGACTGGAGATCTGGATTGAGTTCCTGATCCAGTCTGAGCCCAGTGCTAGCCACTGCAGGCATCTGGGGAGTGAACTAGCAGAGTAAAGTCTGTCTCCCTCTCCACCTCGTTGTCTGTCTGTCAATCTCTCATAAGAAAAAAGGGGAATAATATCTTTTACATACTAATAGTTCTGCATGAGGCTTTCCTTCTATTAAATTATGAGCCCCACCATCTTTAAAAATCTTCAAAAAAATACAGTATTTTTTAACAACTATTAATAGTTTAGCTCTAAATTAAATTAAGGGGTTAAAAAAATGATTTCTTTATAACAGATGTTTAACACCTGTCTAGGAGACAATATACACTGGTATCTATATCTATATTTCTATTTCTGTATCTATATCTATATCTAAACAAAATCTGATCCTGCATTGGATCAAATCTGGTTTATGTATCTTTTCTAGATTCATTTTCAAAGCAGTCTAAAGAGTAGAAGAAAACACCATAAAAGTACTCAGACAGGAAAGAAAGAGTGATTCAAATTCAGACGGTGTACTAAATACGGTAAGGGTAATTTGCCCAGAGAGCAAATAAAAAAGAAAAGGGTTTTCCAGTGAAGAGACTGAAGTGTGCTTGCAAAAGTTCATGGAAAATAGGATTAAAAGATAAGCTTATTTTTCCACAAACTTTCTGAAGTCTCCTCATTGTGTCACTTGCCCAATTTGCATTCCTAACCTCCAGATAACACTGGGCAGAAGACAAATGGGAATAAGTGGCTCAAAGTCCCATTTCTTAGTTAGTACCAGAGAAAACTGTATGTTACTGCCAGGAAAAAAAAACAAAAACAAAAACAAAAACAAAACAAAAGCAGGTAATGCCCAACCCACTCAAGAAGCTAGCGCTGTTTATTTCCTCCTTGACAATGAGCTTCAATATAAACACAGCACCACCTTCCAAAATGTATCACTTTAAAGCTCCAACACCAGTTGCTAAAGGTGAAGAAAAAGTTATAAATTATTGTACTTTCCATATTCCCTGGTATAATGCTCCCAATACCTAAAATAGTGCCTTATTTAATCCTTTACTATTTAACAGCTGTCATGTTTGTTCATTGTGTGATACATGAGGGTACTTCAATAAGTCCATGGAAAACTGAATTAAAAGAAATTTATTTGGTGCAAAAATGTTTTGAAATCCTTGCACAGTTTTAGTATAACATACACTATCCACAAACTATTTAAAGTACCCTCATATAGTATATAATTTTCAAGAAAAGGCTATAGAAAACATTTGAATCTATTCAATCATAACAGAAAATCAATTTTAAATCAGAAACGAGTAAATGGAAGCTAAGACTACTTACAGTAGCCTTGGACTGAGAAAGTGCATCCCACGACGTGGTTATGTCTGCCAGAGGAAATTGATAATTAGTGAATCCGAATCTCAGAAGTAGACTTTGGAATCTCAATTTTAGTAAGTCCCAAAATGCATTCAAAAGTTAGAAGATTACTTTAGTAGAAAGACCACTCCTCATGTGGAGTCAAAGTATGCTTTGCCTCCCTAACGACTACTCTGCAAAGTCAAGCTTCCCAACACAAACATGGTTTAGGGTTTAATAGACACTGACACTACTAGTTCTTTAGAGAGCTGGACCAACACCCCTACCACACTCACATCAGACATCTCCAAAAACAAACAATATATTCAGTTTATCCCAATGAGCTGAAAAACTACAAAGTTTTACATTTCATTGTATTTCCATTATAATGTGAAAAAGAAACTAGTTCAGACTTCAGTCTATCAGTAGAAACAAAGATAAAATCTTTCAGATGACAGCCCTTCAAATAGTTTAAGGCCACATATTTCCCATTAGTCATCCTTTTCCAGGATATTTTTATTTCCCCAAATATTCCTCACATTATTTCATTTCCAGGTTCCTCAGAAACCAAATAATCTTTCTCCAGATCTCACAAAGTTTGCCAATCTCCACCAAAAAATATTATGCATTAAAGTTAACTCTAGGGGACAGTGTTGTAGCATGGAAGGGTAAGCCGCTGCCTGTGACGCCGGAATCCCATGTGGGCGCCCAGTCCACATTCCGGCTGCTTGACTTCTGATTCAGCTCCCCAATAATGCACCTGGGAAAGCCGTGGAAGATGGCCCAAGTGCCTGGGCTGGCCTCTGTACCCATGTGGGAGACCTGGAAAACACCCCCTGGCTCCCGGCTTCGGCCTGGCCCAGCCCTGGCACTTCAGTCACTCAGGGTGCAATACCAGTGAATGCAATCTATCTCTCTCTCTATGTTTCTCCATATAACTCTGCCTCTCAAATAAAAAAATCTTTTTAAAAAAAGTTAACTATAATGCATGATTTTAAAAAAGAGTTCAGACTATTCTGTTGTTTATGCACTACATGTCTAGACTATATTAGGAGTTAAATTATACTATTTAGGCCAGCGCCATGGCTCACTAGGCTAATCCTCCGCCTTGCTGCGCCGGCACACCGGGTTCTAGTCCCGGTCGGGGCGCCGGATTCTGTCCCGGTTCCTCCTCTTCCAGGCCAGCTCTCTGCTGTGGCCCGGGAGTGCAGTGGAGGATGGCCCAAGTGCTTGGGCCCTGCACCAGCATGGGAGACCAGGAGAAGCTCCTGGCTCCTGGCTTCGGATCAGCGCGGTGCGCCAGCAGCAGAGCACCAGCCACAGCAGCCATTGGAGGGTGAACCAACGGCAAAAGGAAGACCTTTCTCTCTGTCTTTCTCTCTCACTGTCCACTCTGCCTGTCAAAAAATAAAAAATAAAAAAAAAATAAAAAATTATACTATTTATTAAGCCAGAATACTTGAAATACTACATAAAACTAAATTTATATATACTGGTTTAATTTAAAAAGGATGGATTCAGAGCCAGCGCTGTGGCATAGTGGGCTAAGCCTCCACCTGCAGCGCTGGCATCCCATATGGGCACTAATTCGTGTCCTGGCTGCTCCTCTTCTGATCCAGCTCTCTGCTATGGCCTGGGAAAGCTGTAGAAGATGGCCCAGGTGACTGGGCCCCTGCACCTGCACGGGAGACCCAGAAGAGGCTCCTGGCTCCTGACTTTTGAGTGGCTCAGCTCTGGCCATTTGAGCCATTGAGGAGTGAACCAGCGAATGGAAGACTTCTCTCTCTGTCTCTCTGTCTATAACTCTACCTCTCAAATAAATTATTTAAAAAAAAAATAAATAGAAAGGATGCATTCTTCCTTGACAAGACAGTTTACCACAGGATGCCTTTGAAGATGAGATACCATGTATATTAAAATTTAAATTTAAAACTTTTTTTATAAATCAAAGTTTATAATTTTCATTTATTGATTAGCCCAGATTTTAACAAATTTGACCTAAATAAGGGACTAAACACAGTTAAGAAAAAAAAATCATACCTTGAACAGTATCCTTGCTTTGAGAGTTTCTTGGATTTGGTAAAGGCACCTCTTTTGATCTGCTGCTCCTCATCCTGCCCAGTTACCTGCAACCACATCGACAGGACTCACTGAACAGGATTAGGGTAAGACTGGAGGCAGGCATCTGGCACAGCGGGTAAGCTGCCCACATCCCATGGCAGAGTTCCTGGCTGAGACCCAGGGTCGCGGCCAATTCCAGTTTCCTGCTAATGTGCACTTTAGGGCGGGCCGTAGTGGTGGCTGTAGTAGCCAGGTACCTGCCACCCATATGGGATACCCAGATCCAGTTCCTGGATTCTGACTTTAGCCTGGCCAAGCCTTAGCTGCTGCAGGCATTGGGACGTGAAATATCAGATGAAGTATCTATCTCTCTCTGTCTTTCAAATAAATAATAAGGTTAGTAAAGAAAATACTGTGACTTATATTGCTCTTTCTAAAAGTTTAAAAAAAATCTATCATCTCTAAAATGTTATCTTTATAATCTCAATAGTTTCCAGTCATTCAATAATTTTATTTTTCCTTAGAAAAGCCATTAAAAATTATATTGTGACCACTTCACACACATTAAGATAACTATTATTTAAAAAAAAATGTGACAACAGGGCTGGAAAAGATGTGGAAAAACTGAAACTCTTGTGTGCTGTTGGTGAGAATACACAATGGTACAGTTACTGCAGACAACCGTATGGCAGTTCCTCAAAAAGTTAAAAATAGGGGCAGGTGTTGTGGCGCAGCAGGTTAAGTAGCCATCTGAGATGGCAGCATCCCACTTAAGCCCTGGTTTGAATCCAAGCTGCTCCACTTCTCATTTAGCTCCCTGCTAATGCTCCTGGGACATGATGACCCTTGGGGACATTATGCTAAGTGAAATAAGGCAATCATAAAAAGACAAATACTATATGATTCCTGGAATAGTTAAAATCACAGGACAGAAACCAGAAATGGTAGCTGCCAACGGCTGGCAGAGGGAGGAATGGGTAACTGTTGTTTAATGGGTATGGTGCTTCAGTTTTTCAAGAAGAAAGCAGTTATGGTGATGGATGGTGGAAATAGTTGTACAACATGAATGTACTTAATATCACTGAAGTGTGCATTTAAAAATGGTTAAGGCAGGGGCTGGTGCTGTGGTGTAGTAGGTTAAGCCTCTGCCAATGACTGGCATCCCATATAGGTACCACTTCATGTCCTGGCTGCTCCTCTTCCAATCCAGCTCTCGGCTATGGTCTGGGAAAGCAGTGGAAATGGCCCACGTGCTTGGGACCCTGCACCCCAGTGAGAAACCTAGAAGAAGCTCCTGGTTCCTGGCTTCGGATCAGCACAGCTGTTGCCGTTGTGGCCATCTGGGGAGTGAACCAGTGGATGAAAGACCTTTCTCTGTGTTTCCCCCTCCCTCTGTCTGTAACTCTACCTCTCAAATAATTACTTTTAAAAAAATGGTTATGGTGGTAACTTTTATGTTGTATTTTACTACAACAAAAAAATGGACAGAAAAATTATATCATGACTCAAACAGAAAAGAATATGATCTGCATTTGGATTAATGACAAAAGTTCTATTTTCCCATGAATATAGAGGGATTATTCTGTAATAAAAGTCATGTAATAGTAACACCAAAAGTCTGGAAAATCGAGGGAGAAAAACTCATCCCCTACTTTTAAATTCCTAATATAACCATTAAGATAGTTTGCATATTCTCTTTTAATCCTTCCTTTTTTTTTTTTTTTGCCTGTTCATGTCTGTTGCCCATCTTTTTTTTTTCTTTTTTAAGACTTATTTATTTATTTGAAAGGCAGAGATACAGAAAGAGGAGAAACAGAGAGAGAAATCTTCCACCTGCTGGTTTACTCCCCAAATGACCACAAAGGGCCAGAGCTGGGCCAGATTGAACCCAGTAGCCAGGAGCTTCCTCCAGGCCTCGCACTTGGTTGCAGGGCCCCAAGCACTTAGGCCATCCTCTCTGCTTTCCCAGGCACATTAGCAGGGAGCTGGATCAGAAGTGGAGCTTTCCTCCAGATGTTGCGGCCATCTGGAGTGACCAGAGGGTGGAAGATCTCTAACTCACTCACTCTCTCTCTCTCTAACTCTACCTTTCAAAAAAATAAATTAAAAAGAATTGGTCACAACAATACCTAATAGTTTTTTAAAATTACAGCATATTCGCCATTAACAAGGTGAATGTACTAACTGTGGCCACAGGATCTAAGATGTGCCCTGTTGAATACCACAAATACATTAAGTGAGGAATACCAGAAACAAGAGTACATAATTACATTATAGAAACTACAAAATAGAGAAAAGTAAAGGTGGGCATTTGGCCTAGCAGTTAAGATGCCCACACCCCTTATTAGAGTACCCGGTTCCAAGTTCCAGCTCTACTCCTTATTACAGCTCATGTAGACTCTTGGAGGAAGCAGGTGCCAGCTCAAGCAGCTGGGTTCCCGCCACCCAAATGGAAAAGCTGGAGTGGGTTCCTGGCTCCCAGCCTGGGCCTTGCCCAGCCTTACCTGCTGTATTTAGGAAGTGAACTACCAGATGGGAGCTTTCTCTGTGTGTGTCTCTAAAATCAATAAATAAGTATGAATGTGCTACAAGTGTGAATTCTCAGGGCAGAAAAAGAGGAAATGATAATACAGGAACTGGAAAACTGTCAAGAACAAGATCATTTTTTCCTTTTCTTTGGAAGCCACATGGTTTCCCACTTATTTTCTTTGATCATCCTCTTGCTTCTTCATCATGAGTTTGCAGCATAGCACCTCACATCAGCTCAGATGCTTCACAATTCTAAAATTCTGTCATCTCTTTTACCAAGGACTAGATAGGCTCCCCTTCCATCAATCCTCACTCCTTATCCAATCAGCTACAGCTGGGATGCCACACAGACCCTTGTTAGGGAGAATGTAGTTCATCCAAAGGAGACTTTAGGTAGGCAGACCCATCTGAAATTCATTTCAAATATACTACAGAAAATGTGTTAAGGGTAGTACTGTTTAGGGGAGAAACATGCAAAACTTCAAAAACTCTGTGACAGTTCCTTTCAGAGATTCATGCAGGGCTTTTCCTAATCACCAAAAATCATGATTCTTAATCTACTGGTAAAGTTTTCACTTCATATTTTAAATTCCGGATCTTATAAATAGTCCTTCAATTAACAAATCTCTTTTTCCAAAACAAAAACCAGGGCACAGTCTAACACTCTATCTAGGAAATATACGTTTCTGGTATCACGATGTTCCAATGGATGGGCATTATATTACTAGCATTAACACTTTGAATTTCAAACTTTCTTTATGAAATGTTCACTACGCTTGGGATTAGTAAAACTCACCTCTCCTGTCTCCCTTACCACCTGCTGTTTTCCCACTTGATTGGATGACCTCTCTCCGTCTACTAAGTTCATCACTGCTAACATTCCCCAAGATTCTATTACCAGGGCGCTTCTTTTCTAACTCCTTCTTCTGAGGCAAACTCATATTTTCATGGCTTTTACTGTTTCCTAACTGTCGTATTTCTTTCCTAAATCTCTCTCTGAGCTCTGAATCTAAGTTTTCAACCTGAAAGCCTATTTCCAAATACCACTGTCAACTCAATTTTATCAAGTTTAAAACCAAATAAATTCATTACCATCTACCTTCAAAATCATTCCTTCTTGTTCTCATCTTTGGCATGCCTGCCTTTCCCTTACTCCATCACATACACTGAGTTACCGAGTCATTTCTACCTTCACAATATTTCTCTATTATGACAATATAGATTATGCCTCCAAAAATCTTTTACATTTTTTAAAATCAAAAAGTAAGATGAGGGGCTGGCACTATGGTGTAGCAGGTGAAGCCGCCTGCAGTGCCGGCTTCCCATATGAGCACCAGTTCAAGTCCCAGCTGCTCCACTTCTGATCCAGCGCTCTGCTGTGGCCAGGGAAAGCAGTAGAAGATGGCCCAAGTCCTTGGGCTCCTGCACCCACATGGGAGACCCAGAAGAATCTGCAGGCACCTGGCCTCCGATCAGCCCAGACCTGGCCATTGCAGCCATTTGAGGAGTGAACCAGCAGAGCGAAGACCCCCCCCCCCAACACACACACACTCTATCTCTCTCTCTCTCTCTAACTCTGCCTCTCAAATAAATAAATAAATAAATCTTAAAAAAAAAAAAAAAGTAAGATGAAAGGGTGTTTAGCCTAGCACTCAGGACACCTGCATTCCACACTGAAGGACCTGGGTTCAGTTCCCAGCTCCCACTTCTGATCCCAGTTTCTTCCCAATGAAGACCTAGGAGGCAGCAGTGATGGCATGATAAATCTCACAAGTCTTCACATTAATTCAGATTCCACTAGAGTACACTTCCTAAACATTCAGAACATTTTATTATCTAAAAATCCCCTTTTAATATATAACTAATTTTCAAAGATTTATCTGAAAGGCAGAGCCACAGAGAGGGAGAGAGAGAGAGATCAATCTTCCATCTGCTGGCTCATTCCCTAAATGGCCACAACAGCCCAGGATGAGGCAGGCTAAAGCCAGAGGCCGTGCACTCAATCCAGGTCTCCCACCTGAGTGGCAGGAGCCCACGGCACTTGGGCCACCTCCTGCTGCCTTCCCTACACATCTGTTGGAAGCCTGGTCAGAAGCGGAATAGCTGGGACTGGAACATTGCAAGCACCAGCTTCACACACGCATCACACCACCTGCCCCTCTGTGCCTGCATTTCGTCTGGCTAGAAACCCACGAAAAAATCGTCAAGCCCAGATTCTAACGTCGTCCCCAAGAATCCCCCTCAGCAGTGATAAGGCAGTGGTGCTGGCTCAAGTAACTGGGTTCATGCCACCCACGTGGGAGACTTCAACTACAATCCTGGCTCCAGGCTCTGGCTCCTGCCCAGCCGCAGCCATTACAGGTGTTTGGGGGAGTCAAACAACAGATGGGAGCTAGCTTGCCCTCTCTCTCTCTCATCTGAAATAAATAAATAAAACTTAGGGGGAAAGATATCTCTATAATCCTTCTCTCTCTTGCCTCTGTTCAGAAAATCAGTCTTAGCCTAATTTATGGTTAACTTCCCAAATTATCCTACTCCTAATCCATTCTCCAAACTTTGGCCAAAGTTATCTTTCTAAACCAGAACCTAGCAACTCTGCTTTTGTAACTTTGCAGTTATTATCAACTGTAGGATCAAGTTCCCCTACTGCTTAGCACGACGACACCAGGAGCTCTTCCCAACACTGACGGTCTCATCCCTTGCCATCCTCATGGATACCAACTGTTCCTATCATACAGCCACGCCTAGAGTGCACCTTCTGAACACAGAAAACTTCATTATTCTATATCCTCTTTTCCTATATTCTGTCTGGTTGGAAACCCACAGAAAACCTTCAAGGCCAAATTCTAATGTCTACCAAAATTTTTCTCAGATTGTTCCTTAATCAAATTATTACTTCATCCATGTCCCACAGCACTCTTCATTTTTTATAGCGTTTTTCATTACATATACACACATATAATTCATTCATTCAATGAAACACTGCCATCTAGATTCACTGAGCAGGAGAAAACTACTCAAATAGGGAAGACATTTCTCCGAGCTACCCACTTGAACCAGGATTAACTACCAGGCCCGCAGCTTCAACCTCATGATAAAAATTCATTGTCTTGGGGTGCAGCAGGTAAAGCCACAACCTGTGACACCAGAATCCCATTTGGGTGCCAGCTCATGTCCTGGCTGCTCCACTTTTGATCTAGCTTCCTGCTAAGGGCCTGGGAAAGGCAATGGAAGATGCCCCAGTGTTTGTTCCCCTGTGACCCATGTGGGAGACCTGGATGAAGCTCCTGTCTTTGACTTGGCCCATTGCTGGCTGTTGTGGCCATCTGGGGAGTGAACCAGTAGATGGAAGATTTCTTTATCTCTCCCTCTAACTCTGACTTTCAAAATAAATAAATATTTTTTTTAAATCCAGTTTAAGAGGAATGGTATAATCAGAGCCAAAAAAATTCTTTGTGGGAACTACCAGAGGGGTACCACTGCTGAGTGCCAGGCTACAACTCTGCAAACACAGCTGCCTTGTTAAGAACTCTACATGCTGGCCGGCACCACGGCTCACTAGGCTAATCCTCCGCCTGCAGCGCCGGCACCCTGAGTTCTAGTCCCGGTTGGGGTGCCGGATTCTGTCCCAGTTGCTCCTCTTCCAGTCCAGCTCTCTACTGTGGCCCAGGAAGGCAGTGGAGGATGGCCCAAGTGCTTGGGCCCTACACCCACATGGGAGATGGCTTCTGGCTTCAGATCGGCGCAGCACACCGGCCACAGCGGCCATTTGGGAGGTAAACCAACGGAAAAGGAAGACCTTTCTCTCTGTCTCTCTCACTAACTCTGCCTGTCCAAAAAAAACAAAACAAAACAAAACAAAACAAACAAACAAAACAAAACAAAAAAAAACCCTAAATGCACAGGGAGGAGGAGGAAGGGTGGCAGCATGGGCTGGGCTGGAGGGTGTGGTGGGAAGTATCATTATGTTCCTAAATCTGTATATACGAAATACATGAAAACTGTGTATTTTAAATAAATTTGTTTAAATGTGGAAGAGGAGGAGGAAAATAACAACTCCATCTCTTTAGACAACCAAGTTCTCTCATTCTGGAAGCACAGTGATGTCCTCAAGTACCTCCTCCTAGCAAACCCGAACCCTACCTGACCTACATGGAAACACTAACAAGGACTCTAGGATGCAGCCTTCTCCACCCAACAGATCATATGTGATTAATCTAATCAGCAACCTTAATATACTCCTCCAAATATTCATACCATACCATTCCTTCTCCTAAAATCCTACATGTAAAAGTAAGGCGATAGGATATTTTTAATAGCTTTTAATATTTTTAAAATATTTAATAGGAATAATCCCTGGTTTTCCAATCCACTATTATAGTCTCACTTAAGAAAATTTGTTTAAAATTAGGGAAATATTTATATTCACACACTGAAAAAACAAATCTGGTATATTCTCTTCAAATATTAGTAGCTTATTTTCCCCCTTTCTCATTCACCAATTTCCTTTTAACATTTTTCCCATTCACTTATTTTATGTTTTCCACATAAAATCTCTTATCTGACTTCCTCTCTGCCCTTCCTCACTTTAACTTTTGTTTTTAAAATATACTCTTCAAATCTGTACTGTACATCTTTACGACTACCTGCTCAAAAAAAAAAAGACTAAGTTTGATTTTCCGTTACTCACGTTTCTGTATCTAAAAAAGGTGGTACCTCTATGAATAAAACTACAACATAATAAAATTTCTCTCAAGACCCAAAACCTCCATCACACTGGAAATTCTGAACATGTGAATATAGCATACCTAGTTTCTTTTAAAAAAGAATGTTAGGACACATGCTGCAAACTGGTATTGAAGACAATATGCAAACTATTTACCTTTGGAGGCCAGTGGGCCGCCATTGTGGCCTACCAGGTTAAGCACCTGCCTGTGACTCTGGCATCGCATATAGGTACCTGTTCGAGACCCAGCTGCTCCACTTCCAAACCAGCTTCCCACTAATGCCCCTGGGAAAGCAGCTGAAGGTGGCTCAAGTGCTTGGGCCCCTGCACCCACATGGGAGACCTGAGGAAGTTCCAGGCTTCTGGCTTCAGTCTGGCCCAGCCCCAGCCTTTGCAGTCATCTGGGGAGTAAACCAGTGAATAGAAGATCAATCAATCTCTTTGTCTTTTCTCCTCTCTCTGTAACTCTACATTTCATGTAAATTAAAAAATAAATAAATAGGCCGGCGCCGCGGCTCAATAGGCTAATCCTCTGCCTGCAGCGTCAGCACAGCGGGTTCTAGTCCGGGTCGGGGTGCCGGATTCTGTCCCAGTTGCTCCTCTTCCAGTCCAGCTCTCTGCTGTGGCCAGGGAGGGCAGTGGAGGATGGCCCAAGTCCTTGGGCCCTGCACCCGCATGGGAGACCAGGAGAAGCACCTGGCTCCTGCCTTCGGATCAGCACAGTGTACCGGCCACAGCAGCCACTGGGGGGTGAACCAACGAAAAAGGAAGACCTTTCTCTCTGTCTCTCTCTCACTGTCCACTCTGCCTGTCAAAATAAATAAATAATAAAGATGCTAGTCTGTCAAAATGACCTTCAGTTAGTTATAAATTCATCATATCTACTAATTGTTTAATCCAAGGTAAACACAGACGCAGGAAGTCTCCTTTATATTTAAATGTCTTTTAAATATAGTGCTTCAAAGTTACACTTCCCCACTCCACTTCTACAGCCAGTTTTAACTCTGTTGTAACGACAATGCTCCCAAATAACTCACACATAACGTTCCCAATCATTCCCACGTCAAGTGAGCTTCAGAGCAGCCACACAATGCCTTCCTCCAAGCAGCCGGAAGCAGCTCTGGAAAACCGATCTGAACAACAGGCTAAGGTTAGTTAAGAATGCCCAGGCTCAACTTCCAGGAGATTCTCAATCAGCAGGTCCAAGAAGGACCCTAAAAACTTGTATTTTTAAAGGTCTGCAAGGATTCCAAAATAGTGCCAGATTTGCAATCTACAGCTCTAGAGATTATCTTCAATTCTACTCCCTGAAGCCTAAGTTTCCAAGAAAACTGCTGATTCCATAAAGATGAGCACGAGCGGAGAGAGCTAATCCTATCCAACTACCAGAGAATATTTGTCTTCCGAACCGCCAGAATACTGGACAGGAACGTTCCCTTTAAGCCAGAAGCCAAAATTATAGAAACACAAGGGGGATGACCAACAATAATGAAAGCCACTATATGTTTCTTCTATGTAGGCCAAAACCATACTGTTTCCCGCATAATAAAGAAACTATAAGACTAACCCAAGGTCATTCAGCTAGTAACAGAACTACAAATCAAATCTAGATCTCTCTAACCTCTGAAAGCCTTTAATAGTCTTCCCCACAATGCTTTTTAATATTCAAGCTCAGCTACCATCTACAGCATAATCCTCTAGCTTCTCTCCTAATCTCATCATCGCAAGTCACCTTGCCGTCCTACTTCAGATTCTATACTCTTTAAAACCTCTATTCCATTAATGTCAGTGCACTTTCACTTCTCTAGAAAATGCTCCTTTAGCTTATGTGCCTCAACTGTTGTCAAACTCACCCCAAAGGACAGGACTCTCACACACACCCAGAGATAAAGTTTATTATTCTCCCTTCCTTCCTAAACAGCACAGTAAGTCGCTTTAGCCAGCTCCTCAGTCCCCTCGTTGCTGCGTGACAGCATTCTTCCACAGCCAGAGAAAATCAGATCTGTGCCATTCATTCACACTTGCTGAGTGCCAAGTATGAAGTAGGTGCAAGTAAGGCTAAGCAGTGGGGACACAGCAATGAAAAGAACATGGTTCCTGCCCTCAAGGAACCTAAGTGTTGATACTCAAGTATTTCAAATGGAATCAAAATGAGGAAAAATGCAGTTGCTGTGGGAACAGGTAACAAAGAACTCATCTAATCTGGGAAGCAGAGCGGAAAGTTTCATCTGCTAAGACCTGAAGGATGGATAAAGGAATTACTAGGGTCAGCAAAGAACTTGCCAGGGAGCAGCAACAATAAGTGGGAAGGTTCTGAGGCAAGAACACGACATCGTTTAGAAACCAAAATGGCTCATGTGTTCAAGAAGAAAACTGACAGGAAGTGAAGCAGGAAGAGATCAATATAATGCAAGGTATAGGAAGTGATCACATCTGTGTTTCTGTTTTTAAAATGTTGATTATTTTATAGAAACAGAGGGAGAGAGAGAGGGAGAGGGAGAGGGAGAGAGAGAGAGAGAAATGGATCTTCCATCCACCACCCAAATGGCTGCAACAGCCAGGTGTGAGTCAGGCCAAAGCCATGAGCCAAGAATTCCACCTGAGTCTCACAAAAGGAAGGCATGGACCCAAATCCCCGAGCCGTCATCTGCTGTCTTCCCAACCCAAGCGCATTAGCAGATAGCTGGATAGGAACTGGAGGAGCCAGGACACAAAGCAGCACTCTGATAGGGGATGCTGGCATTGCAAATAGCATCTTAACCTGCTGCACCATAACACGGGCACCTACACTGCATTTGTAAAAGATCGCCCTTTCTTACATCCTTACATTGTTTTCCAAAACCAATAGTACAGTATTCATTACTTTACTATACTTTGTCTCTTTACAATACTGTAACTTTCTTAAAATGTAATACCTTTATCATTCATGTAAGAGACTTAAGAGTGTTATTCCAATATCTGTTTTACAACGAGATGAACTGGCAACTTGTGGAGAAACAATTTGCTTCATGCAGAAGCCAAAGCATATATGAACATTAGCGCTTTGTTCAGACTAAAGTCAAATATGACAAGGAGTAACAGAAACCACATTTGGGGCCGGCGCTGTGGCATAGTGGGCTAGGCCTCCACCTGCTGCGCAGGCATCTCATATGGACACAGGTTCATGTCCTGGCTGCTCCTCTTCAGATCCAGCTCTCTACTCTGGCCTGGGAGAGCAGCGGAAGATGGCTCAAGTGCTTGGGCCCCTCCACCCACATGGGAGACCCAGAAGAAGCTCCTGGCTCCTGGCTTCAGATCTTGAAGTTCAAAAGGTTCTGACAATGGGCTCTTTTCTTTTCTTATTTTTTTTTGTTTTTTTTTTCCCATTTTTTTTAACTTTTATTTAATGAATATAAATTTCCAAAGTATAGCTTATGGATTACAATGGCTTCCCCCCCATAACATCCCTCCAACCCGCAACCCTCCCCTTATCCACTCCCTCTCCCCTTCCATTCACATCAAGATTCATTTTCGATTCTCTTTATATACAGAAGATCAGTTTAGCATACATTAAGTAAAGATTTCAACAGTTTGCTCCCACACAGAAACATAAAGTGAAAAATACTGTTTGAGTACTAGTTATAGCATTAAATCTCAATGTACAGCACACTAAGGACAAAGATCCTACATGAGGAGTAAGTGCACAGTGACTCCTGTTGTTGACTTAACAAACTGACACTCTTGTTTATGGCATCAGTAATCACCCTAGGCTCTTGTCATGAGCTGCCAAGGCTATGGAAGCCCCCTGAATTTACTGACTCTGATCATGTTTAGACAAGGCCATGGTCAAAGTGGAAGTTCTCTCCTCCCTTCAGAGAAAGGTACCTCCTTCTTTGATGACCCATTCTTTCCACTGGGATCTCACTCGCAGAGATCTTTCATTTAGGTTTTTTTTTCCCCCAGAGTGTCTTGGCTTTCCATGCCTGAAATACTCTCATGGGCATTTCAGCCAGATCCGCATGCCTTAAGGGCTGATTATGAGGCCATAGTGCTGTTTAGGACATTTATCCATTTTAGTATTTTTTTTTTTGTTCTAGTACCATTGGTTGAACTCTGTAATTAACACACAATTATTCTTAGGTGTTTAAATTTTAACTGAAAAGTGATCCCTGTTAGGAATTTGGAAAACATTATGTTGAGTGAAATAAGCCAATCCCAAAGGGACAAATACCAGTTGTTCTCCTTGATAGGTGACAACTAACTGAGCACCAAAATGGAAACCTGTTAAAGTGAAATGAACACTATGAGAAACGGTGACTTGATCAGTTCTCACCCTGACTGTTGATGAACAGCTTAATATGTTATCCCTCTTAGTATTTTTTGTTTGTTTGTTCTACTTAATACTTTTGGTTGAATACTGTAATCAATACACAATTCTTCTTAAGTGCTGAAACTTAACTGAAAAGTGATCGCTGTTAAATATAAGAGTGGGAATAAGAAAGGAAAGAGATGTGCAATTCGGGACATGCTCAAGCTGACTTACCTCAAACAGTAGTTAGAAACATACCAGGGGATTCGAATTCAATCCCATCGAGGTGGCATGTACCAATGCCATCTCACTAGTCCCAGTGATCAATTTCTGTTCACAATTGATCGTAATGATAGGACTAAGAACCAAAGGGATCACATAAACAAGAATAGTGTCTGCAAATACTAGCTGATAGAATCAAAAAGGGAGAGAATGATCCAACATGGGAAGTGAGATACACAGCAGACCCATAGAATGGCAAATATCCTAAACAGCACTCTTTTCTTTTCTAACACTATATTCTCTCACTGGGTGACCTCATCTCCAAAAGCCACCTCATGATGATTCCCAAACACACACTTGAGGGATTCCCTCCCTCAGTCATCCAGATGCAGAAGCCAGAAACACCTACACGAGGAGGCGACTGTGTCTGTAAGGACTTTGTCTGCTCTGAACTTACATAACCATCTACACCTCCAGCTCGCAAAGAGTGGTCTAGGACTCTCTGAGGGCTTCTGACACCCTTCCAACATGTCTTTAAAGTCAAAACTATTTCCACAATAAGAAGACAGCATTTGTCTTTTTATTCCCATTTTCTTGTGAGTGTATAATGGGGTTTTCCAAAGGCCATGACACATGACATATCACAAAAGACTGAATGCAGATGAGAGCTAGATGTCTTCTACTAAGCCACACAAGAAGATCTGGAAAATGTCAAACAGTGCTACTTTTTTGGTTTTTTTTTTAAAGAAATACAGTCATTTTCACTTAAAATATTATTTCTTAACATCAAATGTGTATCATTACAAAAATAAGTACATTAAAATGTCTGAATACAGTAAATATCAAGATACGTCCCAGATAAACAAGAGCTCAAGTCCTCAGTAACTCAAG